ATAGATAGATAGATAGATAGATAGATAGATAGATAGATAGATAGATAACAAAAGAAAATAAAGAGAGGAAAAAAGGATAGGAGACCACATAGAAGAGAGAATACAAGGGTTGGTGACTGAATGGCACGAGTTCAGAATAGAGAGAAGTTAAAAAGAAATGTGTAGAAAATAAATGATCTAGAGAGAGACATTGGTTGATAGAGGGAAGATGGTCCTATGCCAATAAGGGTGAGAAGAGTCCTCAGGATGGTATTGTGCGGCACAGTGGGAAAAGTAATAGGAGGCAGGAAGACTGCTGTATGATTTCTGAAATCCCAGCTGCTACCGAGAAAGCCAGCAAAGGCTGTTTTTTTTTTGGTGCTTTTACCAATTTAGGTACATGTGGAGAAAGATAGTTCTGTTATTGCGGCCATTAGAGATGATCCTACAGATCATTTCACATATATCCCACCCACCACATACTGTTTGTAGGTGGGATGCTCTTTAATACACCTATATACAACCCAGCACACCACCATAAAAGGTAGGTCAAATTTGGCCTCCTTTATCCTTTCAAAAATTATCCCGTATACTTTTTGCAAAAGCTGATTTTTGATATTGGCAATCTTGGCCTTCATTAATTAAGCCACTCAGAGTTTAACATCAGATGAAAAAATCCACTTAATTTAGGCCTCTCCAGTGAGATGTGTTGGTTTCTATTTACCTAAATATAAGAAATCCTCTCACCTTGTGTAGCGAATGTTGGATGGCAGTAATGTCCGCCACCAGACTGGACCACTCCGACTCTAGCTGTTCGAGCCGAGTCTTGAAAGGATCCGCTTCTGCCTCTCCAAGCTCAACCAACTCGGTCAGAGTGTGCATCAACACCAGCCTCAATTGAGTTTTGGCCTTCAGATCCTTAGTCAAATCCTAAAAAAAATAGAATTTCTTTGTTATTCGCCTTTTCGCAAACACGAAAGACAGCCGATCCTCTGGGTTCGACAATGTTACCGATGATATTTCCTCAGAAAAGCACAGGTATGAATTAGTTTGTATCTGATAATGAAACCAAACAGAACTCGCCACAGACTGAAGGAAGAGATCACGCCTTTGTTGGACATTCACAGGCTCGATAAAAGACACCGTTGCTTGACTCAATTTGTTGGCTGACTCTCTGGCCCCGGCCATCCAACTTGCCAGAGCAGGAGAATCCAGCAGAAACCTGGCAATTGATAGGAAATTACATATTAAAAACATGGTCAGACAGTCAGTTGGAATACATTTACGAGATTATTATGGACGGATGTGAGGAAGTATAGGTGAGGGATAAAAGATGTAATTGTAACATCAAAAAGAAAAAAGTTATGGGTGGTCAGAAACTTAGAAGAGAGATATTTCTTTCTGATATTTCTCTAACCTGCTCCTCAGTTTCCTCATTTTGTCAAAGCTGGAGTGTTCCTGCTCCAGCCTCCTGTGTAAAGAATTCCAACGTGTTTCCAATGCCAGCGTGGACACGCTCACTCCACCGCAACCCACCCTCGAGAGTTTTTGTCCTAACTCCAGCATAAGACTAAAGCGCACCTTGATGTCCTTCAAAACGCTGTGTAGTTCCTATCAGACAAAACAAAATTAGCAAAAAAATCTATTCACTAGATAGAGGAACCATAGCAACTTCAGACTCAGCTTATCATTTTAGCTTAGATACACTTATCTCAAAATTGCTGTTTTCAACCGCAACCTACAAATTCACAAATAGTACCATAGGGCACAATAAAGAAACATTCTTGTTTAAAATATTAGCACCTGGAGATAACCCACAGACCCTGGGAAACAAGCAAACATCACACCTGGTCCCACAGACAAATTCAAACCAGAAACGCTCTTCCTGTGAGGTGAGACACTTTTACAGATGAAGCAATGCACATTTGAAAATTGTGTCTTATGCTCAAAGATGAAAATTAACCACTATCCTTCCAATGTGTTGACCGTTTAATGATCTGCAACACCTTCTGTCATCCATTTTTAAAGAACAGGTCTTTTTCCAAAGCAGAATAACAGGTAATATGAACCAAAATCTATTTTTAGCTTGATGTTTCTGCTTCATTACTAACCCAAGAACAGTATGTACCCTTACAGATTATTTGGCTATATTTAATTGAGCCTTTTAGGTTTTGAGTGCAAAGGTTCAGCCTGCATACTGGATGCTTAATATTCTCCAACTGAGTAGAATAGAACATTGCAAAATGCACTCTATCCTTCGGTTGGTTACCTAAATTAGAAAAAGAACATGTTGTTGAAAAATTACCTGGTACACAGCGATGTTTTGTGATACCTGCTCCTCATGGTCATTCGTCCACTGTATGCAAGGAAATGTAGCCTCAATGGTTTTAAGCTGGGAGTCTGCCCAGAAGCTGTCCTCCTCCCACTGTGACCACATCTAATGGACAAGATTACGTTGTGACATAGACACTGATGTGAGACACAATATGGACTGTGATTATTCATGAGAAAACATTGTACATTCACTAAATATTCAAGTTTCAATTAATCTATACCATAAACAGTGCTTGGGATGATAGAACAGAACAGAACAAAATATAATATAATAAAGATAAAGATTTAAATCGCAGTGAAACCTGAAAGAAAAGTTCCAAACTGGACACTGCATTTTTTTCAGTCAGTGTTCACTTAAGTGAAACACTTTTAATTTCTACACCGTTTTTTTACGACTTTTATGAATGCTACCTTTGTGAACAAACAGAAAAACCATGAGCCATGGTTCTGCTCGAGGTTTCTGCCTGTTAAAGGAAGGTTTTCCTTGCCTGTGTCGCCTAGTGCTTGCTCATGGTGGGAATTGTTGGGTTTCTGTAATTAACTTCAGAGTAAGGTCTGACCTGCTCTGTTTGGAAAGCGCTGTGAGACAACTGTTGTTGTGATGTGGCGCTATATACATAAAACTGAACTGAATTGAATTGAAAAACATGTCCAACCTGCAATGTTTCTTGCATCCTAATCCCTTTTTCTAATCCTCGCTGCTGCAGCCAATCCACTTTGTCCTGCAGGCCCATCAATACGTCCCCCCGTCTCTTTAGGGTAGTGTCTGGGACCCTTGTGTTTAGGTACTGAAGGACGTGAATACGATAGCCCAGCAACTTGAAGAATTTCTGACGGACAAAAATGATTCAAATTATGAAAATCATATTTCAAAGCAAATATATTTGTTGTATCTATTTATTTATGTTTATTTAAAATCCCATATGCTGACCGTATGACTGTGGAGCTGCTGCTGGAGCTGAGCCCTGCTGTGGAGCTCCATGTCAGGTTGCCGAGTTATGCGTTCAGACCCCAGAGAAAGCAGCTCTTCCAGGCCGTGAACCAGCTGCTGAAACAGCTGCTCCAGACACACTTTGCTCTTCAGCTCCTCACAGTGGCAACGGACACCACCAAGCAACGTGTCCAGCTCACCCTGCACAGTGGAATTAGGTAAAAGAGATTTTAACTTGCTTGAGTTTTATACCTCATTATCCTTAAAGACTTTACATAGGTGAAAGCGTACAAACTTATGTTTGACATACAGTGTGCAAGTGAAGAAATTGTACCTGCAACTGTGAGGCTTTATCAATAAGAGAGGCAGATAAGTTGCTCTGGTCAGCATTGTCCAACAGGTAGTTTGCTTGCTCGGCCTGCTGCTGCAGAGACTCCTGCATTTGAACACCAGCCTAGAACACAGAAGCACAGTCCATGTAAAAACAGAATTAAAGATCTCTGACTTGTGATTATATTACATTCTGCTAGTTTGTGGCTGGTCCACAAGTTGCTATGTTACTTATTCATTACAATGTAACACCTAAAAGGGAAATTATCTAAACCTTCAAGTTTACCAACACAACACAACCAGAGTATGTGGGACTTGTATCATTAAAAATGTAATCTACAAAAAAGTAAACGTAGAGAGTAAAAAGTACCAAAAAAAAGAACAAATATAAGGACAGAACACCCAAAATGAAAAACCCATGTGATACAATTAACCATTTTATATAGTTTTTATACAGTAACTATAGTTGTTCATTTAGGCCCAGCTTTTCTTTTAAATCAGTTGTTATTGAGTGCACAATGAGCTGGTAAGAGATGAAGTCTGCATGCAAATCTTTAAGGTGTCTCTGTTAGACAGATAAAGTTGTTTGTGTGATTTTTGGCATTGGATATTAGATTTTTTTAAATGGGAAAGGTCTAGAATTACACTTTAAGAAGCAGGAGCAGAGTCCATGTACAAAGCCAATCAAACACAAAGTGTGACGTTGTTGTCCATTGTGGTTTAATCTATAAAAAAGTAAATGTAGAGAATAAAAAGGATAAGATTTCCTAATATCAAGTCTATGTAAATCCTCACCCTTTTCTCTGCCGTGTCCTCCTGAAGTTCACGGAGCTGCTTCTCACTTTTGCTCAGTGTAGCCCGGACCACGGAAAGGACTCTGGACAAATCGTCAACGCACTGTTGAACAACGTCTGAACCCAGGAGCCGACTGACCTTTGACCCCTGCGAGACCAACTCACTGCCCAGAGTGACCAGCTCTGCAGAAAGACTCTAAAAAGTTATCAGAAAAAAAGCCTTTTAGTTGGAGTTTGTGTTACATCAGCAAATTTTAAATTTTCATATGTTTCAGAGTAATTTGGGTGATAGTTTCTCTGATTATTATTTTTTTTTTTATTGAAAAATTTCTGTTTGGACAGAAAAGATAACCATTACAATTTAAATGCTAACTGTCTGCTTTACAAGCTCTTAAAATCAACACCTACACAAATGGCTCCATGTGGTTTTTATCAAGTACAGTACTGTGTTAAGTTAAATGCTCACATTTGCACAATGTTCAGTGCTGTGAGAAAGTTACAAGGCCATGGTTGTTTCAAAATTAGGACGGTAATGTTTGAGATCGTTGTATCAAGTTGACAACTACAAAATGAGCCCTACTACAAAACATTTAACCATTTATGACAAAGAGGGCAATGGTTTTGGCAAAAATACTTTGCATTGTACAGAAACCGTACTAAAAAAGGACTTTTTGTTCTCTTCGAATTTGTCTTACAGTGATGTGGATTAAAAAAGGCAGAAACCGCAGTCTAATATGTTCTCAAAATGTTCAAAAAGTTTAATTTACGAGAGATTGTGTATCTCCTTGTTTGTTAAATCCTATAAACTGAAGTACGAATGCATTATGTAATGATATCTTATTGTCATAGACATTTCCTTAATATTTATCCTATAAAGTGTATTATGATAATTCAGACATTAGTATATTGGCGACCTTTTTTATTTAAAATCAGTCCAACTCAAAACAGAGGAAGTCACCCCACCTCCATGTGCAGTAGCCTCAACTGGGTGTTTTCTTCATGATTTCCTTCAGAAGTTGGGAGCAGCTGACTGTTTATAGAGGACAGGGACAGGAATGCTCCGTGCAGCACATTAAACAAACCCTCATCAAGCGTATGGTGAGCGTCCTCAATAGGGGAAGCCTGATCAAGAAATTAAAGTCAAACTATTAGTCAAACTAAATTGTAATGCATAGAGTGCATTGGTAAAACAGTAATAAATACACTAAACATCATGTTTTTTTAATCAGTAAAAGTGATGCCTTTTAACAAGTTCAATAAAAATCTCTATTAGGACATGGCAACATGAAAAAGAAGGAAAATTAGTTTAATTAGTTAGGCAAAACACCTCATCAGTCCACATCGCCCGTTTTCTTTCTGGTTGTCTTTCATATTTGTTATCTTTGTCATTCTTTTCTTTGTGAAGTGTGATGTCAAATTCTACAACTTGTGTGTCAACAAAAACAAAAAAGAAAGGAGAAAAAAAACTTGATGGGGCATGATGGACTCAGACCACTTTTAAGCTGAATCTACAAACCTTAGATTCGGTTATAGTTGTCAACACCTCCAATAGGGGTGCTGGTGTGTTTTGTTTTCACCTAGTGTGTCTGCGCAGGTGTGTGAAATGCGGTTGCAGAAACATCCTGTAGCAGGATCTTACACAAAGATGTGTGTGTGTGTTTCAGTGCTTTTAGTGAGTATATATCCCTTATAGATGGAGCACATACTTTCTTTAGTATCTAATTTTTAAAAGATACACTCACAGATTTACAGTCATGAGTTCCCATGTACCAAACATGTCATTTTTAGTGTGACCCAACTCATTGTAAATTGGGTACTATTTTTAAAGATCCTTAGTTTATGTTAAGCAATAAAATAAAAATCAACAGATAAAAAAGGACCAGGCTTCCATATACTGTATGTTGAGTTAAAATCTTAAAATCTTTTGCATGATTTATTTACAGTAAGAAGCTTTTTGAAAAGCTGGAAGTTTTACCAACACACTTCAGAAGTTAAGCAGATGCGCAACTCAAGAAGAATCGTCGTTTAGAGCACAAATATGGCACATTATGCCATTGTACTGTAGGTTACAATGAAGAGAAAATGCGTTCATCAAATCAAGAAATTGAAATCCCATTTCCTTAACCTTTACAAAGTTGTAAGATGCAGAATCTCATAGTTCTATAAACAACTTGGATTTGGCTTTATATAAATGTAACTTATATGGTTCAGAATTATTTGATGCTGCCAAATTTCAAGATGACTGTGGAAACTTTTCATGGAATTAACATGTGTGGAATGTTGAACATTGAAACTGGAATCCATCCATTTTATATAATGGCTTATTCCACTTCAGAGTGATGGAGGCGGTCACTCCCAGCTTTCATTGGGTGATAAATGTAGTTCACTAGGAACAGGTTTTATGTCAACCACACGTCAATGTCAAAATCTAAATCTGAAATATATATATAATCATACTTCGTCATTATAGGTTTACTCATTATTTTAATTCAGAATGTAATTTAAAAAAAAAATCTAGATATAAACAATGCCTATTGTGAGTTGTATAAGAAATTACATATAAAAAACTGCATATCCCTTTAGCTTCTTGTGTGGTTTTTGGAACTGAAAAGAAAACAACAACCCTCCACATTTCACAACTCATTCTCTGATATAAAAAAAAGCCCCGATAAAAACTCCTCACCTGATTCAGAAGCTTTGCTGATGTGTGGCCCAGCTCTCTAAGATAGCTGATGTAGGTCTGGAGCTCTTTGAGGTTTTTTGTGCCAATAATATGTCCTGCTGTTCCATCCCAACCCTTCATAGATGAGTCTGTCACCTTAAAAAAAAGGGTGGGAAAGAGAGTCTATCTTACATTGGAAGAGAGAGAAAAACATCAGAGGAAAAGTAAAAAAAAACAACACACGTCTAATCAGTCCCTGCAGGAGTTCCCGTAACACCAACGAGACAACAAAGTGGCTTCTGCTCAAAGAAGGTGATAATCAAGGATGGCGAGAACACCAATTTTTCTTGTCTTTTTGTGTTTGAAAAGTGATAATCAAGCACCTTGGTTCAGTTCACGATGAAGGCCTTACCTCGGATGGAGGAAGCAGACAGCTCTCCTCTAAAGCAAGCAGCTGACTGTGAAGACGATCCCACTTTTTCTGAGCCTCCTCCACATCAGCTTCAGCAGAAAGGGACCTGCAGTGAGAGGAAAGGCTGAAGACTAACACTTAATTTCACTCAAACTTCTTTCTTCGTTTCTTTCTTTCAGCTTTGAGTTGTGGCTTACTGCTGAAAAACTTAAAATGAATGATAATGAAATTGTTATTGTAATATCTGGATATGTTGCTAAACCAAATATTGTGAAAATGTAAAAGGAGAACAAACGAAAAAAGACAAACGGATACAAAATTGAACTGTTTTATCTTGCATACTTAAATTAATTTGATTACTCCTACGAGGCTTTGCATAGTTTGTCACCTTGGCAGCGGCTGGCTTTGGTCATCTGACTCTGGGCTATAAAGTTGAACTCTGCTGCCTTGCCGGGCGATTGCCAGAGTCAGCCCCCTCTGCTCGGCCAGCTCAAGTTCCAACTCCTTTAGAAAATATAACAGTATATATTGTAGTTTATACTGCTTAACAACACAACACTATCTTTTCTGTCTATACATTTGTACAGTACATATGGAGAGTACATTAGAAAGAGAATTAGATCAATGTTTCCCAATTGTCCAACTATAAATTTTAATTAAAAGAAAAAAAGCAAACAATTGACATCTATGTGGCCCTGTGATGGACCGGTAACCTCCAGGATGTACCCTGCCTCTCACCAACTGGCAGCTGGAATAGGCTCTGGCAGACCCACAACTCAACTTGGAGTAAGAAGTATAGCCAAGTCGTGGATGGCAAAACCTATTTACAGTAGACTGTTACAAAAATTCAACATTGTCAAATTAGATTGTCAAATTATACGTGTCATGATGGTTGGAAAGTTTGAAATGGGACCAGAACTCTTCTCTTGTGCTATATTTGAATTTGACATTTGAATATGAATCCATTCATCTACTTCCACTTATCCAGAGTTGGGTCATCGGGGAGCAGCCAATGTAGGGAATCCCAGACTTCCATCTCATATCTACCAACTCTTCCGGGGGGATTCTGACACGTTCCCAGCCAAGGAACATGGTCCATAGACATGGACATAGTCACTCCAGCATCTCCGGGGCTTCACCAGGGTCTCCTGTAGGTGGGACATGCCTGGAACACCTCACCAGCGAGGCATCCAGGACCTTGTTGTCTCGGTTGTTTTGAGTGACCATAGGTGAGGCCTCTGGATGGTGGATCAGAATCTCTTTGAAGCCTTCCAGAAGTTGTTCTCAATGGCCTCTCCGAACTGCTCAGAGATTTTTCATCAGCAACTACCAAAGTTGCATTCTATTTGGCCTGCCAATACCTATCAGTGTCCTCTGGAGTCCCACAAGCCAAAAAGGCCCAATACGATTCCTTCTTCAAATTGATGGCATAGCTAACTGCTGATGTCCAACTAAATGTTATGGGATTACTACCACGACAGGCACCAACAAACTTGCCCCCCACACTTCAACTGCTTCGACAACAGAAGCACAGAACATTGCTTTCTCTGACCCAGTGTCCCTTATTTCACTTGGACCTTGGTTGAAGTTCTGTCAGAGATGTGAATTGAAACTCTCTTGGACAGGAGACTCTTCCAGATGCTCCCTGCTGACTCTCAAAACACAATAGGGTCTGTTAGGCCTGACCAGTAACTTATTCCACCATCTGATTCAGATCACCGGGTGGTGATCAGTTGACGGCTCTGCCCTTGTCTTCACCCAATTGTCCAAGACATACGGCCACAAGTCGGACGATAAAAAAATTAATCAAACTACGGCTTAGAGTGTCCTAATGCCAAGTGTGCATATGGACACTCTTATGTCGGAAAACCTGTTTTTTTTAATGGACAATTTGTGTTTAAACAGAAATCCAACAACAAACCACCACTCAGATCCAGATCAGAGGGGCTGTTCCTCCCAATCATGCCCTTCCAGGTCACACTGTCATTGCCCATGTGAGCACTGAAGTCGCAGAGCACAATGAGGGAGTCACCGGGAGGAGTTCTCTCCAACACTCGATCTGAATAGGCACAAACAGCTTTCAATTTCCATTCCCCAACCCAAAGGCGGAGGGAAGCTACCCTTTCGTCCACAGGGGCAAACCAAACTTACAGACACCACGCCAGGGGGGAATAAGTATGGCCATACCCGCTCCGTGCCTTTCACAGTTGGCAACTCCAGAGTGGAGAAAGGTCCAGCCCTTCTCGAGGACACTAGTTCCATAACCCAGGTTTTTCATTGAGGCGACTCTAACTATATCTAGTTGGAACTGCTCAGCCTCGCAATCTAGCTCAGGTTCCTTTGCATCCAGAGAGGTGAGCTTCCATATATCCCTTGAGCGAGCTTCTTTAGCCGATGATCAGACCGCCAGTGTCCACATCCTCGACTACCATCCAGCTCACAGTGCACCCTCCTGCAGATGGTGGGACCACTGGAAGGGGGAACCATGTTGTCCTTCCGGCTAAGCCCGACCTGGCCCCATGGGTAAACAGTCCGGCCACAAGGCGCTAAATGCTGTGGCACAACTCCAGGCTTGGGTCCAGAGGGGGCCACGTCCAGGGGAGGCAAACTGGGCCTCAATGTTTAATAGCCAATAGAAGTTTTAAGACACAATAGATCAAGTCAATAGATGTTTTACCATGGGGGACCCTACCCCGACTATGTTGTCCGACAACATAGTTCCTGAAATTCAGGACATGCAAACCCTTCCACCATGATAAGGGTGTGGTCCAGGGAAGCTGAATATGAATTAAAATAGAAAATAAGTGCCCCACCTTCTGCTGCTGCAGGCTGCTCTGTCTCAGGAGTTTGTTTCGTGGTGATGTAAAGATCTCCTGGACGCTACTGCTTCGTTTCAACTTAGACTTAGGGTGGTGCTCTGGCAGAGTAAAGGTCTTCTGAGGGATGTGAATGGAAAGATAAAGGGAAAAATAAATAATTTATCGGTACTAAAATGTACCCAGAATCAATGTAAAATGTCTGAATCTCCAACATCTGTCATTGATATTTTACAATCTATTGTGGACGATTTTTTAAAAGAAATACTCAGCTTTGAGTTTCAATCTAGGCTGATGTAAACAAGAGTTTCTTGTTCCTTACTTTCCCCATGAAATCTAAAACAAACATGCTTTTGAAGATATTGAGGATGTCATTGTCAATCATTTGCAAATCTATGAAGGTGTCACTTTGTAAAAAGCAAACACTTGCATACTATTGCCACCGGTAATATTCTACATCTAAAAACTATTCAGCTTTATGTCTGTTTTGTCAGACAAAAGAAGGAGGAAAGTTTCCAAAACAAGCAAACGTGTGTCTTAGTTTACAGTGTAAGTTTTTACATTGTGAACTTGTTCTATCCCTGTTGTTTGGACTTCATGTCTTTGTATGTATTGAGTGTTAGGACCTGCTCCGGTGTATCCCTGCTACTGATCGGTTCCTCCTCTCCATTTTTATCCTGTAGCAGCTGCTGGAAGGACATTAGGCTGGCTTTTACGTGTTCTAGTTTGGAGGCAAGTTGCTCAGCCGCTGCTTGTTGGGATCCCACAGCTCCCAGTTCACTTAACTGCTGTTGGTCAGCAACCGAACTAAGTGCTGACAATCTGGCAACCTTCTCTTCAATCTCCAGAAACATCTCCTAAAGATCAACACACACAAAAAAGAAAAAAAATTCCGTGATTTTCTTTGCATTTTTCTAATATATTATTTAAATACAATCTATTATCCATTTCACACAATGTCCTATTATACTATTGTTTTAAACTAATTTAATCTTAGCTATTTCTTTCCTTCTCATTTCGGTCTTCACTTTAGTTTTTGAATTAGTCAAATAATTTTGGCACAAACATTAATAACCTTTTTCCAAGTAAATGCCCTGCATTGCAACAGCCATTTCCATTGAATTACAATCCCACTACAGTTTGTTTTAATTGTTTTAAACACATACACCATTGACATTAAGCATTTAAGAGGAGACAAATATTGTTCTCTTCTCAGAGACAGGCAGGACCCATCTTTGTTATGTGGTGTTTCAATTCTTGTTTATTTGGTTGTATACATGTATACTCATGAGATCCATTGGTAGAGTTAAGAAAACTGAGCACTCAGCAATGTGTCAGGCAGAAATTATTGCTCTTTAGAAACTTTAATATTCCTAACAGAGAATGTGTGATCATGTGGGGCAGAGGCATTAGGTTCCTCTGGCTACAGAACATATGAAACATATCTTTTCTGAAACATGAAATTATGAAATATCTAATGGTAGTCTAGCCTGTTGTATAATCAAATTGTGAACTATTGCTAAGAGAGTACGACATCATTACTCGTATTCTTTTGTTTAACTGACACTGAACGCTCTGGGTATGATTTTTTTAAAGCCTGGTCTTTATGTATCTGCAGGGAGTGTATAACCGGTTTCTCTGCTGAACACACCCTTAAAACGTTACGTTTACTTTGGTTTTATGTTTTAACAACCTATAGCCTCATCCCTACTTCTTTGTGACATTGCAGTACAAAAAAGCCCATTCATCATCACTCGGATTTAAATTTTGTGAATTATGCTGCACAAAGGAACATATTTATGGAAACTGTGGTTGTTGGTGACAAAAAATGGTTTCTTCCTGCAAGGCTTTTTTGATTGCTTTGAATAGCAGACAACTTCTCATCTGTGGCTGTTTGTTTGGCAGCAAAGCTTCATTCAAATGCGATATTTGACTGTGACATACATTTAACCACTGAAATTTTAATGGAGACTCATGTTACATCCCAAGGGTAAACAAAGAGCACAAGCTAGGAAGTAGTAAATGCTAGCCATAACCTTAGTTTAAGATAATGCCTAAAATTGTTCAGCTCGATTGGTTTATAATGACTATAACAGAAATTTAATCACACATGCTTGTTTGTGCATGTCTATAGAGACATGTCAATCAACCCTACCGCATGTTTTCTGTTTCATGATAAGGTAAATATTTTTTTTTTGATTAGTCACCATCTTTGGGAAAGATGCAGTTGAAAAGATAAGAACAAAAGTTTTAAAAGAGTGACAGTCAGCAATAAGTAAAAAATGTAAAATGTGTTTTGCTTTGTAAATACTTCTTAGAGCAAGCTCAATGCTGTTGCACTGATTGTTAGAACGATAAGTTAATTTAGTAAGTACAGTAATATCTATTTATAATAATCTTCCTATAGGTAGAACCAGGCACAATTAATAAACTCATGTTTGTCCTATTTAAACTAAAAACGTCTTCATATTTTAAATTGCATGTATTTATATTGCAATTTAAAATATGAAGACGTTTTTAGTTTAAATAGGACAAACATGAGTTTATTAATTGTAAACTACAAATGTAACCCTACTATCTATCTTAAATCCCTTGCGCATTCCAGGAAATGCAGTAACAATTTGGTGCTTATAAAAATTAAAGAATTAAAGAAAATAGTTATCTAAAAATAATTCCATGTCAAGTAGGTGACCTCGATCATGACTTGGTGCAATGACCTACCACAATGGCCCATGCCATCTTCAATGAATTAAATGTCAGAAACTCTTTTTAAAATCAATTTATCCTCTCAGCATTCCACGGTGTCTCAAGTTTTTTCTAATTGAAGCCAATATATAAAGAGCGGAGCAATTTCAGGAGCTCTGACACATCCTTGGTCAGTACAGCAGACCAGTTATATTAGATCAACGAAACAGGATTTGTGGGTTAAGTTAGAAAATCTTTACTATTGACGTCTTTATTATTGAGTTACCAGCAGTGAAATAGTGAAAACAAATATATGACTTACCAATGATTTAAACTAACAACATCCAGACTGTGTATTATTTCAAACTCAGTTCACAGATATGGAAATTTATCTTTAGCTGGGACAGACTTTATGTTCTATGTTGCCCTAAATGACTGCAGTTTCATCATTCAGTGTGTAAAAATATAAAAACGAAAGTGCTTGCCGTCTCAGATGTAAATGTAAAGTTGTGACTGCCCTCTGACCTCGAAATGATAAACTGATAAGCCGCTAATCGCAAATGTAAGAGAGGCATTGTTCAAAAGTTGTTTTGCTTCTTATGCTTGACTCCTTTATGATTTCTGATTAGTTTAGTGTAGACGGTCACTCACAGCAGGGGAAACTTCCCAGTGACGTTCCAAATTTAAATGTACTCATGCACTATAGAAAATAACGTAGGACCTGTCACTATTCAGTAGTTGAATTCCGGCCTAACAGATGAGCCCATACATTTTTAAACCTGTGATTGTGATATCATCCCTTGGTGGGTGGAGCTTACCTGGCAGGTGAGGAGTTGCTGCTCCACATTGCCCTGCATGGCCGCCGAACCAGGATCTCCAGCAGAAAAAAGACTCCTTTGGGCTTTTAGCAGCCACAGCTCCAACTCGCAGACCCTTCCAAGACACTCATGGAGAACAGGTTCATGGGAGCTGGGCTCAGGCTGGGATCCCTGGGACACAAACACAACAACACCCGGCTAAAGTTTTCCGCCCCAGGGTCTACAGCTTTTGAAGGAGTCAGCTATTGTACTGCACCTGTAGTTCAAACTTTACGACTTCTCACGTACCCTGACTTTTCTTCCATCTGTTTCTGCCTCATTACCTCCCTGTCTGCCGTCCACCTACTCTCTCTCACTCCCCCCCCCCCACCCCCTTTATTCACCTGAGCTCCACCCACATGTGCCTGAAACCACTTCCTGAAACAGTGGCACAGCTCCAGTGACAGAGTGACAGAGACTAAAAGAGGAGGCCTCGGGCAACAAGGGCGGAGCTGAGCCAAGGGTTAATCAGTGAACTTTGAATACAAACACCTTCCTACTTCCCCCTCACACTGTGAACGCTGTTTTCACTTCCAAACTAAATTATATTTGGTTGTAATTCAGTTTAGGCTATATAGCTTATGGGTGGTAATTAAACTTGTGCTTTAGTATTATAGTCAAATATGTGCATTTTCATGGTGAAACTTCAAACTATCAACTATCAAAAAACCTTCTTTAAATGTTCAAATGAATCCAAAAATGCTCATCTATCCTGTTTTGAACTGAATTGAAATTATCAACCATTAGTAACTATTAAAATTCACGTTGACAGGTACGAAGACTTGATTTGTGTATAATTTTATGTAAAATTTAGCTCACAAACTGAGCATATAATTTTGAAGTGAAACAGAAATGTAAATAAAAATTATGATTAATCAATTAAATATGAGGTAAATAAATAAATTAAAGAAGGTAAGTTACCAAAAAGTCAACATTAAACTGCACATAGGTGATACTATAACAGTTAACTTGTTAACCAGGAAATTTGTTATTTTTCTTTTTATTTCACCGGCTTAGTCTCTCATTGTTATTTTAGTTCAAACCAATCCCCAGCTCTTCATCCAGCTGCACACAGTTAGGGAAAAGAAGTGCTCATTCATGAGAATATGTGTTATCTTGAAGTGTTTATATAAAGGCCCCTCCTGACTTTATTGAGTTACGGCTAATTGTGGTAGACATCCGGGGGATTTTGGAGGTATTTCTCCAGATAGTATAAAAATAAGGTTACGAGATGTCCCAGTGACCACATACCAACCCTATATAATGTTTCTGATCTTTAGTTATGAAACCAGACCTCATTTGAGTGTAGTCTAGACAAGTATCAAATGAGTGCCATGCAGTTGTGCGTGTGTAGCTTCTGTGTGAATACTATGTGAATAAACTTGAGTTAGCCCCCGTCAGCCCCTTTTTTGGGTCGTTTCTACCCACCCCAACATCCCTTCCACGCATCCATGCAAGCCCCAACCGTCTGTTCAGGAGCTCCTGACACAGGAAAAGTGAGACGTAGGGAGTAGATCACTGGGTTTATTTGTATTCAAATTATTTGGATTTGCACACAAAATGGGAAGACAAAAAAGAGTGAAACAAAGTAGTACAGCACATGCCACAAAAGACCCCTCTGCTGCTTTTAAGTGAAAAATTGATTCCTCAAGGGTGGCAACTTTAAAAAAAATAAAACAATTCTAAATAAAAATTTAGTTGCGATAGCCACCCAATGGGAAACTGCCTTTTTTACTCATCCACAGCAGTTTGTTAAGCAGTAATCAATGCCAAAGCGGTGCATTTCCTTGACAAACAATCATCTTAAAGCTATCTAAATAATTACAAGCTGTAATCCAGAGTGAAAATAAATATGCTGATTTATAGCAAAGCAGAGATTTTTCTGAGCAGTTTGATTAAATCATAAATACTTGATTAATCAATCAAGTTTGTAAACAACATACTTTACAAACTATAAGTTCAGCTTATAGATCGGGAAATTGCATGTTGAACAGAAGTAGGCAAACAATAGTTTATTTTTACAGATTTATTTCTGAAACCGCTGGTAAAAGAGCCCAAAAAGTAAATGAAAAGTCAACAATCTTAAGGTTTTACTATGTTAAATCGACAGCCTTATATGATACATTATAAAACATAACTCAAAAAATATGTCTGTCAAAAAATACTTGCTTCTCCCAGTAATTAAAACATACTATTCCATCAGACAAAAGGTCCATGCTTAACAAGGCCCCACTTCCACAATAAAAACATCCAACCCACATGCATATTCCAGCAGTCTGCTTTTAAATTTTTGGTACAATAATAACTATCATCCTGAACAACCATTGTCACAAAAATGTGCAGTGTCATCTTGACATCACATTGTCGTGGATTTCACAGGAAAGCGCAGTAATCCTTCAGATAAACATACAGTAAGCCTGAAAAACTCACATTTTGGTGCACATCTGCTTCAATTTAAATACTTGTTCAGTCCTGGATTTATTTTAGCCGTGCAGTAAGAAACACTCAATTTAAATGTAAACAAATTACCACACATAATTTTGTGCTTTTATATTACAGGAGCTCTTGAATAGCTTCTAGAATGACGGTTGAGTGACTTTTGCAGCTCTTTTTAAGACTACCTTACATATTATTTTGAATATTCAGTGGAACTTTGAAATTGAAGCGATATCTAATGGTGGGTTTTAAGTTTCAAGTGATGCACCCAGAAGAATTTGGAGACAGTTCTAAAGAACATACATTTATTTGGTTCCTCTAAAGGAGATTGAAGGCTATTATCAAGAGATTGACAATAAAGATAGATCAAAACATGAACAGCTTAAAAAATTACTGCATGTTACAGTTCAGCAATACCTTTTCCTGGTTTAATTGGTGATAATCCATTTAGAAAAAGGTATAGTTTTCCAGTTAGAGTATGTGATTTTTCTTAGGGGGTTTGAAATGTGTTGTAAATCTTGTAAACAGAATCGGATTGTGGAAGAATTTAAGAGTTCTGCTGCAAATTGACCAGAATTCATCATGGAGGATTTTCAAGGCAGCATGAAAACCCATACCTTCATCAAAAAAAGATGCTTAATACGGCTTCTAGGAGAATCTAGAATTAGTTTAGGAAAAGAAATGAAAGTTTATTCTAGGAGAGGCGGTGCAATCTAAAGTTTATTGGAGTGTTTGGAGAGTTTTGCAGATGACTGCAGAAATGGATAGACGCTGTGATATAAAAGGAAAAACAACTGTTTTTCTAAAAAGAAGTACTAGGAGACTACACATCTCTGCTGAGGCTTAGAGTCAGGCTTGGCGGGGTCTACGGTTGAGGCTGTGTTTACCATGCTCTCTGGCAGTGACTGAGTTCTGACTGTGCCCACAGGTTTAGATAAAACTTCTGACGAACTTGCTTCCGCGCCCTCAACATCCTGAAGAACACCCTGAAGAAATATGAGCAGGGTTAGAGTGTCAGTCAGGTCAGTGACTTACCGTAAATACGTCAACCTCTTAGTATGGCAATAATCACAAAGTTACTCAGACACACTTTTTTTTTTTTATTATTCACGATTTATGTTACACAGCATTAAAGTTAATTCTCTGTAATGACATCAACTAGTCGTATTTAAAAAAAAAAAATGTGTCTTACTAATTACAATACCAATTCCTCTAAGATGCTATCTGTGAAGAGCATCCTAGAGGAATTCCTTCCTTCTTTGTTCCTTCTGAAAATGTATATTCAGAAGGAAACGTGTCAGCAGTTTACTTCCCAGTCTTTGTGGAGTGCCATTTCCTGCTCTCAAATCTCTATCTATAACCACTACATCATTATAATTTGAAAAATATATAATAAAGGCAAAATCTGCTGAGTGCAGCAAATTCAGCATTGATCTTGTTAAATATTACATGTATCAACTGACTTATACATCTTAAGAAGTCAGGGTACCTTGCAAGTAGAATCATTTAATTTCATTGGAATTTCTGACAACAAAAACTATCGGCAGACTAATCCTTTTTAAACAACTGAGACTGAAGAACTTGAAAATGATCTAGTGGCATATTTACAACAGTAGTTACCTTTTTGTCCTCTTCGGTCTGTTCAGTGCTTTGTCCAGAGGCTGTGTCATCGTTCTCTGAGACTACAATTGCAGGTACCTAACACCGACAACGACAAATATAATAACCGTCTCTATAAAATCTGAAAAAAATCAAGCTTTTAACCAACGGCTTGCAAACGCTGCTCTCTAGTGGACGGGTTAGGGTTAATTCAAACACATGCACAGATAGGGCAGATGGGAGTAAAAATGTAGCTGAAGATTAAGAAAGAGAAGAAAGATGCTACACGAGGTTAGGAAGATTAAATGACTCAATAAAAGCAGAAAGCAGAGTGACCTAGATCAAAGCTTACTCATAAAGGTGGTTTAATTGTATTTAGGACGTGGAGCTAATGATATCACGATGAGCAATGTCATCTGTGTCTCATCTGTATGAGAACTTTAATTAGCTTCCATACAGTATCCTAGTATGGTTTGAGTATTTACGTGATCATATCGCAAAAAAAGTATGGATCAGAAGGCTTTCCACAGTTGATTTTTGTCTTTTTTTACCTCAGGTGAAGCTCCAAGGAAAGCATCCCAGAGCCACCACATTACACTTCCACCAAAATCTTCCACTTTTGGCCCCTCATTCGTTTTAGTCTCTGGCGTTTCTCCAGCCTGGAGTACACCTTGATGCTGTTTCTGCTGACATGGAAACATCTTCATATGCAGAGTTGACCTAAAACACTATTTTATTCAAATTCAACATGGTACTCTTGTACCACTAATTTGCAAGTGACAGTATGCTGTCTAAAAAGCATAATGTTGCACCTAATTTTCTTTAATGGAGTGTCTTAAACTTTTCTGTGTCATCTACCAAACTGCAGCAATGCTACCTACAATTATTCAAGACAACTCCAATATCAAATGTAATCAAAATAGTTTATCATTAAGCATTATTTCAAATTTCTCTCAGATTAGTTAGAATTATCTGTCTTTTCTGAAATATTATATAAGCTTGTTTGGTATCTATATGTGTGTCTGTGTTTGGGAAATTAGTGAAAATCTACATGCAGAGAAAAAGACACTCTAAAACAGCTTGTTAATAACACAAAATTGAACATTCATGCACGCCAGCACTGACATATCATGATGGCATGCAACAATTTGCAAAAGGAGTCCAGAAAAAACGTTTTTGTGGCCTTAAAAATCCAGCTTTGTACTTTTTTGCATATTTTTAATGGTGTCATTAAAAGGCTCGATATCATCTTAAAACCAAATGATGGTTTTTGTTCTGGAAAACTGCAGAATTCAGTTTGAGGCTGAACTGGAATTTCACTTTACACCTTAACTTTACAGTCCATACGTATTTTTTCAGAGGTTTGTTTTTGTAATAGACAAAACTGACCATTATTATATTCTTATTTCATGTGTGTGACTATTACAATACTAATATATAGTTCTTCTCTTGTGTGTTGGATCAGGGAGCCAAAAGGGCAACCCTTGCATTCTTACCTGAGAGTAATTAAGTGTCCTGGACTGTCTTTGTTCAGGAGAAGACTGCTCCACAGTCTGCAGTGTGCCTCCAGATCGCTTTAGTACGTCCTCCTCTAAGTGGACAACTCTGATTTGGCCCTGTTCTTCCTTTAAAAACACAATATAATGCATAGTTTTGGTACGCCCATTCATTTCACAGATTGACTTAGAGGTACATGTAACTAATCATAAATTAACTTATATTTAAATTCATGTTGAAAATCTCTGAAGAACAGATTACATTAGTAATCAGAATGAACTAGTGAGCGTTTTTTCTTTGAAACACATCAATTTCACTCATTCTGTTCATTATTTTTTTATTCAGACTCACTTCAGCCTCCTCAGATGTGGGTTTTTGGAGTTTGGCAGACATTTTGGTTGGATCAGGAGTTGGAGGCTGCTGGATGAACAGGGCGGGGACTTTCTACAATCAGAAAGACAGAGAGCTAACAGACAGTTCTGTTTTAACCACCTCACTGGTTGCCTTTTAACAAAAGCAAAAGTTTCCTCTCTCAAAAATACCAGGTGAAACGTACCTACATTAGACTGTATTATTATATTATTATGGTCTTTTCTCTAGACTTCCCAAAAGATAATTTAACATCCAGAATACTGCTGCTAGAGTTTTAACCAGGAAAATGTACACATTTTTAAGTCCAGGTTAAAAACATGTATTTTCTCTTGTATCTAGGCTATGCATGAAATCTGCACGGCATAATTTAACTAGCTAATTTTAATTGTTTTAGTTAATTTTTTTTATTCTTAATATGTTTTTATAATCTCTCTTGCCCTACTCTTATTTTCTTAATGCTTCCTTCACTGCCTGCTGTAATGCTTTTGATCTATGTAAAGCACTTTTAATTGTTTTTTACATAAAATGTTCTATACAAATACATTTGACTTGACATGACGGATTGACAGACCTTTTCCAGTTCCAGTAGCAGAGTTTGGAGCTGGCCTACTACATTAAAGACAGTCAGAGTTTCTTCAGCCTTCTCTGGAAGACAGAGGCCCGGTTTACATTTCTGGATTTCAGCTATTGTTGTACTCATGGACTGTATCCTCAGCTCAATCTCCTGTGCATGGTAGGATATCAAAAAGAGGGATGGAAAGTAGGGATTTACAACAATTATTTTATTATTTTGTATTTGTGCAAACCAAATTGATTATTCATTGCAGTTTTAACTCCATACAGGCATTGACTGCAATTTTATTTTCATGAAGAAAGTAATAAAAAAGACTCATCTCTATAAAAAAAAGTCATACCTGGAGGCTATCTTCCTTTGGTTTTGGGAAAGTCTCTGGCGATGATAATAACGCCTTAATCTCAGCCACATCGTTCTCCATCCGCTTCACTTCACTCTCAATAGCCTCCACCTCCTTAATGATATACGAAAGCAAATCATCAATATATATTTTTTAAATTTTTTAAAAAATAGCAAAGAGATGACTTACAATAAAACAATTGACATATCAAAAAATATATTTTTTCAAAGCAGATACGAAGGAAGAGAAGAACTTAGTCCAATTCTTACAGCGGCTGCATGCTCTAGTTGAGACAGTGGAGCTGAGAAGCTGTCTTGAACATCGGCCACTTTTCGTTCCGCTTCATTCAGCTGTTCCTGGAGAGTTGTGACGTCACATACCTGCGACATTTCCTTCAAAACTGAACTGAAGCCCTGGAGCGTCGCCCGGATCTGGGCTGCGTCATCCAACACAAGCTGCACCAAAATGTTTAGTTTTTTTTTTTTAAATGTCACATTATTCCCATTAAAAAAACAACTGTTTTTCACAACTATGGTGACAAAAATCTAAACCGAATAATATAACTGAACTGACCTGCAAGGCGTTAACGTGGCTGCTCAGGCATTTGGCTGTGGTATATGTGCAGGGAGCAGAAAGCCACGACTCTGCCTCTGCCATCCAGCTTTTTGAGCTGTTGATCATCTCTTTATGTTCTTGAAGCCACGTGTGTATCTGAACAGAAATACGATTAATGCTTTTTTGTGTCTTTGCTAACCATTAAAATTACTAGCATAGGATGAAAATTACACGGTGACTGAGTACAAAATAGCAAAGGAATTTGTATTAGCAATAGAAAAATGTTTGTGATTGCCAGAAAACATTGGCTATAGTAACATGGCCCTTTCCCGCAGGTCTTCCCTTCTCTATCTCTGCCCCCGCCCTTTCCTGTCAAGCTACTATCATTAAAGGCCACTAGAACCAAAAACAAAAAAACAAAAACAGAATTCTACGATGATTGATCTAAAAATTAGAACCAACAAAAAAAGTGATTTTCTCCTTAACCCTTTAAAGCCTGATCCAAGAAAAAAAAAAAAAAAGAAAAAATCTTTTTTTTTTTTTTAATTCCTTATTTGGCCTTTTAACAAAATGTGTAAAAAGAAATAATATATTAATAATTTATTTCTATGCGATAGGTCAATATTATTTTTTGTGTAGTCTTCTGCCCCCCTGTTATCAGATATATATCTGATTGTGTACAATAGGATTTTGAGCAAAGTTTTTACCACTAAATTATGCAAAAGGTGTCAGCCGCAAAACATTTCAGAAACCCTGTGTGTCAAATATGATACATTTGGCATTATAGGGTTAATATTTAAAAAATAAAAGCAGTTAGCAGCAGTGAGCAACCTTTAAGAAAGAAAAAGAATCAAGCAACAGTTTTAGATATAATAAAGGACAGTGTGAAATTAAATGTTTTTCACCTTGCTTAGAAGCGTGGTCCTCTGCTCTGCCTGTTTGGCCAAAGAGGAGTGAAGTTCTTGGACCTCCACCAGCCTTTCTGTGAGTCCCAGTGCTTCCTCAGGCTTCTCCAAGTCTTGCATGTCTACTTCTAGTGATGCCAGACGGGAGTGCCACATGTCCAGTTCGTCCCACGCACGCTGAGCACGGATACGGGCATGAGTGAAAAGTAATGAGGTTATTATACTGAGCATACTGAGACATACAATTGAACTGAGGGTGGTTATGACAACATAAAAAGCTTAAAACATACGGTGTTGGATTCAACTAAAAATATCTCTTAGCTGAAAAATGTGTCTATCAGCATTCGCCTCACTGTTATTTCAAAAGTATTTAAGTTTTAAAACTCTACCTTCTGTGTGAACTTTGCTTCAATTACACTGGGGCTTCTTTCTTCCAGTCTCTTCTGAACTGATCTCAGGCCAGCTTGGATTTCAGACAATTTAGCCCCGAGCTGGTGGACAGGACCGCTCTTCTCCATTGCCTCTCCCACCTGACGGTCAAGTCAGTGAAAAAACATTACCAATTGCAGAAGATAATGCCTGCTTAGTAGAAAACTAAATATTCTAAACAATGATTTCAAAAGAGGTTAACAAGCTAACAGCATATTTAATTGTTTGGGTCTAGGCAATTTGCCAAGAAATGCCTTAATAATCAAGTAAGCTTTTTGTACAATTTCCAGCACTGTGCTGAATCTCACAGTTTTCTTTCATCAAATAATCTTTATGAAGTTGTCACAAAGAATCTATAGTCAGTGTCTAAGTTTTGCAATTTTAGAATTTTTCTAAAATAATCAATGGCTGCACCTAAATAACTCTGGATACATACTCTCAAACCAAATTATTTGTAAAAATGTATATTTTTCCTGTCTCTATGCCAAACAAGTTAGGCTAAGGGTAAATTTACTTGAAGTGAAAGAATATATATAAAGGCCCAATATTTAAACAGACTGATAGATCATACAACATGCCTATAAAGATATTGCACTTGTTATGCTGTTACAAATATGTGTTATACAAGTGTTAATTGGCTTTATTCAAATAATTGTATAAATATTTATGGTAATATGGCTCCTAAACATCCCCCTGAAAAGGATGTTGCAGTGAATCCAATATGTGCCCTAACATTTTCCAAGTTTTATACATTTTTTTAAAATACTTTTGTACCTTGGCTTCTACGTGTTCCATGGACTTTGAGACTTCCTGTAGCTGGCTTTGAATTTCAACTGGGGCCAAACAAGACATGTCAGAATATTTCATCTTGATGTTCTCCATGATTTGCTGTAGTAAAGCCTTTTGGACAAACAGTTGGCTGTAAATATCCTGAAAAACACAGAGAGAAAAGAAAGTTTGTACAAGTATGATAAAGAAGAGCTAATAAAGGACAAACAACATTTAAAAGTACCAAAGTACCTGTAACAACATCACTATAGGACAATGAATGAAAAAAGCCCAACCATCATTAAGGGCAAGGATTATTATTTTCAAAATTAAGACGTAAAGCAACAGACAACTAAGTTTGAAGAGTGTTTGGTACAATTCTGTGTGGGGAGGTGCACCATGACGAGAACAAGATCTTCTCTGTGTGTATGTGTAAGACTCAAATAAAGAATGAAATCAGAGACAGTTTCTTTTGTATGAGAGTAGCAGGGAGTGCGAGTTGTGAGTGTTTCTCTATGCTGTTTGTCATCTTTATTAAGACCGCTCAGTGTTTTAAATCACACATACTAGGACAAACCTGTTTCAGTCATTCTGTAACATTTAATCATTTTATTACAATGGTTTTAGGAAAAGCTGTGATTCAATGTAAGTCTACAATTTTGGAAGAGTAATGATCCTTTGGGAAGGGTTTCTCATTTAAAAAAAAACTGAAAAAGGATTAAATACATTTTGTCCAGTTCAGTTTTTGGTAGGACCCTCTGAGAATATGGTGTACAGGTTAAGTTCACTACGTATTATGTCTTTACAAGAGAGAAAATGCCACAATGTGAATGTGTTAGTGAGTGCCTATAAAATTACTTGACTACAACAGTGTCCTAAAAGATCCTCTTACGATACAGATCAAAAGGTGTTGAGTTCCAGTGGAGGGTTTTGGGTGGTGGGAGGAAACTGTAAGGGGAGGGGAAATGCTTGTGTGATGAGAGAAAGCTGTAGTGGATGAGAAGTTGGACTCTGCTCAGGTTTCAGGACAAAAAGAAGGGTATTTACATGGTGAGATGGGAGTACAGGGCCATTCACCAGAAACCCTTTGGGCTGGAGGTCATTGCAGCAGTTAGACTCAAACATTCACAATACAGACAATAGTCTGAAAGTCTTTTTGTAATTCAGATATTTCAGGAGGGCCAAGAAAAAAATTGGCTTCTTTATACAAACAGTAATGGCCGTGTTACACTGAGCACCAAATTGATGATTTGTTTCTTCAGTTCAGATCATGAAATAACCCAGTCTCATTAGAGATATATAATTTCTATATATCTCTGAGAACAGTCATCGTACTTAAATAAAAGGTTACCAGATGTGGAGTTGTAAACAACCTGATATGTTTGAGTGGACAAAAGCTGCCACTGACTTCTTGGCATATAAGATAATGGAATCAACACAGAAAATAGTCCTTTAAAGCTAAATGTTGCTGGATATTAACAAGTTTATGTTTGTAAACCATAATACAGAGATTAATGACCTGATAACATGAGAGCTGTTCAACAAAATCAACAGGCTACTTGTAAGACTGTGAATTTTGGACAGAGAACGGACACTACTCATGCAGTTACAGAATTTGCAAAAATTGAGAAAAGTTCTTTTTCATTCACCAAATTAAAAACAAACGTTTTAACATCTTGACAAGCTTTAAACCATTAAATGTCCATTTCAGGATCTGAACTGTGAAATTTGAGACAAAAATTCAGAGTGCAGTGTCACCTGTAGCTCCTCTGTGCTGCTGCATTCCTCCATGTCAGACAGAAGACTATCGGCAGCCTCAACCCATACTCGGACTACTTGGAGCTCTTCTCGAAGCTTGTCCCTCTCCTCCAGTTCCAGCTTGACAGCCAGTACACCTTCTGAGCCCCTCTGCCTCACACTGAAAACACACAAATACGTAAACGCGGTAATGTAGCCTCTCACCTGATAAAATGAAGTAAGAAGTATTCTGATTTCAACCTGGAGTCTTGGTGTAAAATATAGCTCCAATATACTGTATAAGGGGAAAAGAATCGCAATTCAGTTTGTTCAAGAGGCTGGAGTAATTTCAAAATGCAAAAGGAGGCAGGGCTGCTTAAAATATGCTTATGATTGGAAGATGCAGGTAGATTTAGGAGGAAAGCTTATTGTTCTCAAGAAAATAGCCTCTGCAAATCTAAAGTCTCATATTGTCTTGTGACTGTTCCATGGGAGGATTTAGTGGAAATTTCATATGAAAGGAAAAAGCATATGGATGTAGATATAGAGGCAGAAGCAAAGCAGAGAGAATGGAAAGTTAGGATTTGGGTATAAGTGGACAGAGTGTGAGGAAAACAGTGAGGGATGTATCAGATAGGGCAATTAGCTCCAACCAGTGGATTTGGATTAGAAGGGGCATTAGTAGCCCTGCAGGGGAGTAGTTACACAGACTAGGACGAAATCCAGCGAGAAGAGATGTAGGTAATTTGGAGGCAACGGTCTTTCATTATTCCCTACCCGGACCAGGGTTTGCATCTCAAGACAACTTTTACCGGTGCAGTTGGTGTGAGCTTGAAGAAGCTAACATGGGTGCTTTTGGTGGTAGAAGACATTGTTGTTGTGTTGTGATGAGCAGTGATAGTTGGCATTAGGGGAATGACTGGGAAACCAAGGAGCACTGTCCAGTTTATGGACGTGTCGTGGGCCAAACTAGACTAAACACTGATGAAAGGAGGTTACCACCTAATAACCCTTAACATGTTTGTCAGAAATGTTCCCTGGTCTATGTAAGGATCATAGTTTAATTGTTCAATTTAGGTAGATACACACTGATTCTGGTCCGCTTGTTTGTGCCATAAGTTTCCTGTGTTTACTTTGAATTATTTAAATGCTGTTCACCCACAGATACACTGACCAATCTCCTCTGACCCACTTACAACTGATCACAACTCTAGCAGGTTTTTTGGGTAAATTATTATTTTAGTATTAAAGCAACAATAATTTCTGATACAACATTAAAAAAGTGTTACGTAACACATTTAATTTTCATTTAATGATGCAAATCGGATATGGAGGAGCTAAACATTCAAGAATTCCATTAAAACAGTAATACAAACATAGTAATTAACTGTATGCAGTACTGAAACCATACCTGTCATATCGGCCTTGCATTTCCTGCAGCTGCTGACAGAGTATGGTGGAATGAGCTTGCTCCACGGGGACAGGGACAGTGAGCAACTTCGCTGTGCGCAGTTCCAGAGCACACAGAGCTCGATGTTCACAGTCCAATGCATCCTGGTACTGTTCCCAGGAATGCAGAAGGTCCTGGAGCTCCTCAGTTGAGGCTTTTAGCTTGGAACCATCTGGAAGCTCTGCCTCCACCTGTTCCAGTTCCATAGAGGCTTTCTCCACCTGAAGACAGAGCTTCAATTATCTATGTATATTTTCTGGGCTGTTTCTCTTATCGTATACAATCTTTTACTATTTTTCAGGAGTCATTTGTAACATACCCAAATGCTTATGTTTATTTTTATGCATTTAGCAGACGCTTTTATCCAAAGCGACTTGCGAAATAGACAGAATCTTACAGTTATCATCAATATGACAATAAGTCCTCTAGTGCAAAGTCCCTAGTCAGAATCATTGGTCACAGCAAAGCAGAGAGATGGAAGTGCAGAAAGAATAGTAGAGGGGTACAGATTTATGGGTGAGAGTTAGGATAGAAGATGCTCTTTGAAGAGGTGGGTCTTTAAGAGTTTCCTGCAGATAGACAGAGACACCACTGTTTTTGTCGTGCTTGGTAGGTCATTCCACCATCTTGGAACAACGCATGAAAACAGTCTGGATTGTCTTAAGCGTGGTGTCGGCACTACTAAATGACAATCCATTGGTGACTGGAGTGACCGAGTTGTGACATAAGCCTCTGCAAAAGGGTTCAAGTAGACAGGAGCCATACCGTCAAGCACTTTGTAGGCTAGCATCAGGGACTTGAATTTGAAATTGGTTTTACCGTACAGGCTGGGAGACCAGTCAGAAGTGCGTTACAATAGTCTAGGCGGGAGACGATGCCCATAGGCTTGTCAAAAATAAAAATGTTGACATTTGAAAGAACCAATCAACTAACTAAGCTTTGTATGTTTCATTTACTTACACTGTTTGTGATATCAAGCCACTCCGTGACCTTCTGTTTACTCCGTGCTACCAGCTCCTGTGTGTAGTGGTGTAGTCTTGAAACCCGTCTCCACAGAGTAGTCACAGTGACCTCCCTGCATCCACGACAGCTCTGTTCTGGGCACCACTCCTTCAGCCCCTCCAGATTTTTCAGCAGAGACTCCATCTCCTCGGATAGCATCTAAACAAAACATGTCCGTTCAGTCTTTAGTTATGAAATACATAAGCAAATTGTTTTATACTTACTGTGAACTTTTCTTTCTGCACTGTGCATTCAGCAAGACAGCTGACTTTTTGAGAGATCACCTCTAAAAGCCTAATCTCTACATTAGTGAGACGCTGAATGATTTCATCATATGACTTGCTGAAGGTTGAATGTTGTTCAGCACACCTAAAAAAACAAAAATGGTTAATGTCCAATAAAAAGAAGTGCTAATGATCATAAATCAATAAATGCTTTAGAATACTAATAATTCTAAAAATCAGTGCTCAGGTTTTCTTTTTTTTTTTTACCTGTTAAGACATTCCAGTCGTACGTGACACTTTGCCTGGAGAGTGGACTTCTTGACCAGGAGCTGGCTTAGAATATTTTGCTGTAGCTGTTCCAGTTTCTGTGGTGACAAGCAGGTCTGCTGAACAAAGTGGTTTTGGAGCCGCTCAACATGGGTTTGGAACAGATCCTCCAGTGTCAACAAGGTCTGCTGGGTCTCTTTCAGACTTTCACAGCATGGTCCAGCAGATCCCTGAGGAGGCAATATGCAGGCCTCGATGTCCCGCAAAAACCTTAGTGCCTCATTAACAGCATAGGTGTATTCTCTCAAACATCCCCTGGCGTGACAAATGTTTTCCTGAAGTGTAACAAAGCAAATTTTAAGTCAGAATCACTCTGATAATTGTAGCTTTTTTCCATTTCTGTTTTAAGGATGTTCTCTATATAGCATATTTATTCATTTTCATTATCAGCAAAGCTATGTATGTATTTAAAGCTGAACCTGAGAGTAACGTCTATCAACCTGGTTAGTAAGATATGCACAGTTCCAGGTGTAAGTCATTTTCATGCTTAGAAGATGTTTGAAGGGTGATCGTGTTCAAAACTCACCATTTGTGAGTCACATTGACTGAGGACAGTGTTTTTCAACGTCATTAGATCTTGAGATTCTTGGTTGTCTTTGTTTCCCTTCTTTTGTTCTAAAACTTCCAGGACTTTTGTTCTTGACTGCACAATCTTTTTTAAAGATAAAACTCCCTGATATTCTTTGTCAATCAGAGTTAAATCAGGCTCCAATAAAGAGGGTCTCTGAAGCTCTTTCTGGGTCGTTAAAAGGAAAAACTCAACGGCTTTCTTTTCTGATTCAATGTCCAGTTCCTTAAGGACGTCCCACTCAACAAGTCTGAGGTTATTGCAGAGGGCCATCTCCCAGGTCTCCAGACTCTCCTCATTTTGTTTGAGCCTCTGTTGCTCTACAGTCAGTTGTGAGGGGTATAGGTCAGAGGAGATAATTTGAAGCACGGAGCGAGTTTCTTTACACAATTCTCTCATCAAAGGGAACTGGTTGAGGAGAGTGTGACAAAGTCTGTACCTCTCCTTATGGTCCCTGCTCTCCTCTTTGGTCTGGTGAACCTGTTCTTGAATGTGCTCTTTGAGGTCCTCCACACATTGCCTCATGTTCAGGTACCTCTCATGATCTTTGGATTTCATTTCCAAGGAAATCATTTTGTTTTGAAGTTCAGAAATCACTGAGTTCAGTTCATTTGACTTTTCTCGGGGAATCCATGGTACCAGAAGGTCAATCTGAGACTTGTGTTCCAAAATCAGAAGTTTAAAAGGTTCCAACGCTTGGAGAGACTCTCTTGTGATAGGGTACCTGTGTTTGCTCAGATCTGCCAGTATTAGTCTCAGGCTGTTTTCAACAGTGACCGCATTTTTCTTTCTTGAATCGATAGTCTTAATAAGTTCCTCCAGCTCTTCCTTATTAGCCTTCTCTTTTCTGTTAATAGTTCTGATATCCTCCTGGAGGTTTCTAATTTTGTCAAAATGAAGACAAGTTTCTGTAACACTAAGGTCAGATGCAATATCTTTACTAGTCATGTAAATAGCCTCACAGATCGCTGCCTGCCTCTCAGCTTCGGCCTGGGTTTGTTGAATCCGGTGAACTTTGGAACCAAGTTCAACTTGGCTCAAAGGTTCACTATCTGAACTCCCCGCTGCCATTGATTGCAGATGAGTCAAAATCCAGGAGTCTAAGTCAGCAATCTGCTCAAATAGCTTTTCTCTGGTTTGGAGTCCTGTTTCTACCTCTTTCATTGCCTTAGACAGCTTCTCAGTGGTAGACTTTGAGAGTTCTTCGAGGCATTCCAGAGAACTATGGACAATAGGCACCTCTTCGACCTGGTCCATCTGTGGAAAGAGCTCTGTCACTTCCTCCACCAGTGACTCCAGTTGACCCTGTTTGGCCATCACATCAGCCTGCAGCTTTTTCAGACCTCTGAGCTGCCGGTGAACCTCTTCAGGAAGAAGAGGCACCCTCTTTCTTCTCCCTTCAATGTCACTCTCTGTTTCCCTGGCCCATGCAAGGCCATCCCTCATCACAATGATTATTTTCTCCATGATGGGGTTGCTGCTGTTCTTACTTTTGGAAGACATTAGTTCCTCACTGTGGGAAAGTTTGTCTTTGATGTCTTGGAGCCTGTGATCTATCTCTTTCGATTCTATTTCCCAACGTGAGTTAAGGAGAAACTCCTCTGATAGCTTCTGGAGATGTTGGCATTGTTGCTGGGCTGCTTTAATCTCAGCATTTGACTGCATCAGCTGCTGTGCATCCTTGCAATTCCACTGACCAACCGAAGAAGACATGGTTTCAAGGTCTTTCTGGATTTTCTGTATGCATTCTTGTAGACTTGACAGCTCAGATAGAAGACTGTTGGAGTGTTCAGAATGCACCTTTGTGTGATGAAGATTGCTCTCAATTCTTCTTTCCAGGGCTCCCCACCTTTCTTGGAGGGTCTTTAGCCCCATCTGTGCAGCTTCTTGGTCCGACTGACTCAGATGGAGGTACAACTTTGTATGGGTAACAAGCAACTCCCCAAGTACTGTTCTGTTCTCCTCCATGCTTCTCTGTAAGTAACACAGTTGCTCTACTTCCTGTTGGCTGTTTCCCTGGGGGGACCTGGATAAAAAGCAAGAAGTTACATCGCATCCACGTAACACAATGTGAAACTCTGCTTGATGAGCATTTGCAATGCAACTATAGTGCATGTTTTTTCATATGTCCTGATATTTTCACTTAGACTTTGACTCAGTTTATACTAAATTGTTATCTAAGTCTAGATTTTGTGTAATTAGTTTAAAAAAAGAACATCCTTTTGACTGCTGATTAAAAAGACGTAATCTGAATGCTTGATCTACGGTATAATACTAAGTACTATAACCTAACTAAAATACTACTTCAGTTGATTTAAATGAAACTGTAACATGGCAACTTACCTTTGTACAGCATCCAGTTCTGCTGACAGTTTATCTACTGTGGCATTTACTGTTTGAGTCTGTGTCCAGTAATCAGTCACCAGATCTAACTGGGCCTCTTTACTGTGGATTACAGCAGCTCCATCCTGGGCTGCAGCGTTCCACTGGTCCTCCATGTTCTCCAGGGTTTCCCTGTTTATAGTATCAGCTTCTTTGAGCTCAGAGAACAATGATACCTGGAGCTGGGCGAGCAGTCTGCACTCCTGCTCTCATTAAAAAAAAGAAAACAAGGTAACTCAGTTTGCATATCTAACATAAATAACTTTTGCTCAACTGATATACTAAGCAAACATTTATCTATTAACTAATATAACATGGATATCCATTTTAAATTCTTTTGTGGAAGGGCTCACAGTCAATTCTCACGAGTAATAAACAAGAAGATTTTTTAATCTTACCTGAGCTTCTTCCAACTGTCGAGTCATGCTTGTTAGGCTGAGTTCAGCGGGGCAGTTCTTAAGGCTCAAAACTTTAGAAACTAGTCTGCTTAGACGCATATCTAAATCACTGGTAGATGTCATAAGAGTCTCTGGAGCATCCTCCAGTGGTTTACCCTTTGGAGCGTACACACATCAAAGCAGATTTGTCAAAATACAGTTTGATGATTGGTATGAGTGTTAAAAAAGTTCAAATCCAACTTATGGTTACAAGGTGGAAACATAATACTTTAATGGTCTGGAATTAAACCAGTAGTGTTTTACAGCAATGCTCTTGTTCCTAAATTAGGAAATGTTGGGTAGTTGCTTTTGTGAATTGTAGTTGTACTAGTTTAAATAGACACTATGGCAGGCAAAAACCATGACAAGTACCTCAATGAGTTGACTTATTGTCCCCGTTCTTGCGAGTTTCTGTATCTCTGAGAAGATATTGTTCATTGCTGATTTTTGTAGTGGCTCCACAACTACATTTTCCATCATCAAAACACTAGCAGTTGCTTTGCTTTCCGTAGAGCTTGGCCTTTCTAGTTGGGTCTCTTCCACCAGAACAGTATCTGTTGACAGTTTCTCAATTGTCTGAAGAGACTCTGTCGATATCTTGTCACTCAAAACCTCCTATTTTGGGCATGAAAAGGCAGTATTAATATGCAAGATTTAACACACAAATTAGTAAAAGCAACAAAATTATGATTTTCAAGTGGAAATAACAGACCTCACAGACCTTAAAAGTCCTTTCCATTACAAATTATGAGTGATCAAATCATGTACATATTTTTTTAAAACCATATCATATAGCAGATCACTATGACGTTTTAATTACCTGTTCCTTTTGGAGTGAAAGTTCAACGATGACAGTTGTTTCTTTTTCTTCACCATCTCTCTCAGTCTTCATCTTTGGCTGTGGTCCATCATTTATATTAGTTTTATCTGATGATATTTCTTCCATTGCAGTGTCTTGAACATCACAGGGTTTGTGCAGGGAATCAGTGATTCTTCTTTGCTCACTGGCTTTTGCAATCTCAGATGCTGATCCATCATACTGGGCTACACCTGCTAGCCCATCCTTGCTTTCCTTAACTGGTAAAATGCTGATACATGATTCTGCTCCTGTATCTTTTTCCGTTATGACTGTTTTGGATTCAAGTACAGTAATTTCAACAGACATTTCATCCAAGGTCTGTGGTGAATCCTGAATGTCATGTGTTAATGGTGCAGCATGTTTTTCTTGGACATCAGCCTCCTTTTCTACTTCAAGTCCCTCTGGTGGAGCTTTGTTGGATTTTAACTGAGAGCCATTCTCATTTGGTTCATCGGTAATTGGCTCTTGTTGACCTTGTTTCTCAATTTGGACTATTGTCATTGACATTTCAGCTCCAGCTGATAAAATGTCAGTAGAGGAAAAAGATTTGATTTCTGTCACGTTTTCACACCGGATATTTGTTTCAACTCCTTCAGCTTTTGGCACCTCCTTTATTTCAATTGATGTGATTTGTTGCTCCGGTTTATCAGGTTGTAAGATCTCCACTTGGTTTCCTTTCTGGATAGCATTTTCTGTGTCTTGCTCAGATAAGCTTATTTCTTCAAATGTTGTCTCTACCAAAACACTAATGTTTTGAGTGGATTCACTCTGAACCACATCCTCTTGCCTTTCAGATCCAGATGCAGGCCCTTCTTTGAGACTGGCAGGTATATTAACTTGTATAACGTGAACGTCATGACACTTTTTATCCTCCTCCACAGAACTTTTGTCCGGGATTCTGAAATCACCATCAACTACATTCACTAAAACTTCAAAATGACTTTCTTGGGTGCCCGTTTCCTTTTCAGGTTGTTGCTGTTTAGAATTTAAGAGTTCTGTCTCTGTTTCAGTGTGACTTGGAATAACAATGTCCTTCTCATCTATATCTATTTCTATATACCTTGTCTCATGTGGTTCTATTGACTGAAAAGCAAGAGTAGTGAGTTGATTTAAATCCCCTTGAGCCACATTGTCTTTGTAGTCAGCACTGTCTGTCTGTACTGTTTCTTTAGTCATTTCAGTTGCAGTGTTCCTTGGAATGTGATCAGCTGTAATCTTTTCTTCTCTCTGGTTATTTGTTTGAATTAATTCAGTCGTTGGTTCTTCTTCTATCGTGAATAAATTGTTATCACTGCTTTGTATATCTAGTTGTAGAATGCGAACTTCATGCATTTCTTCTGTGACAGATTCATCATCGAAGCTCTTTGATGCAATGCCTATGTCATAAGTCTGCAAAGTGGCCGGCTCTGCATCTTCCAAGAGCCCAGTCTGTTCTAGTGTGACTGTATCTTGCTCATAAATGCTTATTTCTATCAATTCAGCCTTGTGTTTTGTCAATGCTGTTAGTTCAGGAATGCTGGGCTGAGCAGAGTCTTTTTGACCCATATTGTTTTCTAATTGAACGTCACTTTCAAGTACACTTTGGCTATGGGTAATTGTCTCAGTGATATCCTCTCCTGGCTGTTTATCTATTGTGACAAATTTGTGTTCAATGTCAGCTTGACCAGAGGGTATGTCGAGTTGTAGAATGCGTATTTCTGTCAGTTTTTGATTAAATATATCCTCCTGGCTTTCGTAGCTATCTGGGATGCCATGTGCTGAATTTCGAATTTCTTTTGCCTGATCATCATAATCCTTAACTTCCAGTTTTTCTCGTCGTATTTCCTGTTTAGACAGATTTACCTCATCCACACTTTGACTTGTTTTCATTGTTTCACCCCCAGTTGGACTTATTTCTGTCACCTCTCTGTGAGGCTGAGTGATTCCTGAAGCTACAGAGATGGATGTGGAGGAATTTTCAGCTACTATCGCTTCTCCTGGCTGATCTTGCATGATCTCACTTGTTTTGGTCACTCCAATATCAGGGAGATCCAGAACCAAATATCTCTTCTTAATCTCTGTAGTGTTTTCCCATAAATTGTTGATGTAATCTACTATATTTGGTGTGTCTGTGGCATCAGAAGAGATTGAGGGCTGTATTTGAGGGATACTGATTTGGCCTCTTTCTGTAGACTCACAAATGGGTTGAAATGTAATTAATGAGCTGGGCATAATGTCTGACTTGAGGGGTTCAGCAATTACTGAAGTGCATATATCTGTTTGGAAAGGATGAGTATCACTTGTTTCAAGAATGACTGTAGTCACTCTCATTTCTTGAAGATCCTTTGTGGAATCAGTGGCACTATAAGGGATATCCGTCTTGTCGTTAACAGGAATAATATTCTCCTCTGCTGTTTTACTTACGGAAGCAGCATTTTCAATCTGATCCATGACTACTTCTGAATCTCTGACAACTTCCATGGCGTCAGGTTCACCTTCTAGACATACACTCTCTACTGTATTTATTGCAATCTTAGAGTCTGTCGCTGGAACCTCAGTTTCCCGATTTTCCAACGTTAAATTGGCCAGTGTTTCTTCTTTGAACGAGATTTCTGGCGATGCTACAGGACATGTCATTACGTCCTGCCAATCCTTACTTTTTTCTACTTCTTCAGTGGTAACAGTGATCGATTGTTGAGCTGCAGAAACACTTTCACTTTCAAGGTTTTCCCTTGCTTCTTGAGAATCTGAGTCAGTGCTTTCACTTGACTTGAAAGCTGTGAAAACATCACTACTTTTTGACTTTCTCTTCGCTGGTATGACTATTGTTTCCTTTAAAACAGCTTTGTCAGCTTCTTTAGCAGATCTCTGCTCATCGGTTTCTTTTGTTTTATCTTTCACAGTTTTGGAAGAGTCCGCTTGTGTAGTTCTCAAACTCTTTGACTTTCTTTTGGTTGGAGAAAGCTTACCTTTGTCCGTTTTTGTAGTTTCACTTACTCCTGTGATCACATCTGAAGAAGAAGACTCTTTAGCTAAAGGTTCCTCTCTATTTTTTTCATGGTCCACATTGGCTGATCTGGCAGGGGCATCAACTGTCTCAGAGGTTTTAGAGAGGTCACCAGTTTTTGACTTTCTTCTGCTGGGTATAATGTTTGTTTCTTCAACATCAGGTTCACCACTCATCTGAGCCACGTCAGGAAGACTTTTGTACAATTCATTGCTCTTTGACTTTCTCTTAGGTGGTAGAAGAATTGTTTCAGTTGTCCCACTAATAATCGCTGGAGATGCAGAAGACTTTTCAGGTTCTTGTTTTTGTTCAGTACGGTCCACAATCGGCATTCTTCTTGTATCCAAAGCTGTGGAAACATCAAGACTTTTTGACTTTCTCCTTGTTGGTATTTTGGTTTCTTCTGCCAACAATTTATTTTGTTCTCCTGAACTTGTTAAAGATATCTCACTGCCAGTTCCTTGCTTTTTTTCCATCACCTCCGCAGCCAGATCTTCTTGGTGGAGTTTTTTACCTTTTGATCTTCTTTTGGTCGGAGAGGGCTTATTCTCCTGCACAGCAGGTGCTGTGGTTGGCTCAATTTCCACTTGTGGAGATGAAGTCTTGTTAGCATCTTCAGGTTCCACGTCAGGGCTATGGGAAGCAGTTGGCTTTGTACCTGTGGGAGACTCGGCAGTCTTTGATTTTCTTCTGATTGGTATGAGTTTTGGTTCTTCCGTGAGGGTGGTTTCAGCTCGCTCCATCATATCTGGAGCACACTTTTGACTTTCAGGTTTTTCTTTAATCTGTGGAGCTGGTGTCTTAGTGTATTTTGGAGTAAGATTTGGACTCCTGGACTTTCTCCTTGGAGGTAAAACCTTACTTTGCTCAAAATCAGCAGTTTCACTCTGCCCTAAAACAAACTCTGGTTCATTTACCACATCCTCAGCAGTAAAGAGAGACGTCGAGCTCCCAGTTTCAGTAGGTTTACTCTTTGACTTTCTCCTGGATGGAAGAGGTAAAGTGTCTTCACTAACAGGAAGTACAGAGAGATCAGTTTCCTGTTGGATCACAGTGTAATCTTCAACAGTGTGTCTCATCTGCTCAACCGAGAGAGACACATCTCTTTGTACTTGTTCAGACTTTGTTTCTTCAGGGATACTCTCACTTGGTTCAATGCTGATTGCCTCTACAGTTGCACATGTCATTTCAATGACTTCCTTCCCGAATTGAGATGTACCCTCACGGTGCATCTCCTCGGGATAAAATGGCAATTGTTCTCCAGTGGTTGCATATGTATCTGTCAATGACATTGTTTCTGGCTGCTTATCTTGATACTGTTCAGTTAAATGCTTGTTTTTCCGCGGTGGCGCCACAACAGAGTTCTTTCTTTCCTGAGGATCATGAAGTACATTGGGGGGTTGAATAACAGGTTCTTTACTCCTTTGTTCAAGCTCCTTGAAAAAAAAAACACACAAAAGTGGTATTGATAACGGAAACATACAACATAAATCTATATTAATCTTAATCAAATATTATTGATTTATTATTTATCAATTATTTGCCTGAATATATACAAATACCTTTAAGTGTTGCCTTAAATTAGCCTTGTGCAAGTCTAATTCTCTTAGAATCTCTGATTTCTCTTTTTGCAGTCTCTCAAAGCACTCTGGCTCCAGACAGGCAGTTAAAAACTGCTGGTGAGACAGCACCTCCTGCAGGGTGTTCATCAACTTTTCACCTTCTTCCAACGTCCCCTAAACCAGTCGGACAATTGTACAGATTTCAAGTAATCAATTAATATATGTATGAAAAACACTTCATATACACTGTAAAACAATTTTAAACAGATGTATTAGTATTTTTTATATATATCTAACTGCATTTATGTTTCGGAATGAGCATTGTCAGATATACTGATAACATTAAAAGAAAAAACCTGAACAGATGAAATTGAGTCTGATGGGGTGCTGTTGTTCCATTTCCCCAGGGCATCAAGGCAGTCCTGCAGACACCTGGCTGTATTTGAGGAGCATGAGCTCTGATGCTCACCCAGCCTGGACTTCAGGCTGTGGACATGTTCAGAACACATTTACTGCCAACTCAACCCAACAATTTGCATGATGAACATAAGTAATTATACATGTTGAGAAATAAAACTATTTTTAATTTCCCTATAATCAATTCAGATAATGAATTTAACATTTTTCTTTATTATAATTCAAAACACTTAAATGTGACTCAAAAGCACACCTGACTGCAGCAGTGTCTACAAAAATAAAATAATAAAAATGAAAGAGATTGCTATTGGCATCAGTGATAAAAAATATAAAAACCCACGGCATGCTCTAAGCATGTATGATTATTGAAACGATAGAACAAACACAGGCATACCAACTAAGAATTTAGCACAAAATATATCTTGACCATATAGTGACACAGCAAGCTGGGTGGATATTGTTGTAAATAAAGTTGGAAGGTTTAAAGGCAGCATTTCTTTAAGTTGTTGACATTTTAACTAAAAAAAAAGACATGGTTCAATCATAAAAAGTGTCAAAGATGTAATGGAATCCATCCCTTTTCCTTTTTCAATATTTTTCCCAATTTTGAAAATATCGTCTTTACCTTGCATGTTGCTGGCATAAAGACTCGACAACTCTGATCGTCTCTGGTGGAAGCTCATTGTTAGAAGACAGCAGCATTATTTCCTGGTAAAGATCGTGAACTTTCACACCCAAATACTGTAGTGACATCTCACAGTTCTGAAAGAAACGAAACAACATCACGTAAGCAGATTCCACATGCTAAGGGTTCATTTCTAACAGACTTGTACTGAACCTCACCATAGATACATACAGAACTATCAAACAATTACTTTTGAAAACATCTAAAAGCATTTAGTCTGCTAACATAAAACACATTTCAAAGATTCCTGTTTCTACCCAACAGAAACCATGCTAATTACCTGGAGGCTGTTCCAATGCTGTTTCAGCTGATCAATGTTATCTTGTGGTTCACTGTAGCTGAGGGCCTGGTCCAGAGAGCGGAGTTCCCACTGCAGGGCTGCAGCTCTTTCCTTCAGCTCCTGAGCCATTTTGGCCAGCTCGCAGTCCATCTCCTCCAAGCGCCTCTCGCAGGTTGTCAGGTGCTCCTTAACTTCCCGCTCCGAGTTCGCGCAAAGGTTATGGAGGTGGCTGACTTCCAAGTTCAAGGCATCCTGACCACCAGGAGTACAAAGCCTCAGCAAACTGTCTTTGGAGGAATCCAGCTCCTTCATTTCTCTCTGCTCCCTGTCAACTGTCTGAAGCAAAGCCTGGAATACAAAAAGAAGCCCAGATGTCTAGATTATTAGAATGCTGATTAAAAAGCATTTATTTGATCCTTAAAATATATAAGCGCCTGACTAAGAGGAAAATCATTCTTTACCCAAAAGTCAAACAATTAAGACATAGGTCTATTAGATTAGAACAATGGAGATTTTAAGGAACATGTAATGATAGTTCCACTTACATAATCATACCTAACATCTTTAAGAGAAATAGATTTTTAAGATCCATACAAAAATGATTAATATTTTCAGATACCTGTGCGTTCACTCACCAATTCTACAAAAAGTTGTGTTACATTTAGATTTTTCTAACCTTTAAGTTATTGGCAGCACTGTGAAGACCGTTTTTATCCACTGGAGGAGGTCCGAGGCCTTTAACCTGCTCCCTCAGCCAGTCCTGGGCAGCTTGATGCTGCTCAATCAGCAGGGTGCAGTGTCGCTCAGTCAGAATACCCTGCTCCAGGTTTTCAACCGCATCCTGAGAAAAAGCAGGTGTGCCATTAACTGACAGTAGCCATTCTTTTAAACCCAGTTGAAAGAGGGATGATACATAAAAGTATATAAAAGATAATGTTTTGGTACTTTGTTTATTCAAAAGTAAGTAACTCACGAACTTTCATCTAGAAATATGTCAAAAATCTAATCTGGTGTTTCTATATAACATTCCAAAGGTATGTGTAATTACCATAAAAAGAGGCATAGAAGTCAAATATGTACGACTATATGCAGCCAATACTGTGTCACTGCACGATTTTAAACTTACAGTTAGTTTTTTCAGCAGAGCAGGGATGTTCTCCTCAGTTGCCCAGGCTGGAACTTGCCAACTTTGGTCCTGTGTAATTTCAAACAGCTCCGTAGCCTTGACGGGAAAATGAAATATTAGTATATAGGTTTCAGCTCATAGATTTTTTCAAGCGCATTTTAGTAGAAACCCGGCCAAGATTTAATCATCTTATTTAAGCTGTATTAAAACAATGTGGAAGAAGTAAAACCGTTATTTTGTCTTAAATTGAATTAACTGTGACATGTTTTGCATGTTTACCTGTGCCCGCACATCTGAAAGCACGGGGGCCAAAGCTACGCTCTTGTCCAAGAGAATCCGGGCCTGTTCAACAGCTTGCCTTCGCTCCCCCAGGCCAGGCCAGGGGAAGACACATGGGAGGTTGTCCGTCTGCTTTTGGAGCTCAGCCAGGCAAGCCTCAGCTTGATCTCGTTTGTGCTGACTGGACACCAGCCGCTCCACAACACCCTGTAACTCCCTTTTGGGCGACAGAGGAAAAACAACAAAAAGATTGATGATCATGTTTTATATGCAGCATAAAATGCTATTGGTATACGGTATGATGTCCTGCCACTTTAAGATTAATTCTTATGTAATATTTAAGTTTGAAAAAATGTCATAAGACAACTTTCTGTACCTCTGCCTCTCCTCGGCTATGTGCACAATTGTTGTCCACTTTGCCTCTGTGTTCCTGACTATCTGCTGAAGTTCATCCCTCTTATTTTTTTCCAGATCTCTGTGATCGCAGATACTCTGAGCTCTTCTCTTCAGCTCTGTCACTTGAGTGGCAACATTTGATTTTGAGCTCAAGATGACCTAAATCCAAAGACAGATACAAATAGCTGTAAAACAGGAGTCATGAATTTATGTGAAACAATATTGAGATTTTTGTTTAAACTGCGATCCCCCACATGAGAAACAATCTATATCGCTCAGGGCACTGAGAAATAAATTCAAATGAATCTGATGCAGAGTGTTTTTGCCCATAAAAATGTGTATATTTAAAATTCATACCCTTGCAGTGTTCAGTTGTTCCTCGATCTGAGCTTTGGTTCCCTGAGTGCCTTCTCCCATGGAATCAGCTTTTGTCTGCATGTCTTCAACCCATGTCTTTGTATTATTCTCTTGGGTCCAGAAGGACTCGAGCTCCTTGGATAGTGAATACTGGATCTCAGCTTTTTTTAGGTTGTTTTCAGCTGTCTGCAGTATTATCTTCCACTCTTCTTCTGAGTCTTGTACAGCCTGCTGAGCCTCTCGCTTTGTGTGCTCCTCCAAGTCCTCCTGGTCAGCCAGGCTCTGGCTTTGTCTTCTCAGTTCTGTTAGTTTAGAATCTCCCTCAGGTTTGCTGCTTAGAATTTTCTGATTAATGATTAGACACGTCATTAATTTTTGTGTTATACAAGCAAAATATACAGTAGAAACCGCTAAAACAGAATTAGTCAGAGGGATAATGGAGAACAAAAGCAAATCAGGTTATCTAATGTATATATCAATTATTTGTGAAAGGATACCGAGGTACAATTCAAACTGACCTGTGCAGTGTTTATCGCCTCTTCTTGATTGGTTTGATTGTCCAGAGAAATAAGGTTCTGCTTCTTTTCTTCCAGCCAGGCCCAAACGATTCCCCTCAAAACTTGGAAGTCCTTCACCTGGCCATCCAGAACACACTGCCTCTCAGTTTGGCTCACAGCCTGTCTAGCAGCTTGCAGTATCCTCAACCACCGCTCTTCTGTGTCTTTTGTTTGTTGCTGAACCTCCCGCTTTTTGCGCTCTTCGAAGTCTTGATCACACAAACTCTGAGCCTGTCTCCTGAGCTCCTGGAGCTTTAAGTCTCCTTCAGGCTTCAAGCTCATAACGGCCTAACAATAAATAGAATGTGTCAAAACTTAAATTCAGACCCACGAGTGCTCGCCATTTACTCCTGAGCTCTGATGTTACCTCTGCTGCACGCAGTCTGTCCTCAGCATTAGTCAGACTACTCAGAGACTCCAGCTGTTGTTGAATAACCTCAAGCCAATGAGTGACACCTTGCTGATGGGTGTTGAATTCTCTCAGCTGAAACAATATGAACATTCATGAATAAGAATATTCATTCAAAGTTGATCAACGGCAGACTACTTGAAAACCAAGGAAATTCATCATTTTTCTCATCCTGAAATAAAGGGAAGATGCATTCCCAGGGTTTAGTAACTTTTTGCTTCTGCTCATCGCTTAATGGTTTGATGAGTTGAGAAGCAACAGAAAAGGAAAAGTTTTACAAGCTGATGAAAGTAAAAATGTAAAAGAATGATTACCTAACCTATAACTGATAACAACTCATTTAAATGGCTCCTTTACATATTCCACAGTATTTTTATGTCTATGAGGAAAAAATTGTCCATATGTAAGTGTGTATATATATATATATAATTGATTTGGAAAAAAAATTTAATTAAACATTTTTTAAAAAAGGGTTTTGAAATTGGTTTCAAAACCATTTGTGTGTGGTTCTCCTCGAGGTTTCTGCCTGTTAAAAGGAAGTTTTTCCTTGCCTGTGTCGCCTAGTGTTTGCTCATGGTGGGAATTGTTGGGTTTCTGTAATTAACTTCAGAGTAAGGTCTGACCTGCTCTGTTTGGAAAGCGCTGTGAGATAACTGTTGTGATGTGGCGCTATATAAATGAAATTGAATTGAACTGAATTGAATTTCTGAATTCTTAAGTATTGAAGTTACGGACAAAATGATTTGTATGATTTATAAATTATGTTTTCACAAACAAATATCCAAAGCTACACTCAAATTAAGTATTTTGCACGCCGTGATGTATTGAGTTGATTTTCTCCACATAGATTCAAAAAGTCAAATAACAATGATATGCCTCACCTCCAACATTTTCCTTTCGGATTCTTGGGAAATTTCTGCCTCGGCAGCAGCTTCTACCTGTTTAGCTGCTTGCAGGACAGCCCTCCACTGCTCCTCTATGTCTTTCACTGCCTGCTGAACCTGGGCATTTCTGCCCTCATCAGCATCCTGATGATCACAAAGACTTTGGCCCCGCCTCCTCAGGTTGTTCACCTGATAGTCACCCTCTGGTCGGGAGGTCAAGAGAGTCTTACAAAAAAAAGAGAAATGAAAATGATTCAATAAAAAAAATTAGAAGAAAGAAAAGCTGTACCATAAAACAGCATAAAATTATTTAGTTCATATTGTCTGGCATTCTGACTGACCTACCTCTAGTTTAAACAAAAACAAATATGTTCACAGTTATATTAAGATAGCTTTTAAGTAGCTTTCTATTTTTTAATCAACTATCTTACAGTTTAAGACATGATCACCGAGAGTCTACCATACGGACTCAGTTAATCAATACATCTTGTTAGCAATTGATTATTGATTATTTCTGTTAAAACTCACCTGAGCTGTGCGGCATCTCTGTTCAGGTGTTTTGTGACTGCCCACTGAATTCAGCTTCTGCTGTTTATCTCTGATCCAAGATTCAGCGTGTTTGCTCTGACTCTCAAAGTCATCCGAAAGACATCGGAGTTCTGCTTGTCGGGCAGACTGCAAAACAGTCCTCCACTGTTGCTCCGTGTTGTTTAACAACTGCTCAATTTCCAGTTTCCTGCTTTCCTCTATACGCTCGCACAAACTCTCAGATTGTCTATTCAGGTCCAGCAGCTTGGAATCTCCTTCAGATTCTGAAGCCATGACAGCCTGTACATGAGGACAGAGAGAAAGTGAGGTGATTACAAATTTATTTGGCTTTGTCTTATCTTTAATGTTCCTCTTTTATCGCATTCTTAGTAACTTATTCAAGTAACATTGTATCTAAAATGCTTGTAGAAAAATGTGTGTGCGAATGCAGAACAGCCCTATGCTTGGATTGTTTACACCAGGGATTGGTTGATTCCCTGATGCAACGACTTTCTCTGAAGAGATTTCGAGAAGGAACAAATGGATGCAGATGGGTACTAAAAAAGAAGAGAAAAAGATTGGGCATAAAACTGTGGTGACTTATAAAGAAGGGAAATATTAAGCCATCTCTCCCCATTGTCACCATTGGAAACATGAGCCAGGAGTATTTTAGGTGCAGCCTGATGTGCTTTACCGAGACATGGGTGGACTAGGACAATCCTAACAACATCTCCCACACTGTTCAGGCTGACAGGAAGTACACCTGGCATGGTAAACATAAAGGTATAGGTCTTGCCATACTTTTTAGCAACAGATTATGTAATCGTAGTCACATCACCCTTAAGAAGAGAATTTGCCGCCTGGTCAATGAACTTCTTCAGACAATGTTATTTGCCCTGGAAGTTTTTACATGCCAAAATACAGAACGTTGACATCCTCCCCTCTGCCAACCAACAGGGGTGTGTGACGCCGTCCACTTTACTCTCGCCAGTCTTCACCATCTTCATCACTATTTCAGATGACTTCAACCATATCACGATGGAAACAACCCCACCAACTTCAAACAGTATGTTAACTATCCTACTAGAGAGGAGAGAACTTTAGGCAACTGGCTTCAGGTTAACTGGCACCAGAATTGTTGAAGGAAGTGTGGAAAATGACCTGAATTGGCTCCTGCTTCCCACAACACCACTGTTTCTTCTGTTGTCTGCCCACTTATCGGTAACCTACCCCTCCACATAACAGTCTACCAGGCTTCTGTCCTACTTCCCCCTGCACCTTGTAGCCTATCTCCAACCCCACGAACCGAAGCAATAAGCACCCCTTCCCCAACTGCTGATCAGGTAAGAAGACAAGCTGTCAAGACTCTACAAACACAGGGTGCTCAAAGGCTGTACCACCCCGCTCTGTGGAATACTCCAGCATGTCTTTAATCTCAACTTGAACCTACAGAGAGGGTCCCTACGATATTGAAGACATCCTGCCTTGATTCTGTGTCACAACAACACAGGACAATAGCTCTGTGGAATACTCCAGCATATATTTAATCTCAACTTGAACCTACAGAGAGGGTCCCTACGATATCGAAGACATCCTGCCTTGTTTCTGTGTCACAGCAACACAGGACAATAGCTCTGTGGAATACTCCAGCATGTCTTTAATCTCAACCTGAACCTACAGAGAGGGTCCCTACGATATCGAAGACATCCTGCCTTGTTTCTGTCTCACAGCGACACAGGACAATAGCTCAATGGCACTGACTTCACATATCATTAAGATCTCAACTTGAACCTGCAGAGAGGGTCCCTACGATATCGAAGACATCCTGCCTTGTTTCTGCGTCACACCGACACAGGACCATAGCTCAATGGCACTGACTTCACATATCATTAAGATCTCAACTTGAGCAACTCCAGCCGAAAGTCAAGCCAATGTTTGACCCGTCATAGTTGCTTACTAACCCCTACTTGGAGTTGAATATGCAGTCATCTTTCTCCTCAACCACATCTATGCTCACCTCGACAAGGTTCACCTTCTATGACTTCTTCAGTGCTTTCAAAACCACCCTCATAGCTCTACTAGGTGTCAAACTGACAGGGATGCAGGTGGATACCTTGCCCATGACATTACAACACGGTGGCAGACAGATGCTTCAACTACTGCATCTGCTAGACTGTGCTGAGGATGTTATATGAGATAATTGTTGCAAGTGTCGTCCTCTATTCTGTTACAAGGGAGGGCTGCGGTTTAAGGGTGGATGACGGCAACAGGCTGAACACACTGATCTGGAGGGCAAGTGATGTTGTAGGGTCAGAGTTTGACTCTCTGAAAGTGATGTCAGAGAGAAGGATGTTGTCAAAGTTAAAACGCTACCCTACAAAATTACTCCCATTCACTCCACAGCCTGCTGGTTGGACACAGAAACAACGTCAGCCAAAGAACCATTCCCTAATTGTTCACCACAGAGCACCAAGGGAAATCATTCCTGCTTGTGGCCATCTTTTTTTTAAATTCACCCCCCAGAGACCAGTGTCTCACACCAAATTGCAGCGTCAGATACGTATCTAAATTTAAATATAAATACTATTTAAACTACTTATTCTCTATCAATTTCTGACAGCTGTAACCCAAACAACTGGCCCCCTGGGAATGATAAAATATTTCTGACTCTCATGTATTTGCCATTGGCCCAGGATGGTTCGTGAATAAAATATTTTGAATATGTCTTATTACAAGTAATAGCAAGGGAAATAATAGAATGACACATTTCACAATACTGTGCTGTTCAGAAACCAAGCGTACCAAAAACCTTTTTTACTCACCTGAGAAATTTGTAATCTCTCTTCAAACTGCATCAGACTGCTAAGGTCCAACACTCTCTGCCTTTGTTGTCTGATCCAAGACCGGATGGTTTCATTTTGATTTTTGAAAGCATCAAAATCCCTCTCAGAGGCGGCTTCTTTCTCTACGTGGATAAGACCCTCCTCGGCAGAGTGCAAGACTTTACTCCACTGTTCTTCTGCGTGTTTGACTGCATCCCGAATCTCCTGTCTCCTATCATCATTTAAGCCCTCGCTGTTGCAGAGAATTTGGAATTTTTGCTTCAAATCTTGAAGCTTTGACTCCCCATCAGGCCTTGAGCTCAGTATTGTCTAAAGGAAACAAATAGACCTCGGATGACCACTTTACACTCACACTTATAACAAGTTTTCATATGTTATTATTATACATATTAGACCTACTGCTGCAAATTAATTAACATACACTGTGAAACTTACTTGCAAAATCCGTTTCTTTTCCTCTGTCTGCATGTTAGCACCAAGAGAGTCATTCTGGTCTTTGATCCAGGATTGAAAACTTTCATTCTCAGTTTGAAAAGCATCATTTGCTTTGTTTAGTATAATTTGTGTCTCTGCCTTATGAACAGCCTCTTCAGCAGCCTGCAGAGCCGACCTCCATTGTTCCTCCGCATCTCTGACAAAAAGCTGAGCTTCTTGTTTCTTGCTTCCTTCTAGACTCTCCTGCTTACACAACGTTTCCAGTTGTCTTCTCAGATAATGTATTTCAGACTCTCCCTTAGATTTGGAGTTTAGGACAGCCTGGTAAAGAAGCAGATATTTGGTCATGCATGGTGTACTTTCAGTACTGTTAGTAATTTCTGACAATTAAACATCTAACAATCCACAAACCCTGTGTCTTCCTGTGGCTCCTGTGTCATTTAATTAATTAAACATGTTCACAGATGTTTCCCATGTGTCATGACTGTGTTTTGTAAAGCCATGGTTTAATACGTCTTTGATTTCCCACACTGGTTTCATCCTGCAGTTTGTTTGTCTGCCAATCTGTACTTGCAGCAATGTTTCTAATACATTTCTGACGTCTGTACAAAGGACGCTAATCCCAAAAGATACTTCTAGTTTGAAGTAATTGTAATTAAAAGTACAGTAATTTGAAGTAGCCAAAATATATTACATGTTTGTCCAAATATTTTGCTCCATGATTAAATAATCATATTTATCTTATTTTTATTCACAGCCTAATAATATGCCTGAGCAAGTGGAAGCTGACTCTTTGAATATTGAGTTGTATCTTACTCATGTGATTCTTCACTATTTCTTACTAATATATTTTCCTGTGTGTAATATTATTTTTAATTCTTTAGTATGGATGATAATTTGATTAAAAAGAGACATATTGGGGGATCACGTGACGCGCCGAGCTGAGCAGACGTGAGTTTTTTGGCTCCGCACTGGATTTTGTTAAAATATATACTTAAGCTCCTTCACCAAACTAAAATTGCCTCGAGTGGTTAGCTGAAGTTCTATAATTTCGCTGGATGATTTTTTTGCAACGCCTGGTCAAAGCAAAAAGAGAGAAATGGGCAAAAGAGGAGGCAAAGCTAAAGCTAGCAGTAGTGACGCTGTAGCTAGCCATGGCGCTGAGAACGAACCTATGGGCGATGCCGAAGACGAAACAGGTGTGCAGCGCGAAATTGACATTGTGGGCCGGGTGACAGAGAACATCTAAAAAATGTTGGATAACAAACTGGCCGGTGTGATAAAACCTATGAACGAACTCACGGAGAAGTTCGACACATTGATAGAAAGGGTGGAGGCTGTGGAGCAGCGGGTCTCGGATTTGGAAGATGTCACAGTGGCAAACGATCCGCGCATTTGCGCTCTCGAGACCCAGCTGAAAAAGGCAATGGAGCGTCTGGACAGTTTTGAGAACCAGAGCCGCCGACAAAACGTGAGGATTATAGGACTGAAAGAGGGAGCGGAGGGGGACGCGCCGGTGAAGTTTTTTGAAAGGTGGATTCCAGAGGTTTTGGGCCTGGAGGAGACTGTGATGATCGATAGAGCACACCGTACGGGACCGCCAGTAAAGTTCGCCGGGAAGGAAGGTCCACGCGCCGTCCTGGTACGAATGCATTACTACACCGACACGCGCAAGATTCTCCAGGCTGCGAGGATCAAAGGAAACGTGAGCACGCCGGCAGGCAAAGTCTCCTTTTATCAGGATTTCTCCGCGGAGGTGGTGAAGAAGAGGAGGGAATCAGCGACAGCGCGCAGAACGCTTCGTGAGGCCGGGGTAAAATATGCCTTTCTGTATCCAGCTACTATCAAGATATTCAACCCTGACGGCACCAACCATTCTCTCAGGACCGCGGAGGAGATTAAGAACTATGTGGACAAGTTGCAAGGAACTTCATAAAACAACAGATAAAACTGTAAAGGTACAACGGCTTACTTAAAGATAGCTATGAATGAATAACATGGGGCTTGTTATACTGTGTTTAATGGGCTAAGTATCATTGTGCAATTATGACTGATATTTCCAGTGCGGGGAGTAAAGTTTCTGTTTTTTTCCCCCTACAGCTGTACTTTTTAAAAGTACATCTAGAACAGTATATTATGTTTATTTTGTTTTGGGTGGGGCTGGGCTGGGGAGGGGGAGGGATAATGATTCTAGGCCTTTTGTTCTGGTTTTGCCTGGGATCACTGTTCTTGGTTGGTATGGTAATTCACTGTTTATTGTTACAGACTGGTCAACTAAAAATTTGGTTAATTTTGGAAACGGCACACAAGTTTTCATATTTATTTTGAGACATGTCAGTTAAGTTAAGTACATGGAATGTTAAAGGGTCCAACAATGTGATAAAGAAAAAGGCCATATTGAACTCTCTAAAGAAAGATTTGATTCATATTGCTTTTTTGCAAGAAACCCACTTGACCGATGATGAGCACAAAAAATATTGCAGAGATTGGGTGGGACAAATATTCTTTTCGTCCTTTTCTACAAATAAGAGAGGGGTAATTATTCTCATACATAAAAATCTTCCCTTCACTGCTATAGCTACTGCCAAAGATAATGAAGGAAGATATATACTTGTTAAAGGGATATTACATGGAGAGAGTATTTTGCTAGCTAATGTATACGCCCCCAATGTGCAAGATGAAGGGTTTTATACAGCATTATTTACTCAGATAGTGGACTTGGACTGTGACAATATTATTTTAGCAGGCGACTTTAATTGTGTTTTGTGCCCACTAATGGACAGATTACCATCACAAACTATTTTGACTAAAAATTCAAAGGCCCTTTTACAAATTCTGAAAGAGTTCAATCTTGTGGATACCTGGCGATACTACAACCCATTGTCTAAACAATATACATTTCACTCTCAGCCTCACTTGTCGGCATCTCGTATAGATTACATTTTTGTATCCAAAAGTATTTGTCAGCTAGTTACACAGGTGAATATAGGCCCAATAGGCCTTTCTGACCATGCTCCGGTAGCACTGGCTATGCAGCCTTTAAGACATATTGAGCGATCAGCATCTTGGAGAATGAGCACAGTATCTTTGTTGGATGACAAATTTGTACGTATTTTAGATGAACAAACAACATTTTATTTAGAAACTAATGATAGTGAGAATATTGATTCGAGAATTTTATGGGATAGTTATAAAGCTTATCTCAGAGGTGTTATTATCTCATACACAAGTCACAAAAGAAAGGAACGATTAGCAAGGCAGTTAGAGATGGAGAATAATATTAAACAGTTGGAAAATCAATTCTACTGTACTAAATCTACAGAAACATTAAATGAGCTTAAAAGCGCTAGGACAGCTCTCCAAAATCTAATAATGCATAAGGCTGAGAAAGATATTCTTTTTGCCAAAGACTTTTTGAATCAGCTAATAAACCTAACCGATATTTGGCTCGTCTTGCAAAAAATGTCCCTGCAAAATCTTTTATCACGGCGATTGTTGATTCTAATGGTCAGAGACAAATGGAAAATCGTAAGATAAATGATAGCTTCAAAGAGTTTTACGCTACGTTGTATAGCTCTGAGATTGACATGACAAGCCTGTTATCAGGATTTTTCTTAAATGATGTAACATTTCCCCAACTTTCTGAGGAGCAGGTTGACTTGCTGGATTCTCCCATAACGCAGGTGGAAGTAGATAAAGCTATATCTGCACTTCAGTCGGGGGAAAATCCGGGCGCAGACGGCTTTCCAGTGGAGTTTTTCAAGGTAATGAAGGGAAAATTAGGCAGCTTGCTGCTTAGAATGTTCAACAAATCGTTCGAGGAACTAAAACTACCAGAGACTTTGTACAGAGCTAATATAACACTTATAGCCAAAAAAGATAAAAATCCTGAGTTATGTTCATCCTATAGGCCTATCAGCCTTCTAGGCGTGGATTATAAAATACTCTCAAAAGTTTTAGCTCATAGGTTAGAGAAAGTCCAAACGGGTTTTATTAAGGGGAGGAATTCGTATTATAATACACGACGCCTTTTTAATATTATCCATTACGTCAACTTTTACCAAATTCCAGGGTTGGTTGTTTCTATGGACGCTGAAAAGGCGTTTGATAGGATTGAGTGGGAATATATGTTTGAAATTATGAGAAGATTTGGGTTTGGGCCAAATTTTATGAGATGGATTAGAATAATATACAACACTCCAAACGCTTCTGTCTTAACAAATGGTCTGTTGTCTTCTCCCATTCAACTGGGGAGAGGCACAGCTCAAGGTAGTCCACTCTCACCACTCTTGTTTGCTCTGGCCATTGAGCCTCTTGCTATGGCCATTAGACAAAATCCAGATATTCATGGGGTCAAAATTGGGGAAAAAGAGCACAAAATTCTGCTTTATGCAGATGATGTTCTTCTGACATTGACAAATCCAACTGATTCATTACCTGTTTTGATTAAATGTATTAAGGATTTTGGTCTCATATCTGGATATAAAGTGAATTTTGATAAATCTGTTATAATGACCTTGAACAACTTGGCGGGGGATAGTGAACCTGCATATATTAAACCTTTTAGATGGGCCCCGTCAGGATTTGTATACTTAGGAATCAAAGTTACACCAACCATTAACCAAGTGTATAAGCAAAATATCGATGGACTGACTCATGATCTGTGCGAGATGCTGACAAGATGGAGGGCTCTTCCAATATCATTTTTGGGGAGGATAAATCTTGTTAAGATGGTCATCCTTCCTAAAATAATATACCCCACAGCCATGCTGTTTGTAATTTTGAAATCAGAAGACATTAAGGCTATTAATAAGGCTATGGTTGACTTCATCTGGGCAGGAAGAAAACCCAAAATTAAATTAGAGATATTACAACTTCCCAGAGCTTTAGGGGGGTGGGGGTTACCAAACATTGAAAATTATGCTCTATCTGTACAAGCCAGGATCATCTCTGCCTGGATACATGGACACCCTGATTCACCTTGGCTCAACATTGAAACATCATTATGTAAACCCTCCTCACCTGTTAACATGCTAGGAAGACGTTTGAACGACTTGCCACAAATAATGAAGGATAATCAGTTGATATGTAATGTCTTGTGGGCATGGGGAAAGCTGAGAAAACTGTTTAAGAGTAGTCACCGGCTTAATATGGTATCAACACTTATAGACAACCCAGATCTCCTGCCTCAAGACATAGGCTCGAGTTTTTTGGGTTGGCATAAAGCAGGCATAATTAGACTTTCTGATCTCTTTGAACATGGGGCATTCAAATCGTTTGATTCTTTAAAAACACAGTACGCGTTATCAAATAAGGAATTCTATAAATATTTACAAGTTAGGCATTATGTAATGAAGGAAGCAAAATCATTGATACACCCAACAGACTCGTACAGACTGGAGAAATTCCTCCTTGAAAATAAGGATCACAAACATTTTATTTCAAAATTCTATTCTGAGATCTATCAGCTAAACTTGGACAAACTGGCATGGTTGAGGAAATCCTGGGAAACTTTACTTAAATGTGAAATAAGCACGCAATTATGGGATAAAACCCTGCTCCTGCCATCTAAAATTTCTGTTTGTAACAGATTTAAAGAAATGCAGTATAACATTTTGCATAATGTATATATTTCTCCTTATATTTTTAGCAAGTACAATGCGGGAACTTCTCCAAATTGCCTCAAATGTAAAATTTCTGTGGGCACCAGGTTTCACTGTTTGTGGGAATGTGATGTCATTCAGTCATTTTGGAAAGATGTATGTGCCAAAATCAGTACAGCTATTGGTGAAATTGTGTCAGAAAACCCACTGACGTGTTTGCTGGGACATATTCCTAAATCACTAGCAAAATATGAGCATGTTATACAGTCACTGTTAATGTTAGCAAGGAAGGCCATTATGGTGAAATGGGTGGGCAGTGAACCCCCCTCCATTTCTTTATGGAAATCGTTAATATCTGATGTTATGACTCTGATTAGACTTGGACATTACATTGATGGAAGTCTTCAATTCTTTACAAACACCTGGAGGAAGCCACTGGAAACACTGGGAGTGGAATGTAAAATGGACTCTAACGGACAATTGCTATGGACATAGAACTCATGGATGGACTCTTATATATACATGTGGGATGTAATGCTGATATTGTTTTTGATTTTTGACCAGTCTTCTACAAAGTTTGTATGTTTGGAAGAAATTAAATAAAAGTAAAAAAAAAAAAATAAATAAACAAAAAAAAGAGACATATTTTAATAATAGCCTGACAAAGCAGAAAGAAAAAAAAAACTTTAGGACAGAATAAGATATCATAAAACAGAAAATTATTTGTACTCCACTAACCAATGCTGTGCTCTTGATCTCCATCTCTGTCTTTCTGCCAGGGAAGGTGATGGGTTGGAGGAGGTCACTAATCCAAGCAACAGTGCTCTCAGCCTGGTTCTTCAACTTTTGGAATTCTTCCTGTACTGCTTTCTGGGCATCTGCCTGTTTCTGCAGCCTGGCCTCCAGGTTTCGGTAGCGTTGGATCAGGTTGTCCCCATCCTTCAAGAGGTTGTCAGCTCTTACACCTTGTCTCCGTATTGAAGCCAAAAGCTCACTGAGGGTCTCAGCCCTATCACTAAGGTTTAGAAAATAGAAATGTAAGACACATGAAACAAGTGAAATTTTGTATTGTGTTGTCTGTATGGTTTTAAATATGTGGCCCTGTGATGTCAACAATGTTGTATTCTATTCTGACAGCACAGAAGTTGAAAATGCTAAAAATCACCTCTCATGATGAAGGTCTTGGAGAAGAAATTTCACATTCTCTGGCACCAAAGATTGTTTTTCTTTGTTCTGAAGCCACTCACGAAAGCTATCATGCTGTTTCTGCAAACTAGACAGAAAAAAAATAAAAATAAAAACAGGCTTTAAGATCTCAGTAGTTATTTCCCAGCATTTGGTGACAATGTTATTCAAATTGGCTCGTTTGTTGCTACATCGGCATTTAAAACCTTTTAGTTACCAGTTCAAATCATCAAGAAGCGAGTCCATTTGCTTCTGTCTGTTGTGGCAGTGGGTTTTAAAAGTGTCCACCTCCTCCTTTTGCTCCTTTAGCCAGTTGTTGAGCTCCGAGAGCTGCTGGGGAGGAAACTGCTTGCTGCCTCTGTCTATCTGATCTTTCAGCTGGTCCAGACGTCTCTTTGTATCATGGGACTTTAAGAAACCCTAATGGACATTAGCACAAAAATTAAGACCTGTCATCCACCTAGGTACAGCATATACTGTATTTTTTTAGAAATGTTTTTATTTCTTTACATGTAATCTTTGTACAGATATTTCCACATCTGTTCTGCTTTCAGGGTTTTCAAAGCACTCATTGACTGACAACTGTAAATCTTGGAACCATTCCTCAAATGACTGCCTTTCATCTGAGAAAAAAAAACAGGAAAAGAAAAATGTAAAAGGGACAACAGGTAACTTGCACAACGGCACTATCAATGTTTAAAATAGAAAGAAACATGCCTACTGACTATGTGCTATTCAAGGAGGGCTTTACATGTTTCAGCAATACAATGTTCAAATGTGTAATACTAATACAACAGAATGGCTTTTTAGTGTAAGACTTCAAGTGCTGGACTGACCTGCCTGCAGCCAACTAAAAAATATTTAGTTGTTCACGAAAAGACAAAGATTACAAGAGTACACAATGTAATTTAGTATTTCACACCATTCCACCTTCTAAACCACCAACCGTTGATAACTTTGAGCAGTCCTTTCTCCCCTTCCTCTCTCTTCAGGTGGATCATGTCTTTGGTGCGAGAGATGGCCTCTTTTAGCTTGGTGCAGTCAACAGACAGTTCCTCCAACACCCGTGGACTGGCCACACTGGAAACTAAACCCACTTCCTTCAACACGGCCTCAGCCTGCTTCTCCTGAGACTCCAGGTCTTCACACAGATCCTGGCATGTGAGACATTACCAATAAAAGAGGTTGCACTTTTGTATCTTTAGCTAGTTACTTTGGGGGTACCATATACATTTGAGTGAAACATGCACCGGTTACCTGTATGTGGGCTTCAACTTTAGTATCTGAAGCATTAAGTTTGCTCAGACAAGATTGAATATGCTCCACAGCTGTCTGGCACTCTTCTATCTTGTCAGACAGATGTTTCCTCACGGCAATCAGCTCCTCAAATACATCCGTGCAGTCAGTAAACAACTCCTTTACCTGCTCCATTCTCTTCCGCAGATTGGTCTCCATCACCTGGAAGAGTCAGTGATGAGAGAGGAGAAGCAGCAGTGAGAAATGCTGCGAGAAGAACTTGTAGCATTTATCACATTTAATGAAAAAAATGGAATACCAGGCTGAAGAAAATAAGTCCCGCTGCTAACTTACCTGCAGCTCCAAAGGAGCCTCTTGACTCTGAAGCATCTCTTGGATCTCAACAGACTTTTTGTGAAAATGCGTAATATTCTCCTCATTGGCATGGATCTCATCCTACAAACCAGAAACAGCTTATGAATCTTACTCTTAATGAAAGTCAAACGTAATATGGGATGTCAGGTCAGGTGATTTGCAATTAAACATTAGAATCTCACCCTCATGGCAAGCACTTGTTTTTCGTTGTGGAAGGGATGGCTCTCTGCGAAAAGGGAAAGTTTGGCCCCAGCCCAGCTGTCCACCTCTCCCCCCAGCATTAGCTGCTTTTCCCACAGCTCAAGGCCCACTCGAAGGTTATCCATGAAGGCATCTGTCTTCTCTGTTACCTACAAGTTTAAAAAAATCCAAAACAGAAAAAAAACAACACAAAGAAAAATATGTTTTCAGTTCCTTCTTTATAATGGCTTGACATATTTCTGAACCTTTTCGCTTTTGAAAGTTTGAAATGTAATATTTTTTCACATAGCTGTTTGCGGGAAAATATGCAGAAAATATTTCTTATAAGTGGTTCCTTATTAAAACCAAATTTGATATACAAAACCGGTATCAAAGCAGAATTTTACCACGCATTTTCTAAATTTGGCTAATAGATTTTGTATATGTTTTAACTCCATCAAATACATACATCAAGCCAGTTGTCCATCAGTATGTGTGCCTCAGCTTCAAAGAGAGTCTGACTGCATTCTGGGAACTTCTTCAGTTCGGACTGGAGCTGTTTGCAAACTCCCCGCATCTCTTCCATCTGCTCACCAAGACAACCGAGCTCCTCCTTGATGACACTCACCTGGACATACAAACGCAGGTTAATACAGAGTAATCAACGATAGACAGTAAGACACAGACATGTCAACTATTGTTTTTTCTGGAATTCTGTGAGATACAAAGTAAGATTTTGGTCCATAGATTGGATTACATCATCATACAGGGTGCACCATGCTTCTCGCCCATTCTCGGCTGGAACAGGCTCCAGCAACCCTCCAAAACCCCATTGGAAATAAGAGGTATAGGTAATGGATGGACGATTGTGGACCTACCTTCGTCATACTTCTCTGTAAGTTGTCTTTGCCCATATAAGAAGCCTGGTCAGTGATTGTCTGCTCTGCTTTTTGTATGGTGTTGCTCAGGTGACTGCGACACGTCTGGTACTTCTTCAGAAGCTCCAACAAAACATTGCACTGCTTCTTCCTTCAGGGAATAATGCCAGCAAAATATATTGATGCATAGAGATTCTCTATTGGCATGAAATACCTTAAAATTGGGTTGTAGTAACAGGTTTTAAATGAAACTTTAGTTGATTGTATGACCCACCACTCTTTTACGTATATATTCATTGATTCTTTTTAACTAATCTTTCCGTAGGTGTTACCTTTCAAAGAATGATGTTTGAGTCTCATTCCATTGTGCCTCTAGCTCCTGCAGGAGGTCCTCTCCACCTCCTTCTTTTTCTTGCAGTTCTCGGAGACTGTGAAGCTCAGAGTGTTGGGCCTGCAGCTGGCTTTCCAAATCAGACAGAGCACGAAGTCTGGAAAAGAGAAAATCATATTGAAATTACACACTTCATTTAATACTTAATTCAGGATTTCATCCACCAATGTTTAATACTATTCCTAAGGAGCATATTATACTATTGCATATTGTCTAGAAAGATGAAAACATTTATATGGTTAAAAAAAGGTATCTCAGTTATGAGTCAAACAAGCTTTAGGAAATGCAATTTTGAAATTTTGCTGATCACATATCTCAAGTTTTTGCTGAAGATCTCCTACTTATTCAGTCAGTTAAAAGGTTCTCAAGATGGTTCATCAATAGCCTCATGGTTTACCGCAATTCTGCACTCAGAGAGGAATCACTTAGAAAAGTAAGTTGTTCTTATCTAAGGAGGTGACTACATAGGCCGAAATATTTAATAATATCCAAAAATGTGCCTTAAGACAACTTTGAAATTGATTTAGAACTTTTATCATTAAAATGCCACATCTGGAAGATGCTGGCATGACCGATGGAAGAAATACCACTAAATAAGATTTGTTTTTGTCTCACATTAATTTGAATACGTTTAACTTTTAAAGCATGATCCTTGAAAAAATAGAAACAATTTTATTATTTAGTCCTGTTTTTGTCCCTTTAACAAACTATACAAAATAGAAATGATTTTGAATGATTTTTAATATTAATAAGTTATTACAATGTAATACATGAAAATTATTGTTGTGTCTTCTTCTACCCACTGTTAAAAAGTATATCTGATTGTGTACAACAGGGTTTTGGGCAACGTTTTTAGCCTTAAATGATGGAAGAATATTAGATGCAAAACGTTGCAGAAACCGTATATATCAAATATGACACATTTGGAATTAGATGGCTAATTTCTACATCACATGGAAAAGTGTATTTGATATTATAGGTGAAATCTAAGCAAATATGTTATTATTACAAAGATCTCTAAAAAACTGTGTGCTCATCAGCAAGAGCAAACAACTGACACATGACATAGTACAATAAACTTTTTTGCAATAGCATAAAGCCACATCACGTACTTGTGTTGCACAGCTGGCATGGTGGACTCCTTCAGGCTTTGTTTTTCAATTGTTTCCAGCAGCCTTTTCAGCTCCCCTAACAGCGCCCTCTTCCTCAGGCCCAGAGATTTGCTTTGAGTCTCCTTTTGAAGGCCTCTCTGCTGGCTGGCCAAACCAGTGTCAGCCTCTTCCAGCCTTCTAAGGAGTGCATTCACCATATCCAGGCAGGACGCTGGAATCCCATCCCTTGTAACCGTGAGCCTTGCTCCTTGCAGAAGCAAATCCAGTTGCGGTGCCTTTTCCTTCAAACTGTCAATGCTCTGTCTGATCAGAGCCAACTTAGAGCGACAGTCCTGCAGGAGCACAGAGTCACTGCAAGGGGCCCCTTGAACTCCGGAAATGTCTTCGTCCACAGTACGCAGGGACATGAGGAATCTATCGAGGGCGCGGGCGGCCGCTTCGCTCTTCCGGACTTGCTGTCTGAGTTGATCCAGGCTTGCTTTGTGAGTCTCAACTTCGCGGGTCAGAGGGAAGCACTCTCTCGGGTCGAGGTCACTGGATTCGGGGTTTAGTCGAAACAGCTGGTCCAGCTCATTTTGAATGTTATCATCCAGTTCCTTTAGCAAAGTGAGACAAAGCAGATTGTGGGATAAGACATGACGGTTAACTGCCTACCCATACACATTTCAGTGACTGATTTCATTTCATTTATTCTGAAACATGATATGATTTCACAATGTTTACATAGAATGCTTCATAAACATGCATCATGTTTCAAAAAGGAGCAGGATGAAGCATAAGCTTGTTAAGCCCTACCCCTCAGTTACATGATTCATGGTGGTAAAGGACAATTACAGTTAAACAAACGGTATAACTTTTTATGCATTATTCTTTTTTGTATTCATCAAAAACACTTTTCTTATATTCTTTTTTGAATTGCTGGATGCTATTACATTGTTTAATATTTTCAGGCAAGCTGTTCCAGAGCTTCACTCGGCTAATTGATAAACTGAAGGTTCTTTTTGTTGTTCGAACATACTTAGTTTTGAAATGTAATTTTCCTCTTAGATTATATTTTCCATCTCTATCAGTAAACAATTGTCGTATGTGTGCAGGAAGTCATTTATTTCTTGCTTTATAAAGAATTTGAGCAGTTTAGAAATCGATCAGATCTACAAATTTAAGAACTCTTGAATCTAGGGAATAAACAGTGAGTGTGATCTCTATAATGTTTGTTATTCTGATACATTTAAACAAATGAAACAATATCTAGCTGACGTCAGACCTTAATGTCTTTCAGGATGTTGGTATTGGCCAGAGTGAAGCCGGTGATGTCCTTTGGCTGTCGCAGATAACGGTCCAGGCGGTCGACGAAGTCCACCATGTGGTTCTCCGTAGAGTCGATCTGTCTGAGAGCGGCGCTGAGCGAGCTGCCTCTCCTCTGAAGGTTTGCCTGTTGGCTGCGCCACTGCTCCTGCAGCTCTATCTTCTCTTGCTCTACGGAAACATCCCCACTCATTTGGGTACACTGGGAGCATTGGTTTGTGTACTCCGACCACAGCGACTCGGTCTCCTGCCTCAAAAACTGGGGAAAAATAATAAATCGACTCACATTGATTGTCTCACTGTTGAGTTGGTTACAAATACACACATGTATGAATGTAAATTGCAAAGATTTTTCGTCAATGAGTAAATTGTCATGTTTAAACGATACTGTACCTGTATTTCTTGAAGCCGTGTATGCAGGCCTTTTAGGGAGACAGAGTCAGAAGGAACATCCTTAAAGCTGTGTTCGTTTTTAGCCATTTGGGTTTGCAGTGTCCTCTTACAATTTTCATATCTAGAATTTTATGAATAAAAAACTCAAATTAATACAGACAAAGACCACAAATTGTGTTTTTTTGAGATCGTTAAAGATACATCTACTAAATTCATGTTACCTTTCAAAAATGTCTTTTTTGCTGACTTCCTCCACAGATGTTTGCTTTTCTACCTCCCTCCTCTCCTCAGCAGTTGTTGGCATTGTCACCTGGGACACCTAAAAAACAATTATTGTATATTATCACACCACAAAACAAAAACAACTGCAACTTAGAAAGCGTTTTATAAATCATATGAATATACCAACACAGTTGTGTCTTAAAACTTTACAATCAAAAGGAATTCTTTTTGGGAGCTATAACAGAATCTAGAGAGAACATACTTCAACATTACATACCTCCGCAATCGGCTGAGGTTTGTCATTTGCTTTTTTGGGTTCCTTTTGTGTGGTTGGATCTTCACTGAAGGCAAGCTGAATCCTACAAAATCAAATTTATGATTGTTATTCCTTTCAAAATTTCCTCACATGACAAAATACATTTTTGTAATGATCACATACAATAAACCCTTCCATCCGTTAATCGAATATGTTTTTAATATATTTTTTATAGAACTGATTGCTTCTATCAACTCTTTATCATGTTCAGAAAATGCTTGGGTGTGTATCCTAATGTCTTTTTGGTGCTGCTCCAGAAGTTGAGCATGACAGAGTAAAGCAGAGAGCTACTAAATAAATTACAGTAAATGCTTGCTTGTGAAAGATACATGAATAAAGTTAATGGCTTGTCAGACTAAGGATTTTCAGCTTTTTGAACACTACAAGATCACTCCCTGCTATTTCAAAATGTGCAATGTCTCACCTGGAATCTGGATGTGATGTGTCTTTGTCTCCGCTGAACTGCCGCTGGATGGCAGCCAGCCTCTTTTCACACTCCATCAGCTGAGTCTGGGCAAGGCGGTGAGCATCCTCTGGGCTGAGGGTGTCACACAGCTCTTTTAGTGCCTCAAGGTGCTGCCCTGCTTCTGAAAAGTCTCTTGAGAAGCAGGCCTGGTGAAATTTGACAAAATAAAGACAGTAAGACATACTGTATTGATGCATCACTGAAAAGCTATTAGACTTATTAAATAATATCCAGAATTTCAGCATTTTTATGACATAAAAATTACAGTTCATATTTGCTAAAATATTAAAATTGTGTAATTAAGACTTGAAAGATATTATGCAAGGTAAAAGCCGCCCACACATGATAATAGATATGAAAAGTGCAATGACAAAAGAATGCAGTTTTTCATTCTAACAGTATTACAATGACCACATTGAAGTTCAATCTGTGTTATTGTTTAGAATTGTATTAATTTTCCCCACATTTTCAAAATCTTCCCATATATATATATATATATATATATATATATATATATATATATAAAATTATATTATATATATTATATTATATATATTATATTACTACTGCTAAGACTACTAAGATAATATTAGCCCTGTAAACAATAGTAAACAAAACAGAAATTTTAAAAAGCAAGAATGAACCCAATCACCAAGTTCCATTTACCGTCACCTTGAAGTCATACAAAGTGGAAGAAAGGAAGAATTATACAAGCAAAGCGAATGAACTGCATTTTATGAAGCACACCCACGGAGAGTTGAGCTCCAGAAATGTCACTACCTGCACGTTTTCTAAGCAGGAGCTAAAGCTCCTTTCACACTGAAGGGCTGCCTTGTTAAAATCTCTCCGTCTTACTTCAAATCGTAATTGTTGCAAAAAGCCTGATATCTCTGCTCTCACAGCCTGTGAGATGACATATAATCAAGAAAACAAGTCATGATATCACACGGTACTCAATAAAGGTCCATAATATAAATTTTAGGTTTGCCTGTTTTGTTGACACAAAGGTGTTATAAATAGGTGATTCTGGTTTAGTGTAAATATCTGAACAAATTGATTTTATAATTTCAATATGAAAGACAAAAAAATAAAACAAATTTAAACCTCACACACCACAAAATACACACAGCATATGTAATCTATTTCTTACCTCCCATTGAGTCCTCACAGACTGGGTGAAGAACTCCATATCTCCCAGCTGTGCGGGAGTACAAAAGGCCTCCATACCCTTTGCTGCTCTCAAAAACTCATCCAGCAACTCTGGGTCTAGAGCCCTAAGTGTGTTCTGTTAAGAAAGAAAAAACACACAGGTACTGGTTTGACTATACAGCCAGAGATAAAATGTATCTACTCTAAAGACTTTATACTGGCAATCAAGCAAGATATTCTGAAAAAGATAAACCACTTTATTTGAACTGTTAATCAGATAAAAATATCTATGACGTATATAAAAAAACACATTACTATTTATCATTATTACCTCTTTGACTGATGCTTGCTCCGCTGAAAAGCGTTTGTCTTTAAAGACAGTAATAGCTTCCATGATGTGTGCCTGCAGGCAGTGTTTGGCCTCCTCGAAACCATTTCTGGCCAGAGCCTGTGCCTTGTAGTAGGCCTCTGTGTAGGCCTGGACTGGTGCTTGGGCCAAAGCAGGAGGTTTGATACAGATATCTGGTGTCTCAAGCGGGGTCTCTGGCAGTACAGTAACCTGGGAGGGAACGGTATTCTGGGGCTGTTGACTTTTAAACTGCATCCTGGGTTGCTGTGTTGGTTCACCCTCAGACTTGGTTGATGAGGCAACCGTGGTTACCTTGGGCACAAGCAGTTCAGGTGCAGATTGTAAAATAGAGTCAGCCTTTAGTCGAACAGGTGACTCATCTTTGGGTTGAGTCTGTGACTGAACTGTTGGTTGGGAGACAACTTGGGTTTGTACCTTTACTTGGGATTGGAATTCGACATTCGCTTTAGATGTTGAGGGAGCCATAAGCTGTCCTGGTATCTGCATATGAGGTTTGTGTTGTGGCACGGATTCAGATTTTGATGGGATTGTTGGGTGAACACTTCCTTGAGCTGGCAATTCAAATTCCTGGGTTGTGAATGGAATCTGAGGTTTGGATTGTGTAAATGATTCACCTTGTTTGAGCTGAGACTGTTTAGGCTCTGGAAAACTTGGCTGAGACCGATGAGTCTTGGCATTGGGCTTAGTTTGTGGCACTGGCTGTGTCTGGGTGTGTGTGTTGGACGGGGACGGAAGAGTTTGAAGATGAATCTGGGAAGGATAGACCTGGTGTAAAGGTTGTGACTGGGTATGTGTTTTAGTTTCTATGTGAGACTGACGGTAATTCATGGGTTGGTCAGGATGCTGAACTGGTAAATATTGCTGGTGATAGGGCTGGGATTGTTGTTGTGGTGATGTCTGAATCCAAGTCTGTTGCTGTAACAGTCCTTGATCTGTCTGAATGCTACTATAAGTTGTTATCTGTGGCTTTTGTGGTATGGGAGTCTGAGGGTGTATTTGGGGTTGTGTTTGAAACCAGGGTTGAGTGGGTGTTTGGACTATTTGAGACTGCGGATATGATTGGCCTATGTGAGGGTGCCCCTGGGGGCTGGTCTGATGTCCTTGCTGGGCCCACTGAGGTAAAGTGTGAGCTGTTGCGTAAGTCTGAGGGTATGGAAGTTGAGCAATTTGTTCAGTGTATCGCAGGGGAATATGGTGCTCTTGTTGGGCAATGGCTTGATTTGGTGGTGTTTGTTTGTCTGTCCATTGATGGACTGAAATCTGAGACTGGGAGAAACCTTGGGGATAAAGCTGAGGCTGAACTGTTCCCTGAAGATGTTGGACAGACATTGGGGATGAGGCTCTAAGTTGAGTCCAAGCTTGCAGTTGGCCTGGGGAACTGAGTCCTAGCTGTGGGACCAGTGCTTGAGGATGAGTGGAAAACTGAGCAACAGGATCAGTCATAGAATGACCCTGAAGATGAACAGCAGGTTTGACAAGGGCTTGATGCTGAGTCGGTGGCTGGGCCTGTGATAGATTGTCCATTCGCTGAACATTGGTTTGTGTATGGACAAAAGGTGAGTTTGCTTGAGTTTGAGGACTAGCCTTTTGTTGAGGTTGGGGTTGATGCTGAATTCTGGTTTGAGGATGACTTTGAGATTGAGCCATTTGTTGAGCATGGATTTGAGTGACATTTATTAACTGACCGTGATCCTCTGGCTGCACATTTGTTGGTGGCTTTGGAGAGGGGGGCCTGACAGGTGCCCAAGACTGTGGATGACTACGGAGCTGAATGTGGGATGGCGCTGGTTGTTGGAAATGTCCTGGAACTGATGCCTGCATAGGGGAAGAGGGTCTGATTGGAGCCCATGTCTGACTTTGAGCAACAGCTGGGCTGTGGGGTAGATTCTGTGGCTGCAAGGATTGCTGGGGGAAACTAGGGGCATATGTTTGGGGCTGGAGGAGTGATTGGGTCTGGGTCAGTGGCTGTGTTTTCACAGGGGCATGGGGCTGAGGAAAATTGTGCATATGGGATTGGTCTTCACTTGATTCAATTTGTAACATGGTTGTTGGCTGAACTTGCTCCCCTTCCAACTGAGGCTTTGACATAGAGTGAAGTTGTGCCTGTTTTTTCACTTTTGTTTGTGTGCTATGCTGAGTCTCGGTAATAGTTTGAGTTTTCTTTTTGGTGGCTGAGTCTAGTTGTGCCTGTCTTAAAACCGCGTGCATTTCCTCTTGCTGCTTTCCAAGTATTTGGGGCTGCTCCTTGCTTTGAGAGTGGGGTTTTTCATTTTTCTGGCCCTGTTGCTGTTTATATGTCTGCTTTGTCAATTTTGCTTTTGCTTTAGTTTGGGCCCCAACAGTGGATGTACGCTGTGAAACATCCTGAGAAATGTCAGCAGTCTCTGTCTTTGACTGTGAAGTGATCTGTGCCGTTTGAACTGGAATCTGACCAGAATCTTGAACTGTATTTGGAATTTTCTGCTCTCCTGATGCTTTTCTCTGCAACCAGGGTCGGTTTTTCATGGCCTGAATCTTTCTATTTTGCAGCTCTTTGGAACTCAGAGATTTTTTCTTTGAAGCTGTTTGCTGGTGTAGAGTCTGCTCATGAAGTTTTGCTGTCTTGTTATCTTCTGTTTCTACTTGTACACTGGTAACTCTCTGCTGCTGATCTTGATGTTGACAGAAATCATACGGCTCCATCTGTTGTTCTTGCTTGAGCTGGTGCAGCCGGGGTTGTGTTGGCGTCAATCCTGGCTCATCTACTTCAGTAAGTGGTAGTCCATGCTTCTGGCTTTGCTGTTTCTGCCTTTCTACTTCATTTATCATATGTGTCGTACGTTTGTGAAGTTCTTCTTGCTCCATCTGTTGGTTTGTCTTTAGAACCTGCTCTTGAAATTCCCGCTGTCTTTCTTCAGTGCCCTTTGTGCAAACTTGAGTCTGGTCGTTTGGTGGTGACTTTGCCATGGTCTGTTCCACAGGTTGTGCATAGGCATACGACATTGGAGGCGACATCATCTTTTCTTCTTTATACTCATGTACTACTATCTGTGGCACGGAAAAATCATCACGGTGATGTGTCACAGGTCGTTGACTTGGCTGCTCAGTGTTTGACTCTCTCAAGACCTTTGATGGAGGGCCTGCCTCTGTAGGACTTCTGCTTTTATCCCTTCTGGATCCCATGCTACTCAGCATACCAATCGCTTCCTTGATTTGAAATTATACGAATGAAAACGTTGCATTAACATTTCAAACGATGTTAATTCATAGCTTACAATAGGAATTTATTTGAGAGAAACTCAACAAAAAGAAGACCAGACCTGTGACTGAGCAACAGCAGCTTGAATTCGTTCCTGCATAGAGGAGGCAAGAAGATATTGGAGAGGGGAGCTTTTCTGTTTGGTTATAACTATAACCTGCAGGTCCTGCTCTTCAGTGACGACCTGACCCTCCAACTGTAGACCACGGGATATTATGACCTAACACAGAAGATGTCAGATACTGTTAGTTTTTCATCACATACACCTACGTTACTTCATGAAAGGATGTAAAGCTGAACTTCCTATTTATTCTGTGGTTCGTCCTACCCTGGCTCTCGGATCTTGGCTCGACTGTTTTTGTTTTCGATCTGTGGATCTCAGCTGTTGGTAGAGCTCCCTCGCCTCCATTTCCCAGTGCAGGAGTTCAGCTAATCTACTGTCCAGCCCAGACACACTATGCTGCAGCTCTGCACAAACCTGTTCTGCTTCGAACAACGTCTGCATCACCTGGTGCATAAAAGAATGAAGGATACCACACAGGTAAACTTGCACAAAATACTTCATATCAAAAGGTGAAACTGCTATTTTGCTCAAAATATAACTAGTAACTTAAAAACTCATATCACATATACCTCAGGTGTAGCAAGCCTAAGTTTCCGTAACTGATCAGATGAGCAATCTGGGGAGGGAACAAGAGCATCTATGTCCACTTGTTTTATCTTTCCTATAATGAACTGAAGGACGGAAACAAAAAATGTAACCAAAAGAAGAATTTGTAGTTATCAAAAGGACAATGATCATCATATAGTGGAAAAATAAGTCATTGATAACTCTGTTGTCCAACCTGTAATCTTTTCCGGTAGGTACGTAAAGGACCTGCCATTGTCTCGAGAGGCTCTTTGAGAATCAGAGTGGCCTCTCTGATCAAGGCCTGGAGATCCGGTGCGTTGGCCTGAATATCTGCACTTAACTCTTGACTTTCCTGGTAAAAAAACACAAATGGGGACTGTAATTGTGTCACTGTTTGGTTTCAGTGGCAGGCAAGTAATTGTGTCTGCCTTTGTCAGCAGTTAAGTGTTAAAGACTTAGGAAAAGATGATCAACACTAGATTAGTGTACCTCGGCTTATATTTTCTGGGCTTGGTGGCACATAACAGGTACTAGGTGACTAAAATGACAGCAGTACTGGACAGTTTAAAAGTGCATTTTGTTTGTAAATTGTAGTAAATGTCTGTAAGCAAATATTATCTAATTTCATATTATTAAATTAGAATTCCTTAAAGAAAATAATATTGTAGATGGATATGGGATTGATCATTTAGTTTTGTATGTCTCTTGCTACTATAAGTAAGACATTTAAAAATGTATAAACTGATCAGTGTCGTATGTTTATTGAAAATCTGCATGTTTCTGAATTTACGATATATTGTTATATGCAAGTAGCAAGCTGTATAGATACTAATGAACACCCATACCATCACAAAAAACACATGTTGAGACAATCATTTTCAGAAATGATTTTGAATTTAACCGTCCAGGGTTTACCCCACCTCTCGCTCATTGACTACTGGGATTCCCCATTTGGGAAGCGGTAAAAAAAAAATGGATGGATGGATGGATTTATTTTGAATTTATGCAACTCTTTTCATGACAGAATCATGTCTGCTTTTATTATATTGAAGTCAATTTTTGTTGGAAATGTACATTAAGGGGAATTAGTCTCAAATGGTTCCACAGTTTGTAGATATAGTTTTTATGGGTTCTTAACCTTAACATCACCTCTTTGAAACACTATTGCTTTAAGGTTGCTTTCTTTCTACCAAGTCACATTACTGACTATTTGCCAATTCAATTGACACACATTTTTATTTTTAGAGGCCCTTTTTGTTTTCTTCATTCTATTTTTTAATGTGATCCTGAAACACAATGAGGTAACATTTTATGAAAACAAATAAAGTTTAATGTAATATACATTTAATAAGCTTTTTACCTTTTTTGTGTATAATAGCAGGTTGTAAGATTTCCAAATGATTGCATTGTGTTTTATAGACATCTTAGTCACTATCTTTTTTAAATAAAACTTTTGAATAGAAATCTTTTTTCATGTTTCAGTTTGAATCAATACAAGTGAACTTAATCGGATTTGTAACTAAACGAGTTTTCTTTTTTGTCAACTTACCGACATGTTCTTTTTGACAAACTCTGCCCAATGCATGTTGAGTTTTCGAAGTTCTTCTGTCACACTTCGGCTGGTCGCAGGGGCTGTTGATTCAATCAAGAGGTGGCCCACCTCGTTCAACTGGGCATGCCTGGTTCCCCACTCAGCCATGGACTCTGATGGCACCTTAAAAATACATCAACATCAGCAGACATAGGAGAATATTATCAATGGGGATGTTAAGTCCTAAAGGACATTTACATTATTTGTCTCCTTTTTACTGATGGTGATACAAAATCCAAATGGTTACGACATCTCACAATTGAGCAACAAACAAGTTTTTCTATTGTAATATTTGAATGATACCAGAGGTCTGATGCCATGGCTGTGTGTTACAGAGCCCTGTTCAAGCCAAGCCTGAAGGGAGCTAAGGCAGTCCCGGTACGTTTCCCAGGCAGACATGACATGGCCCATGATGCCTTTGGCTCTTGTCAGTTCCTCCAAAGCCCTTGCAGTTTCTTCCTCAAGCTGCTTCACCTGCTTACTGACCTGGTGGTAATCTGCAGCTAAGGAGCACATTAAACAAGCACACACACTAAGAAAAAGTCATGTTTGACTAGTTTATTTTATACTTAAGTAAAATGAATATATTAAACAGTGACTATACTACATTAGACTTACCGAGGGCAGATTTACTTGAGTATTTCTCAGAAATCTGCTTCAGCTTACGAAGAGCAGCTTCCAACAAAGAAGGCAACCCTTGTGTGTTTACCAAGTCCTGTAAGAAATAAAGAAATACAGAAATAAATCATTCGAAACCTACAACCATAGTTATCCCACAATAGAAACAAGACAATCATATGCATACAGAAAAGCATTAAGGGCAGTTTCACAATGGAAAGTCTGTTAGATCTTTTAAACTATAACATTTTAACAAATACCCAATCACACAGTTTTGAAACCGTAAGCTGTCTTTGATGTTTCAAATCATAACTTTTATACAATTTAGAAAAAAAAAACGTTGGCTTTCTTTAACAATAGCTGAATTTCTTATTTTTCCTGATATTTGTTAGACTATGGCTTTGGAATATTAGGCTACTATCATCTAAATTCAAACCCTTTTCATCTTTAATCACCCCAGATACCACTCAGGTGTATTTTGAAGGTGTTAAAAGTGTGCCTACTTACATTCCATTCTTGCAGCAACAACCTGACAGCCTCTGGAGAGATATAAGGTCCCTTCCACACGTGGAGCTTAGATCTGATCTGCCCCAACAGATCCAGCACTGTGTGGCGGTGCTCCCAGTATTCCAACTTAATACCGTGATACTTAGCTGTCACTCTCACGCTGGTAAATCTGGTGAAGATATCCACATGTTTAACTCATCGAACTTCCATTGAAAAGATAAAAGTTTACATAATTTTAAGGTGATATTGGTGAGGTCGAAAAATGTATCATATACTCTTTTTGGGTATTCACTTTGAACTGTTTGTTTTATGTGTCCTCCACGTTACATATACGTTAAAAATGCACACACCTCCTCTTTAGCTCGTCCATTTTGTCAGTAGGAACCATCAAGTTTCCATACTCATCCATGTTTTGGAAAGATTGGAAGGTTCTCATTTGCTGCGGCATCTCCTCCAGGCAAACCTAAGACATCGAGCATGAAGACCATTTCTAAAATGCTCATGATTTAAAAAATGTCCCAAATCAAGACAAATCTTATATATAAGTACTTTAAAGATCAATTCTCACATTAAGAAATGTTTTAGGATTAAAACAAATACTATAAAAAACACAAAATTTTTTAATTGATTTGTCTTTTCATATTTTAAACATGATTTTTTTTTTTTTTACTTTGAGCAGCTCTTGTTTTTCCCTGGCTTCATCAGCAGCACAGCCATGGTCCTGAGGGTCACCTTGTTCCTCAGCTAACACCCCTTCAGTTTTCAACAGCCAGCGGGCTACTGTGTCCAACAGGGGTGGAAGACTCATATCCAACTCAGTTTTGTACTCTCTTAGCTAAGTGAAAATAGAGAGACAGAAGTTATTTTTTCTTAGTGAAGTCTACTATGTCTGAATTTTAAAAAGCTATACATGGATACTAATGTATTTATAAATTAATGGCAACATTTACAGTGCATACAGTAAAAAATGCAATGAAAATATTTTTTAAAACTCAGGATGTCTCTTTTTTTTTTTCAATAAATAGGATTTTCAGCGCTGTACACTGATGGAAGTACATAATATAATGTGTTTTTAAGGTGTTCATATTTACACCCATTAAAAACATCCTAAACTACTTAAATCAACTTTATGTGTTTTGTAAGTCATGCAACTTTCATATAAAATTTAAATCTATATACACGTACATAGTGTACAAAAAACTGTGCTTGAAAACATGATTTACCGTCCATAGTAAAACTCCAGTAACTTGAATAATAACCCCTTTATAACCCTTACTCGCACATTTAACTTGCTCAACAAAACCTTCGATTTAAATGCTTCAATATTGTTAGTAGGGTCGCATACATCTTTTAATCTAAAAGCAATGTATTTTTGTCTTCTTTTGTACAATGATACGAGTAAAAAAATCCTATGTTACGTTCCTGGCACTGGAGCTGGCTCCACCCCGTCTGCACACCTGCTCAGCATCCTCACTCCATAATCACCCTCATCACCTGCACCTGTTTCCACCTCCATATATACTCTGCTCATGCCAGTCTCCGTGCCAGAACGTATCGAGCCGTAGAGTGAGTACTTCCAGCATTATATTATCCTGTCTGCCTGATCTTCGACCTGCCTTCCGTCTACCTGTTTTCCAAGCCTGCCTGACCCCCGCCTGATCCGTCCGTTCGACTCCTGAGCCTGCCTGTCCCTCGCCTGTACCTTTGCCTGATCCTGACTGCCTGCCCGTGTATGACCCCACCTGCTTACGACCTCGAGACCCCGCCTGCTCCCTTGGACTGCTTCCCTGGTACTGACCCCTGGACCGGCCCCGACCGCCTTCTTGGATTATCCCTGTGTCCGCTGGATTATTGGATCACTTGGTACCGAACTTGGACTGCCCTGACCACGCCTCCAGTTTATTTGCAAATAAACATTGTTTCCCTGACTGACCGGCTTTTGGGTGTCTGTGGGTCCGAACACTGATCATTACATCCTAAGCTTGACTGTGTCATGCAGCAACTAACATACATATATTACTAATGTGGCTTTATCTTGGACCTATTCTACACAGAATATGCATTCAAAAAAATGAAAGCTATTATAATTTCAACATTATATCATAATTACATTTTTTGTTTTAAATTAAGCAGAACTTATTGGTGTTACAAAAAACTAAATATAAATGGGCAGAACCTTTTCACTGAGAGAATCCCATGCCTCTCTCAGAGCCCGCTGCTCCTCACTCAGTTTTGAAGTTCGTCGCATTGCTGTCAGTAAAGGCATGATGGGCCTTCGCTGCTCATTAAAAGACACCAGAAAGGTCTGAAAGACCTGAAGAAAAGGACATGTCTTCCTCAGAAGCATTCTTGTAAGGTTGACTCAAAGTAGAATACTAGTAGAATACTAATACTAATTTGTTTCACCACAATGCCAGTTATACAGTTGCTGGCCTGAACATGAATCCCCCCAAAAAAATCAAAACTACATACATGGTATCTCTCTGAGTAGCTTTCTCCCTCTGTGGAGTCCCACCCCTCCAGCAGCTCTTCGTAGGCCTGAACAAGCCAGTGCGTGACTTCCTTTGCTTTTTGATCAGCTGTAGCCTGGACACGTGGTATAAAACAGATTACACAATAGTTTAATCAAGACAAAATCATTTTTTTATTGCAGTATCTTAGATATATCTCCGCAGGGGTAAAGTATTTGTATTTATATTACTCTGCATTAAGGTTAACTATATACCCACCGAGTGAATAGTGGTTGAACTGCTTGAAAACAAAGTTACAAACAAAATCACTCATTTTAAAAGTATTTCCAGACTTGAGAAAAAACATTCCAGGCTCAGAATTCTGTAATAAATCTTGCAGTAACTTTACATAATTGAAATGTACTTGTAATCTAAAAATAAACACCCTCATTTCTTGCTAAGCAAAACTGATCTGATGTGTCTGATGTGTCAGTTCCGTAACTGGAAATACCGGTACCAGTCATAACCTTTGCCTATGTGATGGGAAGTTAAGAGATATACAAATGTGATATAATAGTGGATACTTTCCCAGAGAACAGGGCAAACAAGTTTCATTCAACATGCTCAGTCAAGCCTTTACCACTAAGTCTGACGGTTATCCAGACTTTAAGCAATAGAAACTCAAAAAACAGCAAAGTACCAAATAAACAGCTTTTCTGAGAAATCTTGCAGCAAAATAATATTTAAAGTTTCTCATTGAGCTGAATAAATATCTGTGATCTAATGGTAATGGAGCCGACAACTGCAAACGTACAAGCTAGAACGTTTCCAAACACAGATGCGAAAAGCAGAAATTATGTTATAATTATGTGTAAAGTTATTATTTTTTAGTAGAAATGCTGTCTTTTCTTTTGAAAGCCTCACTATTAAGACTGGAGGTTACTGTTAATAAATGGCAGCTTGACTGGAAGGACAAAATGGGGACAAAATGTGAGAAAATAGATCTGAGATGTAAATCCGTGTTGGTGTACCTGTCGAAGAGGTGAAGCAGAAATAGCAGGAGTGTAGTGAAGAGGCAGGTTGATAGGTGAGGAACTTTTGGGAGGAGTCAAGTAGTGAGTCTGAATAGCAAGGGAAGGAAAGAGGAGGAAACAACCAAAAGAGAAAGAAAGAAACAAGGAGGGATGGGGTCACAGAAACTTCCTGTAATCTAAAGATAGAGACAAACCAAACTAATTTGTCAAACAGATACTTGTAAAAGTTTGTTCAAAATGTACGTTAATGTAAACAATTTTGCAAATGAAAGCTTTTAAAAAGGCATGAAGTTACTGGTGGTAAATTTCCATTTCATTTAAAATCATATTTATTTTCATTCTAAACATTTTCAAAATAGAATATGAAAAAGGACCACAGCAGAAGTTTGGACACCAAGGATAAGCACCTTCTTTGGCAATTATAAAAGTTTATAGGTAGCCAAAAGTTGTTTGAGGGATTTTTTTGCCCATCATTCCTACAAAAGTCTTCCAGTGTTGTAACATTTCTTTGAACGGCTAAACAGGTATCACAACTTTAGCGTATGCAAAAACCTTTTTGGAGGTCTTTAAGTAACAAGGGTTCCGACTTGTTTTCATTTATGCCTCCATTTTTCTGTTAATTGCCATTTCTTGATAACATTCCAAATGAAAAATATTGGTCCTCAATAACTTTTTGAGGGAATAACTCATTTAAAGGTTCAGAGTTATTTTCAACTATTTTATGCTTTGATGCTTTAATGCTTTGATACTTGCATTATCTAGTCTTTCCGAATTATTTCTAAAAAACTATGACCCTATCAGCCTCATTAAGGTCTGACAAGTGGGGTACTACTGGGTATTAACTATGTGGGTTGCCGAAACCTTTGCTGTTACCTGTTTTCCTATTCTGCAATTTTTGAAAATATGACAGATGGGAATAAAATATTATTTGGCTCAACATGTAAAGAGAATGTATCACTTGTAATGTCATGCCTTATTAAAATCAACTAAAAAATGTAATCTTCCATTTACTCAGTTGTTTTCCATCAACATGAGTTTTGACAAGGTGCCCAAACTGTTCCATGCAACATTTACACCATACAACTTCTATAAAAACTACTAATAATTATTGTGACAGCCAAAACTATTTCATTGTAAATTCTATTTTTCTCTAACTTTAAAAGCCTGATGGAATGATAAAAAAGCGAATATATTCTTTACATCTATGTGTGAGATAACTGACAGAAGTGGGTGGAATAAATTAACATGTTGCACACAGAAGGTTTCTCTTTTAATTCCTTTTATCAAGAAAAGTATAAAAGTTGTGTGGAGACAAGAAATATACTACAAGTGTTCCACCAGAAAGCGGAAGCTCAGAGGGGACCGAGAGGGGACCGAGCTTTCTCTGTGGCAGCTCCCAAACTGTGGAATGCCCTCCCCCTTTCTATCAGACAGGCCCCTACACTCTTTTAAAACCCTTTTAAAGACCCACTTTTTCTCTCAGGCCTTTGAGTGAGACTTCGACTTTATCTTAGTTGTCTTAATTTCCCCCTCTTATCATTTTTTTTTTTTTTTTTTGCTCTTACTGTTTTTTTTTAATCTTTGAGTTTGTCTTGTGTTGTGGTGATAATTGTGTTTTATGATCTGCTCAAATGACCTGTACAGCGCTTTGATTTTAGCTTTGGCTGACTGAAATATGTAATAAAACTAACCTTGTAGCCAAATGTTCCTTCAAGTTTTTTGAAGTTGCAAGTAACTTTGTCAAACTGACTTTCAAAGCTGTATCATCTACATATCATCTTCAGAATTGCATTCAAACCTCAGCTAAACTGCAAATGAATCTGGACAACAGAGGAATTCCAGTTGCTCGTGATGTTGAATGTTTTAGACCTCCCAAATCAAGTCTATTGATTGATACATTGACCTAAGAAGCACTCAGTATTCAGTGTAAAATCATGCTCCGTACTGCTTGATGTTTATTAAAAAACATGACAGACTTCATACAGACCTGCATTTCTTCCTCTGCTACTGGCATGTCTCTGGAGTACTGCAGGAACTGAGCCACGTATGTCATGATGGACTTCTCATCCGGGTCTCGAACGTCCACATCTGCATCAACATCGCAATCATCCATGATCAGACTCACTTCAGCACCACTGTGGGAGTTTTAAACTTGAGCAAATCGCGCTACTGAAACAGGAGCATTTTAATGCCGTTTAATGGTGGATCTGAAGAACAGCGCCGTAAATTCGGTCTTTAAAGTGTCCGTTTGGCAAATGTCTGCTGATACGCTATCAGGCAGAAAAAAATTGAACAAATAAAGGTTTTGTATAAGTCCAAAGAACACAGCTGACAAGCGAGTCAGCAGACCACCGAGGCATCATTTGACTCTCCCTCAAGCTGTTAACCATACAAAAGCATCTTGTAACTGCAAAAAATGTGATAAAATTGTGTTTGAAAGGACTTTCTAGATCTAGACTGACATGTTTGTCACAGTTCCACACACAGCTGAGCGAAGTCACAATTACAGCTCAAACTGAGTCATTTAGATAGACAACTATTATTGTCCAATTGCAAATAAACGGGAGCAGAATAATACATTTTCATAAAGAATTTTGTATGTATGATTAAACTTATGGTCTTTATTTATAAAGTTGTAAAGATATGTAACATTAAACATGTACTCTGACCATTATTGAACAGAATGCAAGAGTAACTCAATACCTAATAGCCTCACAGTATAATTTGTTTGTGTTACTTTGGTTTTGAGAGGTTCTTTGTTGTAATACTTTGGTCAGCATGCTTACATAAATCGTTACACTCTGGTTTTGATAAGATCTTATCCAAGTGTCATGTAAACTGCTTTGCTTTAGGGTAAATTGATCCAAACATCCCATTACAAGTTCTGTGCTGAGTCTGACATTTTGCTGAAAACATGATGTTATTAGTTATTTGTCCTTATTTTGTTAGGTTGTTTCTCTGTTCCAAAGAATATTGGAATATTCTACTTATATTCTACTTATTCCTACTTATTCCTACTTACCAAGAAAAAAAAGACAATTTTTAGTACTTTGAAATGTTAGAATTTCATATAAGAATGTACACACCATCGGGCTCCAGCAGTTTGGGGATCCTCAGTTCTTTCTCTGCAATGAGGAAGGCTTCTTTAAGATTTTGCTTATTGCTCCTGGTTTTGGCTTTAGACAGATCCACTACGTCAGGCCGCAGAGCGTGTAGGATTGCCAGGAAAACAACTCCACTCCTCCAGCTCGCCTTAAAGTCCTTCACATTTATTGTGCAGCCAGCTCTGATGGGGGAAAAAAAACAACTTGTCAGTACGTGTTACTTGTCAGATCACCAAATCTCAGTCTCAGTACCACAACTTCTTATGTTATCCACGAGAATCTAATCAATCAGTACCATTTATCAATAATGTTATGTTTAAATATGAAAAAAATGGAAACAAATATAGCTATTATTTTGAAATATATTTGCACCATAGCATATTTGTCTCTACTATGCAATGTCTGATGTGCACATTTAGATTCCTCCATGTTTTATTCTTCCCGATCAGTTCATTCCTTACTTATGGCACTGTTCCCGAACCCAGAGCAAAAGGGCTTTCTTGGCAGAGACCCTAAAACGGTTATGGAGAGCTGATCCTTTCGGGGGAACAGGGCTGCTGCTGGCCGAGCGACTTGAGAGGGTAGAGCGCGTGTCCAAACTGGCCAGAGACTCCATGGAAGACTGACGGGAGTCAAACGAAAGGCAACTGGCCAACTCCTCAATCTAGGAAAACCATACACAAGTTTCAGATTAATGTTGCTAGTAAACAAACTCAACGAAGCAAATCGACAAGGAATGACATCTCTTCCATGGAAATAAATTGAAAAAAAGCTATTTTAAACTATATATTAGCTGAATTTATCTAGGAGACAAAGACTGAAGCAGTGATTCCTAAAATAAATGTGTTATCTGATGCAAAACACAAAAGACATGGAATGAAAGTAATGAATATTGATAAAACTTAACTCACATGATACTGGAGAATGATTGTCCATATCAGGCCCAGGATGATGGAAGGTTTACCATCAATAATGTCAGGAATGTTTATGTTGACTAGTTTGATCTTAAGAGAAAGAAGAAGTACATTTTTGTTAGTTTTTTTAACCAAAATCAAAAATCCATATACTTGTATATTACCAAATATGTGCCCCGTTTTTGGGTGATATCTTCCTCTTGTTAGTTTTCCAAATATTTGATTATATGTCAGCTTTCCCGTTTGTTCAGTTGCAGCAGAAAAATGATAATGATAAGCAATTGGCCATTTTATTTACCGATTTCTTTTGAAGAAAGGACAGTGCTTTCTCAATGTTGCTTCTGTGCTGGAACATTCCCCTCCCTCTCTCCCGACTCTGAAAAAACACAATCTCCGAGTCATCTTGCATGTTGGATGTTAGCCGAAAAGTGGAAGATGAAGTAGATGGTACTCACAAAGTGCTGGCCGCTCATGGCCTCCAGCAGGTCTAACAGTTTGGAGCCATCTCGAAAATCATTGAACAGATCCAACACCCTGCATGGCGGCCTCCTCTGTTACAACACATAGATTCAGTTCTTACTTTTTATTTCTAAATATACAACAAATTGCAATCGATTTCAAATTTTCTAAATGATACAATATCATATTTACATTAACTTAAAGCTTAATATCAGTCTTGACAAGAGGCTAGAAACCACAAGGAGAAAATGAGAGTTTATGGACGTTATATCTGAAAGGTTTTACTGCTGCAAAAGCATAACAAGGGTTCAAAATAATACTGGTTCAGGTAACGTCCTATAAACTTTTCTACAAGCCAAAGGTTAAACCACATTTTTTAAGGCTCTATCATTTTGTGTACCAACTCGTGGAAAGGGCAATCAGTTGTACCAATATGATTTGACATAGACTTTCAGCCTGATTAAGATTAACTAAAAACCCCTTTCTTTTAAGTAAAACAATATAAGGTGGTTTGGGATTATTTAGATGACTTTGTGCCAAGAAGCTGATTGAAATAATACCAAATGTGTGCAAACTTGCCCAAAAAATCAAATTATTATTTTGATGAGACTTTTTAAAATAAAAGATTCCAATTTTTTTGTCATTGTTATTTCTAAAGCGCTGCGCTAAAAATACAAAAAACAGAACAGCTTTTCAGATCTAAACTTGGACTGTATGTACCCGAACTTTTAAAGTGTGTGAGAGCTTTGTGTTGATTTTTTTTTAATGTTCAGCCTCCAATAGGATCAGTAGGCTTGGGACAAAAATATGTGTTGCATACAGTTTTTGGAATTTTGCTTGCGTGTGTTTCATGATAGCTTGTGCCTTGTGACAGTTGATCAGAACAAATTAATTAAATGCTGCTGGAGTTTAAACAACAGAGTTTTTAAAACTGTTTATAAAGTGTTCTTAAGATTGGAGATTCTTCATATAATGAACATCAGTGGAAACTATTACCAGCATTTGACAGGCCATAAATTATCTATTTTTGCCGGTACAGATCTATAGTTAGCTTTAAAAGACACCACTATGATAGGAAAAGTAATAATTATCACATGAAACATATCATCTAAAATCTACTTTTTTCGTTGTTTTGTATTACTCGTTGCATTTTATACTGGAAAAGGGACTCCTGAATTGTTTCCAGACTGAATTACTGACAAGAGCACAACTTTATAAGCCTATTTTTAAAAAATAATCGATTAGTTTCAGAGGTCTCTATAATATGAACCAGGATGTTGTTTTGAATTTTTTAAGTTAAAGTCATAGCAAAGATGAGCAATAATCTCAATCGTTTATTGGAAACGTTACAACAACAGCCAGGATTGGTTTGATCTGTGGAGGACGGTTTAAGTTAGCATAGCAATGGCGGAGGAAATGGAGGTGGTAGCCGTCTGTTGCTGTCGGTATGTGTGCTGTGAACCTTGTCCTTCAATGCTATATTTATGTACACAGACCTCCCCCATCACCTCCACCACCATGACACTCTAACAGTCATGGCTGATTACCAACTAAGACAGAGAGAGAAAGTTCAGAGTATGCTGCTGACTCATGTCAGTTTCAGCAATTCTGTTTTTCTTTTCTTTTGTTTTTGTGGTAAAAATAAGGTCTTGATTTAGAATCCTATAGTTAACTGTTTGGAGTGTTTTTCATTTTTTTAAGAATATGATTTGATATCTCTCCTGCAATTGTTACTGCATTTCCACATCCTCCAAGTGTCTCTAAAGAGGCCTGCTGTTGAATGATCCTTTGTCAATTTAACCACAAATAATAATAAAAAATAAATAAGCAATTAAAAAATAAATGAATATTCACAACTATGATTTAATTTATTACTTAAACTACAGTTTAATGTCATTCAAATGTTTGGTAGCTGAAATACAGATCGATTATATAGGTTAGTCTTACCTTAGCCAGCTGAGCGTTGACCCAGTTGGTGAACGTCCTCTTTTGAATTTGCTCTTGTTCCACTGTTGAAGGATAAATACAGCATTAAAAATTGTATTATATAGTCTCATAAGAACTGATAAATTACACAAAACTTGTAAAGACAATAGTGGCTTTAGGCTGGATGTTAGACTCTCTGGGAGCAGAAAATTAATAAGTTCCTAACGAAAAAAAAAGGCTTAATGTGCAACGTTTTATCATTAAAGCAATAGCCCGATAGTAGAAATGGTAAAATTGGGTATATGTCTCGTAGTGGCCTTTTTTATTTCATTCTCTCATGTTGAAGGATAATATTTATATAAAGCAAAAAGTTAACTTTAGTCTGTAAGACTCGAGCTGTTGACCCTGTACCACCCAAAACCAGAATAAACCACCTATTGCATCTAACATGCCATTAAAAACAAATCACATTGCTTTTAGTCAACAGAAAAAATAATACACTTAAATGCAAACTCAACTTGCACACTCAGTTCTCCAAAAACCCGTAACACTTTGGTTGTTCCAGTTAACCCAGAAGAGCAGAATAGTCATAATGATTTATATCAAGTAAGACGCCAGTTTCCTGTTAAAGGTCTATTTTATAAATATGCTTGCCTTTTACCTGACTTAGTGACTATGAAATTAATCATTCACATTTATTTCAGAGGGCAATTAGGGAAATGTGTTAATTAATTCTGTTGTCTATTGATTTTCAATGATTTTCTACTTTCATGTTGTGTAAAGTATTGTGATTGTAATTTGCACAACTTTCTCTATAATTAAATTCTCAATAAATGCTCCAGTGGATGACAAAAATGCTTCTTGTTTTCTGATATCTTCTCCATATATATATTGCTGTTCCAAGAAGTTCAATCTTTGCTATTCTACTCTAATTCTACTGCAGATTTAGTTGCCTTGGTAATGTGTAAATGTACATTTCAATTATCGACATCGACATAGAATGCTAACCTGTGTATATCAGAGTCAACAAAACCTAATAGGGCTAACTATAGTCTGATATCACTGTATGAAGAATGTAAATCATACAAAATCAATCTGTGTTCAATTTAGAAAGACAGATTCAACATAGAGAACCCAGGCATAAAGAGAACACCATACACACTCCACACAGAAACTAGCTTTGTTGCTATGAAGCAACAATGCTAACCACCGAACACTACCATGCAGCCCTGTTGGAAAAGAATAACAACAAAGAAAAAGAAACAAACAAGAAGTTGCAAAATATGACTTCTGTTAATCAACCTATTGAGCTTAGAATCTCCAAAGAGCAAATCTGCTTTTTACTGATTGTGCATGTGTGATTTACTTCTGCCAACAACACACTCCACTTGTTCTCTGCTAAAGGAGCTGTGATGTATTTAGTGCCTCAAAAACCAATTTAAATCAAGTTCTCCCACTATGTCTTGATTCGCCTTCACTGTAACAACCACACAAGTTCTTCTTAATAAGAACCCCATGCAACAAGAAAACATTTAAACATGTGCCCAGAAGTTTACCTATGGAACGTGATTTCCTTATATGGTGTCAAGAGGTGGGCTATAAATACATTGGCACTGAAAGCAAGCTTTCATTCAAAGGAGAGGAAAACCTAAAAGGCAATTTTCATTCTCTTCACTATCAAAAAGACATGCTAGCGCCTATGTGCTTTGCCTTTAAGCTAAACTTTAAATGTTGACTGTTGTTAACTATAAATCTTCAAAATTAGAGAGCCAAGAAATAATACTCACCCCTGACTGAATGACTCATACTGTTTTAGTAGTAATGTCACCACATCTGTGAATTCTGATGAATATAGTCCTAAACCAAATGTGTTTCTTTTGGAAAAACACACGTTTCAATACACTGACGCTGCAGCAGGTCCATAGTTACATCAGAACTGACAAAGGAAAAACTGAACCTGTGTTGAAAGAAAATCGTTCTCGTCTAACAAGCCAAAATTCTTTATTGTCAGCCTGCAGGGGAAGCAGGTGAGATTATTCGGGATCCTCCTCCTTTAATACTGACTCACAGTGGCCTGCCCAAACATGACTTGCAACAGCTCACTCCTTCAGAAGCATAATATTTATTCATGCTGTACAAGCTGAAAATTCATTATTTTTGATCATTCAAACTACTCACAGGATAAAAGCTTTATTCATCCTGCAAACTAAATTCAATGTACATGCCAAGTCATATTGTAAGTTGTGAAATGAGATGTCATTTATGTATGGAAAATGTCCCCCTAAAGTCTAGTTATGCAACATCAAATAAGAGCGATAATGGCAAACATTGTTAGCTGTTGTTGGGATCATTCTTTTAAAATTCTCCAGTTACATTTCATTCAAGGAATAAAACTTCTTCCCGCTCTCACATCTGTCCTGCTGCACACTGGGCCAGTTGGAAATGATCTATCTGTAAAAATATTTCCTCGACTCTTAATTGAAAACATCACTGTGATCTAAATGTGAACAGTCATGTACTAAAAATAGTTAAATGAATAATCTACACAGTTTGTAACCTACTAAAAAAGGAATTGGAATGAGTGGCGAAAGAGCACCAAAAACAGGCATTTTCCAGTGAGAAAAAGAGGGAGACTCAGAGTACAAACATGAATGAGGTAAAAGATGAGACAGTGTGATGACATTTAAAGATGTACAGACAAAGAATGACATGTTAAAGCCTGCATAGCATTTATATGTCATATCTTTACAGATTTCATTCTGTATGCTATTTTACGATAACCTTGCTTCTACCACCAGAATCATTGACAACAAGTCATTAAGCACCATTAAAAAAAACTGATACATAAATAAATGAACAACCTTTAAAATCTGTAACTTCATAAAACTTGCAATTCAATAAGAATAGAAAACCTCGTAGCAGATTGTCGGTCACACAATCCTAAAAAAAGGGGAATAAATTGTTGATAAACAAAGTGAAACGCTAAGGAAGGATGCTTAAATTAAATTGATCTGTCAAAGCTGTAGTTTGGATGTTCCAAAATGCCCAGAGTCACGATGAGTGAGAAGTATTTTACTATCCTCTCCAACGTCATGCTTTCTTCATCTAAATGACTCAGCTCTCTCAGATTAAGAGCAATTCACTCACAGGAGATTAAAGTAAGTATAGCCTTGAGTCGAAAAAGACGGAAGAAATTAGATAAAAGTGGAGCTAAATGTCGCTTACAATTGACTTAACTTACATCACCGGCATGAAAATAAGTGAGGCTTTATAGATATTGTGTTGTCACCAAAATCACTTTCACGCATTACCTCAGATGTCTTTCAAAGGAAACAGTCCAGAAAGAATGAGCTTCCAGCTGTCGGTTTTAAGCATTAAAACCTGTGTGGCAATGAAACCTGCTCCTGACACTAACGGTTTAATTAAATACTTAATTATCATAAGCTATGCTGACTTGATCACGCAAACACATCTTGAATTCCAGAGGTTCAATTTGAACTCCTCATTAAAAAGGTGTTGGTGTATACCGATTCAACCGAGTATAAGCTTTCTTCTCTTTGCCAGTTTATAACTCTACATAGATTACTGAAAATTTAGGTTGAACACTGGGAATGTGAGTTTACGGGCTGTTTACTCACTTCGGTGAGTTCTCCATTTGATATTTTACAGTTTGTTCGTGCAAGTGTGAAATCGGTAGATCACCCTTATCAAAATACAGGCGTGAAGTGACTGCAAATGTCATGATTTTGAAATCTCTAAACTCTAAGTCCATCACAGGGCAACACATGGACAAACAACCATACACAGTCACATTCGCACACTGTTAAAAGTCCTTTAATTGACAAACTAACTGTATCACATAACACACAGCAATTTGTTTAATGGTTTGACTGACCCTGCAGTAGCATGTGCACATTGTCAATGTCCAGGGGGATGGACCCCCTTTCCATCTGCCCATCACCAGAATCGAGCTCAGCCGACATCCTGGACTTGTCAAAGGACTTCCAGCAGCATGGCACCACTCTGGAAGATACAAAGGTAAGGGTTAGCAGTTAACAGCTCTATTCTAGTCTCTCTTTCCCTCACCCTTAACCGGCCGAGGCAGATGGCCGCCCACCCTGAGCCATGGTTCTGCTCGAGGTTTCTGCCTGTTAAAAGGAAGTTTTTCCTTGCCTGTGTCGCCTAGTGCTTGCTCATGGTGGGAATTGTTGGGTTTCTGTAATTAACTTCAGAGTAGGGTCTGACCTGCTCTGTTTGGAAAGCGCTGTGAGACAACTGTTCTTGTGATGTGGCGCAATATAAATAAAATTGAATTGAATTGAATAGTTGTATTCAGGACATACAATTAAAAAAAACATTTAAATGTAGATAGGACCGTCTTTAATAACAATGACTTCAAGGAATAATTTTTTCATTCAATACTATGTCACACAGTTGTAGTTTTTTCTTATGTTGATCTGGATTTGTTTATGTACGGCTCTCTTACAATTTACAACAATTAGGTAAAGCTGAGGTCTGAATATAAACTTGCTCATTGTACCACTGTAATTACTTTTCTTTCAAAACCCCTCTGTTGTAGATTTGCTTCCATGCTTGGGATAATTGTGCTTTTGCATGCAATGATTACAGCCAAAACTCCAGTCTTTGACAGATGGCTGACAGCTAAAGTTGGGGCACAGTGGAGTTTATAGATTTCTAAATGCCTGTAGGACATCCAGATCATGTCACTTCTAAAGAAGTAGGATAACGATTCCTCTGTTAAACACACACACACCATCTGATTTTTTTTAAAGGAAAAAAACTGACATCACAACGAATATTTTTCATGGCAGGAAAAACTAATCACACAACAAGTAACACAAATAATTAAAGTAAGAAACATTGGTCGAACAACCAGCAGAAGAAAAAACTTTCTAGATGATGAGCATTAGAAATAGGCTTTATGAACTGAAAACTACCTGAAGGGCTTTTACCGTTGGGCTGAGTTTAGTCTCGTTTAGACTTGCTCCGTGATTAGTGAACTAAGAAAAATGTGTGACATTTAGACATCTTTCCAAACACGCCAGTCAACATACATCAAACTGTGAAGGTGAAATCATGCCTCGATTACACCAACTCATCTTTATCTGCTGATGGCAAGCATGACAATTAAAGCGAACAGACAAGTTAGCACCTTGAAAATGCAGCAGTATGAAATAGTGCTGGGTTTGAACAACATTTTCAGACCAAATGGTAGGTCAAATGGTAGCGGTTCACATCGTTTTAACTGCCAGCACAGTAAGAGTATTACAATTTCCAACAAATAAAACATTCTCACACTTGATCAGCTCAAAAGACTTTCCTTTTGCCGATTTTTATCAGCAAAGCACAACTCACATCTTATTATCCAGTTATTACGCAAGTATAAAGATATATTCAGTGTTTCTTTCAGATAGGAGGGCATTAAAAGTGGAGAGAATATAAAGAAAGAGTGTAGGTAATACAATTTCAAGTCAAAATATCTCCTTAGGAACTGTCTGTACGTATCTAAGGTTAAAGACGCAACAGGTAACGTGTCAAACTTGAGATTTCTGGCACAAGTGAGGGACAGGAAAGCTGCTCTACAAAAGAGCCCAGGGGCCACAACGGCCAAATCTCTTTGCATGTGAGGAAGCCAAAACATCATTAAACTTGCAAAGACTACAGTAAAGAAAGTTTAAGTTGGAATGGAGATCTTTGAAATGTTGAATTATGTACATATGAATAGGCTATAGGATTTATTAAAAGTCTTGGAGCGTGACTTTAATTTTAGTCTTAATGCAAACAAACAAATCTATTCATCCACACCATCTTCATTGCAAATCAACATCTGGAAAAGACCAGCAAGCCTTCACACATTTTGCTTAAAAACAATCATTCTGTTTGGAAGTATATGTTCAAAATGTATCAAAGTTTATGCCTGTGGTGCTGCTAAATCCTTACAGGAGAACCACAGCAAAGAATTCTCAGTTTCGATAAAATTCTACCTAAAAAGTCAGCAAATCAGGTTGGTATTTACATAGACGTACATCATTTTCCTCCAGTCACAGCGACCTGTAATGTATGTGTGCATATGAGGAATGGGGTTAGGTTAAACCACTATAGAACGACATTTGAGCCATCCCAAGGCTTCGTGTCAGCTGCCGACTAAAAGACCAGCACGTTGAGAGTTGGTATGTACAGAGAGAGAAAGTAATTAGCAATAATAAAAATGTAGCAAAAATCTGTTTTTCCCTTTTTCTTCTTTCCTTTTTTCAGATGATAAATAATGATACACTGACATGGAACTCAGACAGAAGATAAATAGTATAAAAGGTGCCACATTTATTGACTGATTTGATTTTGAGGGGTTAAAGACTGATGTGTTAAATAGTGAAAGAAGAGAGACTTGGTCAAATTGTAGAGCAGCAAGTGACAATACCAGAGAGCATTCAAAAGTCAAAGTCACAAGTCATTCCGGTCAACTCTAATTGTAGCAACAAGGCAGCGGGCAGTTGAACACACCACATGCTGTTGTGGAAAAAACACAGGGAGGAGGAATATCAAAAGGGCACAACACCAGCTTCAGATACTTTTCAAATATACCTCTGACTAAAGTTCTCATACTGTTTCACACACGACAAACAACACAATACCCTATGGGGACCCTTTCTGAGGAAAAAAAAGAAGAGTCGTATTCCTATTTTCACACCTCTACGAATTCGACGGGATTATCCCCTGCAAGTTGGAGTTGAACTACAACGGCTCGGCTTCCATCCTGTTGTTGTAAACAAACACCTGTTGGAGCCGCATTCCCGCATGGTTTTACGACTCTTTTAGCAGCTGGAAATTTTTATTTTCATTGTAAAGTGTTGTACCTCGCCTAAAACCTAAACCAGCAGATCTTTGTCCGAGCCTGAGCAGTTCATAAATCAGTCAGTGTTGCCAAGTGCTTGACACAAAATCTTTACAGACGCACCCTAGGATGAGTCACAATAGAACAGGTTAAAGGTATTTTGGTTTGCTTGTTACCGAACACATATCGTAAGGGAACATATGGAACAAATTGGTAATGTAATACTTACTGGTGAATTTAACAATGTCATTGAGACTGGTTTTAAGGAGTATTAATGGTTTCTTGCAAGTCTTGTGCAATAAACAGATCTAAAAATCCTTTGTGACTAAATTCTACTGTGACATTTACTTATCTCCTCACACAGTCAAAAGTTGATTTGAACACATCTTGAAAATCTGATTCAGCAGGACAAACAACTGAACTATGCTTGCAAGAAAGAGTTAAGACTTAATTTAATCAAGAAAACCAGTACACAAAAAAGTACAGTTGCTTTTTGTTATTGTTATGTCATGCTGGCCTCTCCTAAATCCTGACTATTTGGTGTCTTTGTGTTTGCTTTATCCACTCTGTCACGTTCTTGTAAGGTCTTGTTTTGAGGTGATGAAGATGGCAAATGAGAAGAGAACGCATTTGACGTGTTCAATCAGTGGCTTGCCGGCTGCCAGCATTCTTGCCTTGAATCTATTGCGCTCATTCTCAATGCGAAACAATAAACCAGTGTGACAATTGTCAGTTTGGTTTAAAAAGGCCTCGTCGCAGAAAATGCCAAGTCTTTGTTCCAACAAATCCAATACAGCCAAAGGATATCTGTCCAAAATTACAAAGTGTTCATATAATACTCCCTATCAATACTGCATGTTTTAGTACTGTCTTAATAGATTATTTTGTATCTTTAAACTTCTAAACTGAGACTGTTGATACTATTGGAGCAAATTAATAGTGCATAGGTTGAAAGCAATTAGCGTGCATTTAGCATCACAGCATTAAAAACCACTCTAACTAAACTCTAGTTAACCCTTTAAAGCATGTTCCAAGAAAAAAAAGGAAGTATTTTTTGTCTGTTTGAAGTCTTTTTTTTGGCACTTTAACAAAATAAATAATTCATCACCCTGTGATAAGTAAAAGTTATTGTTGTGTACTCTTCTGCCAGTGGTTATCAAGTATATCTAATTGTGTATGACAGGGTTTGAGCAAATGTTTTACCATTAAATGCAAAAATGATGCAAAAGGTCTCAGATGCAAAACATCTCAGAAACGGTACGTATCGAATATGATACAATTGATACTTTTGATACATGTGACACATTATAGGGTTAAAAATAATGGGAACTATGTCATAATTAAACACTTTAGTTTAAAAAATCTCCAAAGGTATTAGAAAGGTATTTTGCTACAGTTCAAATCAATTGATTTGACATTCAATTTATTTAACAGTAGTGGGAAATTGGGAAAGTCTAAAGATATTTAAAAAATAAAAAGGATTGATAATCCAATCAATCAATATTCAAAGAAAAAATGGTTTAAAAAAACAACATCAAAAGAAAGAGTGGAAAGTATCTGGAGGTTGTAATAATGATTTCAGTGAGCAAAAAAAAAACATTTCACATGGATGTGTATTAATTCTCTTGTTACTTGATCACTTGTACCAGGGAAGTTATTTGCAACTAGTCTGGACTGACATTTCAACCAGGTGTAAAAGGTTGCTATGTCACCGTTGTCTGTTATCAAGTGGAACTAAATGCTCTCACTTTGATTGTAGGAATGAAAGATTGTGTTTCTGTTATTAAGCTGACAGGGCCTAAAAATAACAGCAGGGCACATGTGTGCACCGATGCTTTCAGATCGCTCCAGTTGAGGTATTTAATGGGTCCTTAAGGACCAAAGGACTTTTTTATAAGTCGTATAACAAGCAACCTACATGCTTAATAACTTAAACTCAACATAGGAAAAGCTCCTGCAAAGTATTTAAACTATATGACTATGACTAAACACCATCAGTCCAAAGTAAAATCTGTCAAACATAATCTATTTAATCTGAGGTTCCTGGTAAATTTGAAAAAAAAGTTGCTTGTACTTACAAGAAGGCAAAGGATGCACTTTAGTAGAGGGGGTTGAAGATGAAAGTCCAGGCAGTAATGAACTCCAATGTGAAAGAACGGATCTGGTTCTGTTACTGTTGTAGTTGTCGGAGATGAAACCCGAACCGCACTTTGGCAGATCTGCAGTCTGCCGAGGTCCAGAAAGGGACGGACTGTCATTGGAGAGGCCAAAGCCATACCAGAAACCACGCGGAAAACTCTCTGGAGCTCTAAATATAGAAACAAGTCAGGGTTCAGTGCACACACCCCTAATCCAGTTTGACACTGGATAAGGGGGTGTTATACGGTGGACTTTGTTAACTTGGGTTGAAGGTTTAGCCTTCCACAAGTGCATGTACCCTTAAATTGAACATAAGCAAAGCTTTGGATCTTTTCTCAGTCATAACGTCTCAGTAGAATATAATAATAAGTGTAACTTAGAAAACACAAAATAATAAAAAGGAGAAAGAGGAGAAATGCTGGTGTCAATCTGATTAAAATGCATTCATATTAAATTACAAATACTTTGACTTTTTCAAAGAATGTTGGTTCTTTACGTTTGGTAATTTAATGCCAGAGTTTATTGTTCACCAGATACTGTGGGTAGAAAACAATAATTGATTAATGATGATTAACAGTTGATCAAATACTAGGGGTGCTAGGATATGAACAGACCTGTAAACTTTTTTCCTTATCATGGCAATCCTACTTATTTACTCTTTTTTAACATGCAATCATCTTCCTCTGATATATAATAGCTGGAAAATGCACAGGTGGTGGCCGCATTTCCCTGGGGGAAGGTCCCGCTTTGTGAATACTAGTTCACGGTCAAGGTTTACTTGGCCACTTAATGGAACAAAGAAAGTGTTATTTTGTTTTAATGCTGTGAGAAGTCAAAATGTTAACCGTAAAAAAAGATCTACGACAAGGTCAAGGTTTTTTAAGCTAACAGGTGTGGAAAATTGTAAATACATTTGTGAATCCTTTTTGTTAGGTCTTACAAACAATTAAGCAAAAAAGCCTCATTGGCAGTGACATTCCAACGTTATTTTTCTGTCACAGTCTAAATATCCACACAATCCAATGTCGCACTGGTGTGCAATTTTTTCCATATTTTTCCATATTTTTAATTTTTTAAGAATGTCACAGAATAACAATTACATATTAACACAACTACAATATATTCTATTTATTAAATATTATATTGTATATGATATTATACAAAAATACAGCTCTGTTCACAACACAATGATTGACAGAGTGAAAAACACCTTTTATATAAAATACTGGTATTTGATTTGATGGTACTGTCAAATTTGACAAACATTACTGAGGTCTGTTTTAATTAATTAATCAGTAACAAAAAATAAACTATACTAGACTATTTACAAAACCACAACCTTTATTTGCTTCTTCTATATATATGTATAACTTGCTATAGTTACTATGTATTACCAAGTGTTAGATGAAAAGTTTACACAAAGGTCAATTTTAAAAAAGGCTGGGTCAACAGTTCAGCTCTGCATGTTGTGACAAATTATGTTCACAAACTGTCTTACACTTATTATTGCAATAGATCCTAATATACTCAATGAATGATAGTTTTTTATCACACAAGAAGGAACAAAATATCACAAGGAGTTCTTTAGGCTTGTATGTTTTTGCCAGGGTATAGGCACACTGGATTAACATGCTATGTTTATAGATAGCAAATATATATATATATATATATATATTACAGCAACCTAAGCATAATGAGACTTATAATATCTCAGTGTGATTGTCTCAATTTTTGAACGTCCAAGCAGGCTTTAAAAAAAAAAAAAACTGTCTCATAACTGAACACCAGAGGTCACCACAGCATCACATTAGGAACGCGTATGGTGGCGTCCAGAGGTGAAACATAAAATGTTTTAAGGGTTGAAATGAAGAATTTACTCATAGAAATTAGGAAGTTGACCTGTTGAAAAACTATTTTTGCTCACTGTTGAGCACGTTTATTTGAATGAATACTGTTATTAACAAAGCCTTAAAAGATTTAAAAGATGTTTTATGTCCATTTTCTTGTTTTTTTTCCATATTAACCATTAGCAGATGGGAGTTTGCTCTCTTTTCTTATTTTAACAATTCACTCATGTCATCACTGGCTTTTTCTCTCATCCAGAGCCTCAACTGAGAACTTAAACCCTAAATCAATTTCAATTTAATTGTCAATTACAGTAATTATAATGGATTACAAAGCAATTTCCCAGGTAATCTGAATGAACTGTGAAAAGAGCTGGAATACTTCCAACAAGTCAGAGCACATACAGCAAAATAATGAAGGTGAAATCTTATACAACCAAGACTTCCTGACCAATCAAGTAAGTGTATACTTCTTGGGGCCATATTTTCCATTATGTGATTGTTGTTTTGTACGTCCCATGCTTTTGTGTGTTCTTTTTTTGCACATATAAGACAGAAGAAACTGAATTGGACTTGGTTCCCAACTATATCCACAATAATTAACTATGTCATTTAAAAAAATAAAAAAACAAGTTCTCTAACGAAAGAAGAAGGAATATGTCTTTTGTAAAAAAAAAAAAAAAGAATTTATGAATAATCATTCAGAAGTTGGATTTCACAAGAGTCATTCTTTCATTGTGCAAGGAAAGCAAGGTTTCTGGAGTGCAAGTCTTTGCTAAATTCATTTTTCATACATTTTTTCCCCTATCAATTCATTGGAACTTCTTTGTCTCAGGGTTAGACTATAATGATACATTTTTTTACAACTTGGAAGATTTTGTGATGCAGTGGCTGCACATTCTGCCCACGGGGCAATTGAAAATTCCTCATACAGCAGAAATTACCCAAATCAGTTCAACTTTACATTTTTTTCTTATTCCATCTTCAGTCTTTGTCTTCTACGAGGTCTGACATGCCAGCCTTTTCTGACTAAACCAGCTTGCTATATCCGTCTGAATGTCAAGAGTAGTAATCACAAAGAAGAGACAGTTGCACACACAAAAGGGAAAATAAAACTCCGTAAAACTCATATCACGATAGAAGAAAATGTACGGGTGAGATGATTGCAGTTGACATATGTGGGACTAGCATAATGTCTCTTTATGCTTTCAGTCTAATTGAGTTTGCATGAATGACAGAAAACACAGGTAGAAACTGTATTTAAGTGCGTTGTTCCCCATCTTCCATGCGAATGACTATTAACAAAAGGACAGACTCTTTCTTTAATTAAGGTAATGGAGTTGAAACAAGCTAGTGAGTCAGTAAGATGGGCAGTGACAGGTAGAAAAGCCTCAAGGGGGGTTTGTGGAGTAAAGAAAAAAATGAGCATGAGGTGAAGGATTTGGCTGCTGATTGCCATGACAAGGGGGGAAATAAAAAAGCCCCAGCTTAGCAATTAGTCAGATCCTTTAGCAGACAGTTCTGGTCAGAGGACCACACAGCGACAAACACGGCGAGCAAATAATACTGCAAAATACTCATTTAAAAATTGTTAGTGGCATTTCTTTGTAGGGCTAAGTTAAACTTTTTGATTTATCGTCAGGCAGGCACAGTTCCAGCTGAGATGACCTATCATAGGAAACAAACACAATGGTAAGTAATACAGAATGTGTTATGAAAATGACTGCTTTTTACAGATAATATGGAAGTTTACATACAAGAGCACTCGCTGCTTTTTTGCCATTTCACTGTAACAGATGTGTAAATAGATGTCTAAGTCTAAAATAAGGTGTCAGTGGAGTGCATTAAACTACATTTCTGGTATTACTAGTGTCCCAGCTAATGCATCAACCTTGTTTATTCTATTTGTCAGTACTCTTACCTTCTCAAAAAATAGTTAAGGGAAAAAAAATGTTTTAATTCCTCCTGTCTCTCATGTTGCTCTTGTCTTTTAGATGTCCTCTTATAAATCAGCTGCACTCCGGGTCTTGTTCCTAGCATTATTTGTTTTGGAAAGCTCAATGTAAGCAACTTTCCCTATGGGAAAGTTAATTTCATGCATCGTATCAGAAGTTAAAGTGCCACAAGTTATCAGAATTTTCAGCAGCTCAAAATATAAACAGATGTGGAGCAATCTTTAGAAATGTATGGATAGCTGGATAAGCTACGGATGTATGGATTAAAGAATATATTTGTATTTGATTAATCAAATTAATCGCAAAGATAAGGCAGAAAAGAATATCAAAACAATTGTTCCAGGATGCTACAACAAGGAACAGTTTGCAAAACTGGTAAAAAGACTTGTAAGGTCAGACTATAGCTGTCCGCTTTTATTGTGTGGATAATTCCTTTAAAATACATAATTAGTATGTATGTAGAAGTGGACTTCTTTTGTTGTAGTTACTCGCCAATGACAAGGCAGAAAGCTAGGTGACAAATTGTAATTACTAGTATTGAATATGGTAGAGTTTAACAGCAAGAGTTTGACAAAAGTTTGCTTGTAGTGACTGGACAGGAAACTCATTTTTTACTTCACATAGAAAATCTTCATAGCAGCAGTGAGAAGACTGAGATGAAAGATTTAATACAAAAGTGTCCTTTTTTGTTTTTGGCTTAAAGTTGGAGCAGGGTTTAGTCTCTTATCTTTCTTTATGGCACTTGGACAAGTCTCTCCATACCATTAACCTCATGTTGGCTGAAAGAAAAAGCTAAAAACTCCCTATAAAATGAACGTTTCACCCTATAGGACACTCAGACTGGTGCTGGGTTGGTTTCTGATCTGGACCTTTCTACGGCCTGACTCCCCCCACCACGTTTCAGCCATCAACCTGCGCCGTTTCATCGGGTGTGCCGTTCGGGAGTTCACCTTTTTGGCCAAGAAACCCGGGTGTGGAGGCCTGCACGTCACAACTGATGCCTGCTGGGGTCGCTGTGAGACCTGGGAGGTGAGAAGTGGGAGAAAGTTACTGTACTGTACATTCAGAGAGGACAAGGGGAGTAACAAAGTGATTTTATATCTCAAGGAGGCATTTTCAAACTGCACACAAAACACAGTCAGTCTTTTTGTAATATTGTTCAGTTAAAGAACTGTGACAATTAAATTAAAAGAAACTAGGCTATGAGAAACAATGAAGGAAATTTGAAAAAAGAAGACTTTAATACAGGCAATAAAACAACATGTAAAAAGAGAGGGAACAATACCATAAAAAATTAGATAAAATATAGACAGTGATGCCAAAATACTCTCTCTACATGAAAAGCTGCCAGTGGTTCTGTTGCAGAAAAGATACAGTGTGGAAAAAACATGGAAATATAAAAAGACAGACACGATATAAAAAAAACAGTTTGTATTACCATGCCAAGAACTAATTATTGTCGCATCATAATGAGAAGCTGCCTGATGTGTTAATGGTGCACAAGAAGAATCCTTCAGGAACAGCATGTGCTGATATTAAGTTAAGGTTCGACAAAAACAGAGAACCGCATGGAAACTGGGGAAAGAAGTGAGAGAAGCAGTCTCCCCTCACAGTGCATCATGTGCATATGAGACCGAATTTAATTTTGAAAGCTACCTTGGACTGTTTACAAATGTAAAATGTTAAAATTTCATATGGCTCATATTTAGTGACAAGAAGCGTTAAGAATATGATGATGAGTTATTTCGTATTCTGGAAGCCCTTTCTTTTGCTTGCCTGTTCTACCCCTAAATGAGATCAGAAGGTAACAGAAGGAGTTTACATCTTTCTTTAAGTTAAGCTAGAGGTAAAAGTTACTGTCTGGTCAGGAAGTTTGCATTTTAGCAATGAGGTCAGATTACAGTCCAACATATGCTTTGAAAGTTAAAAGCAAATTTTCTTTAATTTATCTGCATCCGACCAAATTGTCATCTAGAGCAACTTTTATGTCTATGAGAGTAGATTAAATTAAATCATCAGCCATTAAGGTATCTGTGTCAGAAATTCCCCTTAAACATGGATTCCTGTAAAAACTAAGAATCATTGTCTAATTGATTTGACAACTTTCATATAAAGAATTAATCAAAATAAAATTATGCAAAAGAAAACTGTCTCCAACACTTGCCAGTTTAAAATGACATTTTCAAACAAACACTTATCTAATGTTTAATGAATACGTTTCTTATCAAAATTAGTTGGGAAAACCAAAATTTCATTCTATTTTCTTATCTTATTTTCAGAAGCCAATTGTTGAGTCTCCCTTCATCGAGTCCTACCAGCGGGTCTGTACCTACAACAGGACGCGCCTGGTCACTGTGAAACTGCCCAACTGCAAGCCTAATGTTGACCCAACTTACACCTACCCCGTCGCCCTGAGGTGTGACTGTGGTGTCTGTCTGACAAGCACCACCGAATGCATAACATCCGTGTAAAGCACCAATAGAGACACATTTAAAATGGGAAATTTTATTTTTTGCATGCATTCACTTTTTTTTTAACCTGTAATAATCTCATTTGTAGTAATATAATCAGCCACCAAGAAATATTTTATTTTAAACTGTAACACTTTTGTTTTTAACCAGCTCGGAAGGTGGCCTAATGAATAGTCGGATAAATTACATAACTTTCATTTAGTCACTTTCAATAAACAAAATGTTTCTCTGCATTGCATATTTTCATTTGAGGCTTTTTTTTTCAAATGTATCATTAACATTCTTTTAATTCTCAATGGTGCAATAAAATAAAAGTAAAGCATTAATACTTCTATATGTGCGTTGTTGTTTTTGGCGATGCAAAGTTGAAATTAATGTATGGTTACATGTTACTGGAAAGGTGAAGGTCTGCATTGTTCTTCAAACTCAGGGGAAAACTCTTCACGCTACTTTCATAGCAAATACCCTTCTTTTCCATTGGTTTGCTATGTGTATGAGTCATAAATTTGTTTGCAGAATCTGCTGGACAAATTGTTGCATGCATCCTCGAGTAAAACAATTGGAAAAAGTGGGTCAACAATGATCTCAATTTGTTGTTGAATTATTTAACAGTAGTAAAGAAAAGTTAAAAAATCAGAATTCAAGATACGGCTAATGATTTATACAGGTACACTGATTGTATTCCTTGAACACGACAGACTGCATTTCTGTTTGCTCAAATAATTCCTAATACTAAAATCCAAAATTAGCATCTATTTGCGTTTTAAGGAGATAAAGCCTCTCCTATCTATCATTAGTCGAGAGGCAGCGTACACCCTGGACAGGTCTCCAGTCCATCCCATGGCATCACAGAGAAGATCAACCACAAATTCACTCCAAAAGGCAAATCTAATCACCAGTTAACCGAACATTAATGTTTTTGGACTGTGGGAGGTAGCCGGAATACCCAGAGTCATATGAAAGGAACCTGCAAACACCACAGAGAAAGGCCTCCAGACCTTGGGAAATTTAAACAGGAACCCTTTTGCTTAGTAAAGTATATCTTATGAAAAAGATTGACAGTAATAATTATTCTTAGCATTATTAGAATCCAAAGCCTCTGCCTTGTTGTTGAGGGAACTAAAGTGTACTTTCGTCAAAGTGAATGCTGCCCAGCCCAGCCCAGAAAAGATAATCATTAAGTCTAAATTATTCCTGCACCCATTATTCTAAAAACCCCACTAGTTCTCTACAATTAATAGTTATCATAATTGGATAAAGTTGTTTGGTACAAAATTATCATTGTTATTAATCTGATTTTGATTATTTATTTTTAAAGTTCTAAACCCACACACACTTTGCGAGTGGAAACTTATGTTTTGAGTGGTCAACAAGACAAAATAAGTGACATATTCAGACAATAGATGCCGCATGAAATCTACAAGATTACGCTTAACTTCATTTCTGACTTTTGAATATCAGTTCAGCAACCACAAAGTCTTGTGAACTACTTCTGTTATGTGACATAGCAAACAATTTGTCACTTTCTGCTTGAGTTAGAAACAAAACTATGGTTAGTGTTAGAAATAGGGTTAGGGTTATAATATTCTGAAAAACAATAACAAAAATGGGGCATTTTTTTAAATAAAACTGATCCAATGTCTACTGATGACCACATGTTCTTTAAACCTCATCATGAGATGTCTCGGTATGCATGAAGAAATGTCTCTCGGGATTAAAACAGGGAGGACAGTCTCACTCTGAGTCATTTTCGAGGTTAATAAATGTCACAGTCTGTTTACAACTTTATGATCTTTTTTTGAAATTGAGTGATTCTGATAAGTGGTACAAGTTTGTAGACAACATTCTGAATATATGTCATAAAAGAGTTTTTTTTATTTTAATGAGGTGTGGGAAATATATACTTTAGGGGAAAACATCCTTTTTTCATTTATATATTATCTAAACCATAATAATCAATGTGTGACATGAACAAGGTCTTTAGTAGCCTCTAGTAGATTATTGCATTTCCTAGCCCTGTCTTATAAATTTTAACTTCCTTTCTACCTAAAACCACATACATGAAACCAAATGTGATAAATGAGTTTTAAAACATTTAATGACATAGTGAATTTAATTTATATTGTCTTCTATTACTCATTTCCTCATTATAATTTTCATGTATTTTAAAAGACTTAATTCCTGAGATCACATCTCAGACCCCTCACTTGTCTTGAGCATTTGTAGATGGCTTCCATTTCAATACTGGATGACTTCTGCTAAACAAATGGACTCAAGATGTGCATTATTCATCAGGTTATTCATAATAGGTGTTTAAGGTGGGCTGGAAACCTGTCCATGTTTAACACGGCTCTCGCCCATTAAAATTAAACTCATCCTGCAACTCTATTGAGAATAAGCGATATACAAAATTGATGAATGGATATTTAAAGTTGAAAGCCATCAATGAAAGTTCTTAATCAGTCCTCTGGTATAGTACATCCACTGAGAACTGATGTTGAGTAAAGTTGTTGTTTGTACCACAGTTTCTACAGTATGTTAACTTCAGTACAAGTACATAATCTGTTTGTGTCATTAATAATGACAAATTCAGAAGTGTGAGAAACAGGATATTGTATCTATAAATAGCTACCTGTCCATGCTTGATTTCTCACTCATGTCTTAACCATTCTATTATAATACTTCATTTAGGTGTTAAGGCCATTGAACGATATAACTAGAAGTTTCTGAATAAAAGAGAACTGTATGGTCACTCTTTCTTCTTAAAGATATTCCATCTGACAGAAGTCTCCAGCTCCGAGTAATTAGTCGATAGTTTCAGAATTCTAAGTTGCTGAGGCCATGTGTTTATCCCACTGACTCATCCCACCGACTCATGAAATCTGTGGTTTGTCTTTTTCCCCTGTGACTGTGTGCATGCCCATTACGTTTTAGTCACAATATTAAGATTTTGGATTGTTATAAGATGGCAATTTCAGTTACAGAGACCGATATGACTGATGTTCTCAAAGAAATGTTTATTATCTTTGTAACTGATTGATCTACGACATAAAAATGGACAAATACCTAAATGGCAAATATCCATTAGGTCTTCAGGTGTGTGTTACCTACTACTGTTTTGGCAGTCTGACTGGTTATCAATTAAACAAATTTAGTTTGGTATAGCAACTTCAACATTTTTTATCTACTTGAAAGTGTTACACAACTGGAAAGACATTCACTTTCTTGGCCAGTCAGAGATTAAATCATTACAGGCTAGTACAGGATAAAACATGTCCATCAGACTTATCAAATAATTGCAGCTTTGCATAAAAGGAAAGTGAGTTTAATGCGCAGTCAAGCCTTAAGGACAACTTTTACCAGCTGTTGTAACAGCCTGACAGGTACCTGATCCAGTTAATCAATTATGTAGTAGTTCCTGCTGTGGGATGAGGCTATGTGAGGATGCTGAAGCTGTAATGGCAAGCACAGCTTTGTTTAGAGCTCTGCCATAGCCTGTATTATCAAAAATGGAGATAAAAGTACATCCTGGTTGATAAGAATAATAGCCAATTCCATTGGAACTTCTGAGCAAATAAGAACAGGTAAAGATGAAAGCTTTGTGCTGTGACAAGAGGCTGAGAAAGCTTTTTCGTGTCAGATAATTATATGCCATTTAATAACCATACACAACTCTAAAAAAGGCTATATGCTGTAACACTGACAAAATGAGTTTTGACGTGTAATTCCACTACTAGTTAAACTTTTATCATTTCATTTTTCTAACTTTGAGAATGTAATAGACCTCATAGTAAATATAAGTGCACTTAATGTAAAAGGCACCCTTAATTCTATTGTCATTCAATTTTACAACACAAAGGAATTCACAAAAATATGCACACTCATGTTTCAAATCTTTTCTTTTGAAGAATTCCATGACCTATCTCTGAACCACTGGCGTGTAGCATATTTTTGGTTTTAGCTGAATTTGGTCTTTTCTTAACTGCAATCAAGTTTTTATACTAAAATTACACCATGTCATATATTTCTAATGCAACAAGTAAATTGCACATCTTTAACCAGTTAGTTATGATTGTAAAACCTAATGAATAATGTGAAATAGCTTGTCAATCCAAAAGAAGAATGATTTAATTTATGGACAAAAGGAAAAACAAAAAAGAGACTGCTGTTCTCTCACAATCTTAAACTCAGTTTATTTATTTTTTTAGCTTGTAACCTTCAATTGATCTTACTGGCACAATAATTTCCAGTTATTTACTTGAATGTCAGCATTTTCTTCCCGAACATGCTTTGTTTCTATCTTGTTTTGTATTGAGATCTCTTAGAAGATGTGTGTGAGTCACATCTCTTGTTAGAGAAGCAAAACAGAAAGGTAAATTTATAATTAAGATGTCATATATCTCATATTGTACACTAATTGTAAAAAGCTTTTAGGCAATGCTTTTTGGCATAGGCATGGTGTATCATCATGTAGTAAAAAAAAGTATACATTAAATGATAATAAGGCATAATCCAAATTGTTACATGAAGGGGGGGAGAGGGGAGTACATGCTAATGAAAAAACATTTAAAAATCAGAATTTTAAGTTGTATTACATTTTGGTCAAAGATCTTCATCACATGTAGCTCACCCAAGTTCAAGTCTGTCAGCCTATCAGCTTAAAATACCATTGACATATAAGATATCCATGAGGGGTGATGGTGGGGTCATAGCACACCCACATACTCCGCGGGAGGTAAAACAATAATGTCACTACATCGTCAGGAGGTCACGCAACTGTGACTGCACCACTGTGTTTGGCATTACATCATCCCATTCAGGCAGAAGTCAAGTCAGTATTGGAAAAGACAGAAAAGGGATAGCAATAACAAATCTTCATTTTTCAATTGCAAAAAAATAAACACAAATTAGACACATGCAGAAAATAGATCAGTCAGCTTTTCTTTTTAAGGTCAACATGAAGTTATATGTGAGGTTCGGCCATGTCAACAAAAGGAAACTGATCTGGTTTTATTTTTATTATTATTTCAATTTGACGATTTTGTCTTTGAGAGTAAAAGCCTGTTGAGTTATTGTTTACTAAACAATTAATCACGTACAATGTAATGCAATGTATAAATCATTGTACGACCAATATTGCGCACTTAATA